TATTTTTAAATTCAAAATAAATGGAAATATTCGAATTTTTGTTGTATAAGATTTTTATAAAATTATTGATAATTATTTCAAATATAAAAAGATAAATTATATAGAAACTTTTTTTTGAATATTTTTATTGTATTTATATATTTTGAATTTATATATTTTGAATATTAATATAATGTAATTTTATATTGATTTTTTTATTTTTATTGATTATTAGTTTTATAATTTGTTAATTATTATAGAATATAATTATAAATTATTTTATTATAAAATTAAGTTTTTTTAAGAATTATAATATTATTATGATTTCTTTTGATATATTTGATATCAAATAATTTGGTTTCTATAATTGATACAGTTATAATGTTTTGTTTAATTGTTTTTTATATAATCAAATCATCGAAAAGGGATATAATATATTTTCGAGATGATTTATAAATATCAAAATTATTGAAGTTGAGGAATTTGATTATTATTATATTCGATAATTAAGAATCTAATATTTTAAAGATATTAAAGATAATAATCGATGGTTTTCATATATTTGTTTGTAGGATTTGTTAAATAATAATTCAATTAAGAGATAGCGAAAGTTATATTTGTTTTAATAATTATTATTGTATAAAGTATTAATTCTATTTTTTCTTAAACAATTTTGATAATATAAAACTTGATTTTTAATTTTTTTAAATTCTATAATAAGGAATAAAATATTTATTGTTTCAGTTATTGTTTTAAATTTTTTAAAGATTTTTTTAATATAAATATTATAAATTAGTTATAATTTTTTTTTATAATAATTATAAAGGATATAGATTTTTAAGAATCATTTAATATCATTAAGATTTTATAATATATAAATAGATTTGATCTTTTTGATAATATTTGTAATAGTTTTTTTGAATTTTTTGTAATAAATGATTTATATATTATTTATAAAGAATAAAATTATAATGATATATTTTGGATTTATATAAAAATATGATTCATTTTATATTATTATAATTCTATTTTTTCGAATATTTTTATGAAATCTTTAAATTATATGATTACAGAATTATAAAAATTATATAATGTTTGATTAAGAATAATATATTTGTTAAGGATTTTATATTCATTGAAGAGAATATAGATTATAAATTTATTTGAAAGATTATATAAAGTATTAATAAAGATATTGATAATATTATATTGTTTAATTTCAAGATTGTATTTGATTATAAATATTATAACGATTCAGAATGATTAATGAATTAATATTATAGTATAAATATTTTTGATAATATTTTTGATTTAGAGATCATTATATATAATTAATCGAGAATAATATTATATAATAATATTTTGATTATTATATTTATATATAAATATTTATTCAAAAAATCGATTTAGTAGATTTCGATTCGAAATTGATTTTATATTAGGTTTTTTTTAGATTTGAGATTATTAATTTCAAAATTGTAATTTTGTTTGAATTAGAATTCAAATAGATGTTTTTGTAAATTGTAATAGAAATGAGATACTTTTGGAATTGATATAATATAAAATTGAAGGATTGAATTAGATTATTTATTGTTGATTGTTAATTAGATAAATAATAAATTAGATTTTGTTTTAATTTTAATAGTAATTATATTATGAATTGTTAGAAAAAAGAAATGATGTTTTTATTTATTCAAATTTGATTGATCAATTTAAAAATTAGAATAGAATTTGTTAAAATGTTGAAATTTTGATATATCTAATTATTGAGATATTATAATTCTTATATAAGTTTTTATATTATAATTATTCGATTGATGATATTATTATATATATTTTTATTTTTGAGAATAAGGATTTTGATTAAAATGATTTAGGATTTAATTATTAAAGAGAAGTAATTCTGATAATAAATTGAATGATTGATATTTAAAAGAATTAATCTGAATTTTAAAGATTTCAATTTTTACAAAATAAGTTTTTTCTGATATTCTTTTTAATTTATAAATTTATAAATTTTTTATAAATCGAAAGAAATAGATTATTATCGGCTTACCGATACTATAACCTTGCTATACACAAGATTTATTTGGTAGATGATGGAAAATAAAATTTACTTAAATTTGTAATATAATTGATCAAGAAATGAATCGCAATCCTGAAAATCTGATTGGTTTAAAATAACCCAATAAATAATCTAACAAAAACTTAACATAAGCCTTACAACCTCAAATAAATCTGACTTGAAGCTTTTTTCAATTCAACTCTATTCATTCAATTCATCTCATTTAACTTATAATAATAATAATAATAATATTATTATTATTATTATTATAAATATAATAATTATTATTTTCAAATAAAAAAATTTAATTTTCAATTATTAAAAACAAATTGATATTCTATCTATACTCTAATATATATATTCAATATTTAAATTTATTATAAACCTTTTAAAACTTAAATTTTTATTAGAGTTTCTCGAAAAGCTAGGGGTCCGGGGGGCGCAGGCCCCTAGTAATAATAATTAATTATTGTTATAGAAATCACATACTCTTATATACTTTTATATAATCTTTAATATTATAATACTCATTCGTTTATGTTTTTTTTTATATCTGATCGATTTTATATAATTATATTGATTATATTGCTTTTTATAAAACTTTATTTATTCAATTTATTTTTTTATTAAGATGATCATTAGTTAAATAATTGATTAGATTTTATATATATAAAACTTTTGATCAATAGAATTAAAAACAAGTTTATTTATTTCAATATTATTTTATATATTTTATATATTATTTTTTTCAAGATTGTTTATATACTTTGTGATTATATTATTTGTAATAATTATAATATAACGATCTGGTCGAGGCAGCGGCTGTCTGAGGTTCTGTATAGTTGGTAGTTGTGGGTTAAGGTTATTAATTACTAATTATCTATTTGAAAGTGAATTCATTATTAAATCAATTGGAATGTAGATAAACTAATTGATAACTAAATTGAATATGAAGTTTCTAAATTATGAAACTATTCTGATTATATATTAATAAATAGAAAGGAGCTTTGTGAAGCCCAAAAGCTTCAAAAAGCTTCTGGAGCTTTAGAAGCTCTTCAAGCTTCTAAGGCTTTTTATTATATAATTGATCCTAAAGCCTCTTCTTTCTTGTAATATTTGTCCCAGAAGTTTTCCTTTAGGAATTATAGTTCTAAGATACAATATCCTCTAAAATGATTATTCTATTACAATCGATTAATTAGAACATTTGTTCTATTCTAATATAATTGTTTAGGATACTTATTTTAGGAATCCCAGGGTCCTATTTGTAAATGATTAGGCCTCTTGAAAACAATAATTAAATCACACCCCTTTTATAATCAGTATATAAATCACCGATATCAATAATACTACTATAATCTAATCCGTGAATCGTGACATATAAACCTGGTAATTCTTATTTTTGTTCAAAATTTTATTATTTGATTATAAAACTATATAATCTAATCTTATTTTATTTTATTTTATTTAATCTAGTATTTATATTTATATAAATCAATCTTTAAGATAACGAAAAATCATTTTGATATTTCTCGATTTATAATTTATAAGTAATAAATCAATTGATATTTTTAATTTAAATTCAAATATCAAATACTAAACATTTGAGATTCAATCAATCTTGATTTGAAGAAGCAACTTTTTTTAACCCTTGAAGATATCATTTCAAACTCTTCAATTTTTATTTTATCAAAACAAATTTATATCAGTTATTTTATTATCGATCCTTTTGTTCTTTTATTAATTAAAGATTTTTTTATATAAATATAATAAAACAAAAGAATTTATATATCTTTAAATGTTAAAAGAATATAAACGATTTATCTTCCAAAAGAATAAAAATGAAAATACTATTATGAAAAATTTTGATAATAATATTTTGGAATTCATTTTCCTTGATTTATTTATTTTATCAACTTTAATAATATACCAGAGGCTTGCGCCCCGCAGACCCCTGGCTTTTCGAAAAACTTTAATAAAAATTTAAGTTTTAAAAAGTTTATAATAAATTTAAATATTGAATATATATATTAGAGTACAGATAGAATATCAACTTGTTTTTAATAATTGGAAATAAATTTTTTTATTTAAAAATAATTATTATAATATTTATAATAATAATAATAATAATAATAATAATAATAATAATAATAATAATAATAATAATAATAATAATAATAATAATAATATTGCTATTATTATCTTGAGTTGAATAAGATAAATTAAATAAATAAAGTTGAATTGAATAAGTTGAATGATTTCAATTGAATTGAGTTGAAAAAAACTAAGTCAGATTTGTCTAAGGCTATACAGCTTATATCAAGCTTTTTGTTAGGTTATTTATTAAAGTATTTACCAGGGTATTTACCGGGGTATTTACCGGGGTATTTTAGACCAATTAGATTATCAGGATCGCGACTCACTTAAGCGAGTTTCTCATTTTCTACAATCTACACCAGGTAAATTACAATACACTACACATATGTTACAGGGTAACAGTCAACCTGTCCACATGAGCTTAGGCCTCATCAAAAAGCGAAGCAATTTGTATACAAATTTGTATGGTAAGCGCTTCATATGGTCTACCCACCCTCAGCAAGCTCGGACATATGGTCTGATCGTAGTCACGTGATAGATCATAGGATCTAGGGGATCTAGAGAATCGTATTCTAGATCCACTAGATCCTTATGATCCAATCAATACGAAGGTCTATATAGCTAGGAAAGGATTCCTTTTGTAGAGCTTCGTGCTCAAGATCAATCATTTAGTATACTCTACTATTAGTTACGAATTGCAACCATTGATATTACTTTAAAGCTCCTGCTTGACGCCTAGTTATAAATCATTCGAGGATCCAGGCCACTTCCACGTGATCTAGATCGCATCCCTCGTAACAACATATAAGAAGATTTTGATATTGGCAAGCCGATAATAAAAAGTTCCTTAATTAATTATTTATATTTTAATAATATATTATCTCAAAAAAGAAAAAGAATAAAAAATAAAAAAGAACTAAAGTAACAATTTTAAAATTATAATAATATAATAATAATCTATATCTCAAAGTTAGATTATTGTGATATCTTAAGTGTATCTCATCGCACCTCTCGTCTCTTGATTTCTCGCTGGAAAGCTAATTCGTCAACATCCACCACCCCCACCCCACCTCCTCCGCCGCCGCCGCCGCCTCCGCCACAACCACCACCACCTCCTCCTCCGCCTCCGCCACAACCACCACCACCTCCTCCTCCGCCTCCGCCACAATTGCCCCCAACACCTGCTGCACCACCCGCAAAATTTCCGCCACACCCTCCAACACCCCCACAGCCGCCAGCCGCTGCCCCACATGACCCAGCAGCACAAACCCCAGCCATACCAACTCCAACAGGCATCACACATGGATCGCCCGCATAGTAGACAGGAGCGCCAACATACATGGGACTCATATACGGTCCATACATCATATATGGATAGCCCCAAGCCATGTAATAGTAATCGTCTCTAGGGGGAATGGTCCTTCCCTTCCGTTGAGCTCTGTGGCGAGCCTTGTCATAGGCGCGGTCCATCTCTGATTTGTTCTTCCGCTTGAGACTATCAAGAACTGAAGCACGGATTTCAGATTCTTCGATGCGAACGGCAGAGTGTGCACTGATGTGGGCACTGTTGTTGGGGTCACATTCTTTTGCTGCTCCAGATGTGTAGAAGGAGTCTAGGACTTTCTCGTGTTTGGAAGTTCCAAAGACGCGGTTAGATGAATCAATGTGTTTGGAGCGAATTGCTCGAGAATGTCAGTAAGCAGCAGATAAGAGGGCGGATAATTTTACCTTCGCAGTACCAACAAGTGCATTCGGAGTACACTTGTCTATAAAGTTTCTCGTAAGCCTTACTTGTCCATTCAAATGCAGTAGAAAGAGCATTTTCTTCCATTTTATCATCGTGATCTATGAACTTCAAGCATCGAGAGAATGTATAATCGTAGTATTGTCTGGGTGATAGTTGATGAGTGTGCCATGCCAAGTCCACATCCAAAGTTGGAACACAGACGTTTTTTGGATGAAGACGCATGATATCAATGAACCTCCTATACTTGGTGAGTAATCGAGTCATTGTCTCCCGAGCAGCCGGAGAATGAAGCCAGTCAAGATTGGCCATTTTATCGACAAAGACACTCTGACGAATTACGGCTCCTCCGAGTTCAAGCGCGAAGATTGAAGAATTTTCCCAATATCTCGACATCATTTTTCGGACCGCGATGCGCTCTGCCCTCAGCACAATGCCCGTTCTGCTGTTGATTCTCCTAATGGCTGATCTATCTTTGATGGTTGCCTCGATAAGATCTCTGACATCCGTCATAGCAGGTTTCGAGTTGGGGTCTTTATCAATGAGATCCAGAATTTTTACCTTGAGCTCGACAGTGATCATACGATTCGGGAAAGTGTTTTCGTGCCCTTGAGAGTTTCTCGTCTCCACAGCTGCTGGCATGCCAGTAGTTGGTGATAGAATTGTGCCTCCCAGAGGATACCCTCTCATAATTAGATTTTCAACTTCTCTCCTGAATTTGGCGACTCGTAAAAGATCATGATTGATTTCACCACCGCATTTATGACAAATGTAAGATAAACCTTGATCGCCATAGCCGGCACCGTTCATTTCCATGATTCTGTTAATGTTAGCAACAATATCAGAGAAATCAAAATAGAAACCATACTCTTTCAATGATGGCTTCTCATTCGTAGCGCATGTGGTCCATGGAACCTTCAATGTGTGAGTACATCGGGGGCAATTTAGTGTTTTCGCTAAATGATCCTTGGCATTGCTCCAATGATGTCCCGTGGCATTTGTGAATCTCTCTTTGGCTGCTTCTGATACTTGATAATTGAAGCTCGTATCAATGGCTGCATTGACGGCGTGCCATGGCATACCGGTTGCCCAGAGATCTTTCAACCCAAAACGAATACAATCTTCCAGGTAATTTCGAGGATTGAGCATCAACGAGTGCCATACCATAAGCACATCTTGTTTTGATGTCAGAACTCTTTCGCTGTATGAACAGTACGAAATCTAACAGCCTACCTTTAGGGGGTAAAAGTGAAGTGCTCCAACTTTTAGCTACACCATTCTTCGGGAAATCCATAAAATTCGAGTTGATCTTCATATCACTCTCTCGCAATCTACTCGCGTTTTCTTGCTCACATAACACTTTCAACCACCAATCTTCAAATCTCTCCACCGCTCTCGCAATGTATAAAGCCCATCTTTTCTCTCGCATTACAACTAATGCTTTATTGCGATCCTCAACAATTGGGAGTGCGCATCGTGCGTCCCATAGACCGAATATCCCATCAGTATACCCGACATCTTCTTTGAGGTCATGAAAAGTTTTCAACAATTTGAGATGTACAAGGCATGCATCCTGATCTGGGAAAGCTGGAATACTTGATTGTGAAATTTTGAGGTTGGAAAAGGGCGCACTCAGATCTCCTTCAGTGGCGCCATCAGTCGCACTTGCAGCCTTGTAACCTGGCGGTGCTTCACCCGCTTCGGCAAGAGGGCCAAATGGTGACGGCGACAAAGATTGTTCAATTTGAACCGAAGGAATGTCTCGTTCGAGTGATTTTCCTTGATCGTCCTTATGGAGTAATTTGTTTAAAAGAGGCATACTAGGTAGTGTAATGATGCTCTGCTGTATAAATGGAGAGGTGCGTTAGATTTTTGACGTAGAATCCTGGTAGTTATCACAAGGGCTTCAAACTGATAGTTCGTTGTTGTAATATTGTGAGCTGCAATTGGCAAAGGAAAGATAAGCAAATGATCGGGAAAGAACGATGAAATTCATTCATCTTATACATATGATTGACTGGTTTATCAAAATGAGAGGTAGAACAATTTGTGATACCTAGGTAGTTAGCTAATGGAACGTGTGACGTATTTGCTCACTTGACAGGCAGTGAGTGAGCTGATGTGAGATGAGTGGCTTGGTGTTGTGTTACCATGCACTCGTATTCAGCTGCCTTGCTAGATTTACAAAGGGAGGATTAGCTAGTCGGTGAAGGACGTAGGGATTTAAAAAAAGCGTGCACTCAATTTCAAGTTAATTATCACGTGACATACATCGTCCAGAGCTTGGGCCAATTCTTGAATCTAACAGATGGAGATGGAAGAGAAGGAGATCTGAAAGAATAAAACACATAAATATAAATCTATGCAAGCAGCTCTTCTCATTTTCTATATCACCAGTTCGTAAACTGCCCTTATTTCTCGCTCTTCACTGCCCAAACAGCTTCTCCCTGTGATCAAATGCTGCCTTCTACATGTTTCTAATATCTGTCCTTCGTTATGCACTATTCATTCTTGTGCCTCTGTCTTTAATCTTTACTTCTTACTTGTATTTGTACCCAGCATTTCACGGTTGCGCTTTTCCCTCACCCGAATATGATGCTTCGGAAGCATACGTCAATACACTTCGCAAACATGCGCTCCCAAATTTATACGATGCAAATAAAGTAGCACCATTTAGGCTCCTAGCTTTGGGCGATCCCCAACTCGAGGGTGAATCCTCTATACGAGACGTCGACTCGGTCAATTTGCCCAATTTGAAGAAATTCTTTGAAGATTCTGGAATGAGTAGCGGCACGAAACATAGCCTTTTGCAGCGCGTGCGGCATAGCCTACATGATATCATAGACTTCTGGCTCGACGATCTTCCTAAGGCTTTCGAGGTTTATCGCAAACGATTCGATCACATTGGTAATGATTATTATCTGGGACATATTTACCGCGCAACACATTGGTGGTTAGATCCTACACATGTTGCCGTGCTCGGCGATCTTGTTGGGAGTCAATGGATAGATGATGAGGAATTTGAGGAACGTGGGCGAAGGTATTGGAATAGGGTATTCAGACACGGAGAACGGATTCCGGACGAGGTCATGTCGCAGCCAGCTTTCGAATTTCAGGATACAGTAATACTTGGAGAAAATGCTGCGGCTTGGAAGAAGAGGATTATAAACGTGGCAGGCAATCATGATGTTGGGTATGCTGGGGATATTTCGCGGGATCGAGTTGCTCGATTTGAGCGTGTCTTTGGGAAAGCGAACTACGAATTGCGATTCCAGCTGCCTTACAAAGATACTGGTTTTATTTCCACGACTGCGGGAAATGTGGATGTGAGAGATATGCCTGAAATCAGGATTGTGATCCTGAACGATATGAACCTCGATACGCCTGTATCTGACAAAGACCTTCAAGACGAGTCTTATCGATTCCTTAACGACCTAATAAGCACCTCCCATGCAGTCGAACGATCTGCACTTTTCACAATAGTCCTCACTCATATTCCACTATACAAAGACGAAGGAATTTGTGTAGACGGTCCATTCTTCGATTTTTTTGACGGAGAATTCGAGAATGGAGTTAAGGAACAGAATCACCTCTCACGCGATGCCTCTAGAGGTATACTTGAAGGTATTTTTGGCATGAGCGGTGACGCGGAAGTAGCCGGTCAAGGCATGGGAAGACGTGGTGTCGTTGTGACTGGTCATGACCACGAAGGCTGTGATATTTATCACCACATCAATCAAAGTTCGCCTGAAGAGGAACGAGAATGGAAATGCAATAGATACACACAGGCCAAGCGCGTCGCAGACCAGTCGGGTATTCCAGGACTGCGCGAAATAACAGTGCGGAGTATGATGGGAGATTTTGCCGGGAATGCAGGGTTATTGAGTTTATGGTTTGACAGAGACAGCTGGGAGTGGCGGTTCGAATTCGTGAATTGTGGATTGGGTACTCAGCATATTTGGTGGTTTGTGCATATTTTGGATTTTATCACGGTAATTGTGGGCATTGTCTATGGTGTTTGGAGCGCGGCGTTGAAGGTCCGATTGGTTTTTGGGTTTGATGTAAATGGGAAGAAGGGTGGGAAAAAGGGGAAGAAGGTTACATTCGAGATGATGCCGAGTACAAGCCGTGTTGTTCCAAAAAATTTGACGGCGAAAGCTGGCACTAGTAATGAGGAGGTTAGAGGAGTCATTAACGGGGGGTCTAAATAAGGGAGGAGTTGTGGCGAATCCGTTGCATGATACCCCAGAAAGTGCGTAAAGGTAGATGTATAACCATTTTTTCAAGTCGCAAAGCGGAAGTGCCGCCGAGATACACGTATAACTCTAGTTCAACTTTTTCCATTTGAAATATTCCTGCGTTTAAGCCCTGTTACTGTCTTCCATTGTCAACATCTTCTTTAGTCCTATAAGGTCTCCACTCCTAGAGATCACATCAAAACAACTTTTTAATCGCTCAGCTAAGCACAAGTCATACATCGATATGAGGCATTAATTACCACTCCACACACCCACTCAAAGAGTGCTGGTGCGATAATTACTTGGGTTTGGAAAAGACTTCATCCAATATACTATAAACCCACCATTACACTTGAAAAATGACGAAGCTCCAAAGACTGGTTTTACGGACTGTAAATGTGTATTGGTGGTTGATATCTATTTTGTATTAGGTATTGGTTAGCGCGCCTTCAGACTGTTTTTAAGAGGTGGAACTTGAAAGTCTTTCGGATCCTACGACGTTTACTTGTACACCTACAACTTGGGAAATTTGTCCTCTTGTTGATAATGTCCTCGAACAACACCGATGATTATCAATATGAAGTAAAATCTGATCGGGTTTCTTCGACCACATCTAGGGCTCGAGGGTTCCATGTTCTTTGATCATTCTTCCAGTATGTTCGAGATGGAACAATACCGAAGCATTGAAGCACAAAACGGGTGATTAGCGAACTATATGGGCACACCGAAGGGCAAATCTGAGATAACTATGTAGCACTTGCAAGACGAATCACTGGGTTAAGTATATCGATATTCATCTCAGGAGAAATACTGGATGCAAATCAATGAACTTGCAAAGTCTTGTGTAGGTGCTCAAAAAGTATCAATAAACATACTATTTAGTGAACAATTGCAAATAATCGGGTTTATTGGAATCGTCTAATTCCCAGGGCAAAAAGCAAGCTGGGAGATGCGAATCCCTTCGGCGCTAAACGAATTAAATGGGAAGTATTAAAGAATATTCGAGCTGACCCTGAACACAACTTGACTTATCAAATATCAATTTTCAAGTAAAAGTTCTGGAAACTTCTAATTATATATTTTATCGAGAAATATTTGTAATCTTATTTTCAACTTTCAATTATAAATAATTTATCAAAATTCCAATTTTTAATATTTTTTATTTAAATTTAAAATGGATATTGAAATTCAAAATGAAAGTGATAATGATAAATTTTATCAAAATTGGAGTATTCTTTGTAGAGCTAAAAATTTTTAAATTAAAAGAGATAGAAAATTATAGTTTTGAATTAAACAAAATTTGAGTGTATTTTGAAGTATTATAAGAAGTATTATTAAATCAAATTTATTTAAAATTATTTGTAAAGGGAAGGTATATCGATTTTTTATGATAATAATTAAAGAGATTCAATGAATTATAAAGGAATTGATAAAAGATTGAAGGGGAAGGAGGATGATTTTTGAGTAAGTGAAATATATATTAGAGGTTAGAGTTTCGGTGTATATTATTTGATATAAATTATTGTAACGATCTGATCGAGGCAGCGGCTGCCTCAGGTTTCGTATAGTTGGTAGTTGTAGGTTAAGGTTAATAATCATTGGTTATCTATTCGAAGATGAATATGTTATTAAATCAATTGGAATATAGGTAAACTAATTGATAATTAAATTGAGTATGAAGTTTTTAAATTATGAAACTATTTTGATTATATATTAATGAATATAAAGGAGTTTTGTGGAGCTTTAAAGCTTCAAAAAACTTTTGAAGTTTTAGAAGTTTTTGAAGTTTTCAGGGCTTTTTATTATATGATTAGGATCAGATTATATATTCGAGTTTGTTAAAAGTGAGGAGATTATATAAGGCGATTATTATATAAATTTGTATATAAATCGCTTTGCTTTTTGATAAGGTTTAAATTTATATAGATATATTGATTGTTGTTTTTCAATATATCTTTATTTTAATTGTAAATTGTGATATTATTTTCTTTTTAATTAAGTATTGTTTCAATTGTTTATAATTTTTTGAGTTTTATTTGATAATTAATGTTTTTCTTTTTCTTATATTCAATTTATTTCTTTTTCTTTGTTATAAATAATTCTGATTTCTTTAATAATTTAATTTGAAGAAAGAAAAAAGAATATATATATTTAATTACAATTATTGATTTTATTAATATTGAGATAATTTCTTGTTTTTATTATCGATAGAAGAATTGTTGTTGTATTAAGGATCTTTTTGATAAATATCGTTTATATTATTCAGAATATATACAAAATTCTGTTTCATATGATATTGAGTTTCATTTGGAAGATGATTGAGATTATGAAATTCTTTAGGAATATGATTAGAAGAATTTTAATCGATAGATCGATAAATTGGATATTGAAATTGCTAAATCTTTTGTTAAAACTGTTTGCCTTATTAAATAGAAGATACAATTTAAAAAACGATATAATGAAATATTATATTGCAGATTCAAATATCTTAATGAACTTGATATTTTCGAAGAAAAGGAACGAAAAGAAAAGAATAAAGAAATTCTTATAGTCTTTCTATCACCTTTTAATCAATTTGATCAATTTGGTTAATTTGATTAATTTGATCAATTAATCTTTAATCGATTTGATCAATTACTAATTGATTTTATTAATCCTAATGAAATTTCTATAAACGAATTCGATTCTTTCGATTCCTTTTTGTAAAAAGCAATGAATTCCTTTTCCTTTTGAGTAAATCCGGATTTTGTCGATGAAATTCTTGGAACTTTTTCAAATATTTAATTTCTTTTTTAAGTTTCTATATGTTTTCGGAATTAAGGTAATCTTTTTATTTTATTAAGTATTTGATTTTGTTTTTAATATATTTATAATCTAGTATTTTTTTCATTTTGTATTTAATATCTTGATTTATAGATATGATTTCTGTTTTAGAAGTTTTAGATGCTTTTAGAAATGTTAGTTTGAGTAAGGATATATAGAATACTGGGTGTATGTTTATACTTTTCGATAATACTAATTTATAATTCAAAGGTTTTTTAATCTTTTTGATTTTGAATGATTTAAGTTTTTTATAATTCAATTTTGTATTAGATTTTTTTGTTTTGATGTTTTTTTGAAGTAAGTAGATTTTATTCTTTTCTTTTAATATTGATTTCTGATTATGTTTTTGGTTGTAATAGTATATATTTCTTTTAATAATGAATTTCAATTTTATTATTATTTCTTTGTAAATCTTTTTGAATCTTTTTATTTGTATTATTATAGATTGATTTTTTATTTTTATGATTTCTAGTTTGTGGTATATGATCAATTTGTATTTATAGTTGATGTAATTCGAAGTGATTTATATTATTTCTGATATTGAATTATTGTATACGAATTGTATTAAGAATAAAAGTTTTATTCAATTATTCTATTAATAATTTATATAATATTAGAAGTAAATTTTGATAATTTGATTTATTTTTTTATTTCTTTTATTAGTTTGTAAATGGAATATAATAGATATTTTTATTTTATTTTTAGTAATATTATTAAAACGATTCAAAATTTCGATATAAAAAGTTTATTTTTATTAAAGAATATTTTTTTTAATAATTTATATATTATAATAACTTTTTTTAGAAATATAAAGATTAATATTTTTGTAGTTAATATTGTTTGATATAATATAAGTATCAGGTATTTCGTTAATTTATTTATTATAATAAAAAGGTAATTGTATATTATTTTTGTTGTTGAATTTTTGGATTTTGGTAATGGATTTATGAAATCTTATAATATTGATTTTTATAATGTAGATAGTATTTCGATGGTGTTTATTTGTTTATAGGGAGTATGATGAGAAATCTTATTTTTAATATAGGTATTATATTCAGTGATTATTTTATTGATTATGTTGTAGAGTTTTGGATTTCAATATTGTTTTTTGATTTTTAGATGTATTTTTTGTATTTCTTGGTATCTATGAATTGGTAATATATATTGTTTTGTAATATACTCAAAGACGATATTATTTAATAATTATATTTTGTTTCTTATTTGTAATAATCTATTAATAATTATTGATAATTTTGGTTATTTAATGTTTTCTTTATTTCATTATACTTTTATAAATTTATCTTTTTAGATCTTTGTTGATTTATTTTCTATAATAATGATTTCTATTAGATTAAAGATAAAATCTTTATTTGATAAGGATTTCAAGATTGTTGTTTTCTGATAGATTTTATTATCTTTGTAATCTGATAATTTGTTTAAAGTATTTGTTTTTGTATTATCTTTTCTTTTGATGTGTTTGATTATTAAATTGAATTTTGTTAGTTTTTTAGTTTATCTAGTTAATTTATGATTATTTAAGATTTTAATAGTGGTAAAGGTTTGAAGATTTATATGATTAATGTAAATGATTATTAGGAATTTAATCTTTTGAAAATAGATCTTTTAATGTTTTAATATTTTTATTATAGTTATAAATTCCTTTTTATAAATATTATAATTTTGCTTTGTTTTGTTTATTTTGTTTAAATAATAGATAATAAAGTGTAGTTTTTTGTTATCGTTTTTTTGTAAATGAATTTTTGTTATATAGATATTAAAGATATTTGTTTCGATAATACTTTTTCGATTATTATGATAATTGTAAAGGATGGATTCCTTTATAAATCTATTTTTAATTTCTTAGAAAGTTTGTTTTATTTTTTCATTTTATATAAAAATTATTCTTTTTTTGATCATTTCGATAAGGGGTTTTATTATTTTCGAGAAATCTTTTATGAATATTCGATAGAAATTAATAAATTCTAATATAGATTGTATATCCTTAATATTCTTAAATTGTTTTTAGTTCTTTATTTTTTTTGTTTTTTTAAAATCTATATTTATTTGTTTTAATTGAATAATATATTCTAAAAATGTTATCTTTTGTATTTCAAATTTATATTTCGATAATTTGAATTTTGAATTCACTTTTCTGAATACTTTTAATATTTTCGATATATATCCTTTATATTCTTTTTCTTTTTGAAAGAAAACTAGAATATTATTTAAATAACAGATTATAAATGAATTAAATTCTTTAAGTATTTTATTATTCTATTGTTGATATGTAGTTAGTGTATTGATTAAATCGAATAATATGATTATATATTTCTATAAATCTGATAATAATATAAAGATTATTTTCTATTTGTAATCCTTTTTTATTTGTATCAAATTAAAAGTATTTTTTTGATTTAATTTTGTATAGATTATTATTTTATTCAATTTATTTTTGAATTTTTAGGCTTTCGGTATTGGATATATATTTCTAATTGTTCTATTATTAATCTGATAATAATCTTTGCAAAATTGATTATTTGAATTGCTTTTCTTGAATACTAATAATATATTAGATATATAAAGGGATTTGGATTTTCTAATTCATTCTTTTTTTTCAGTTTTAATTCTATATTCTTTTTATACCTGTATAATACTAGAATTGTATAACCTTAACTTTTCAATAAAGGATATGAATCTTTTTTTGAAATTGATTTTATAATTCTAAGATTTATATTCTGATAAAGTCTTTAAATCTTATAAGTTTTCGAAAAATTTAACAAATTTTTTATATTATACTGAAATTTCTTTTTTATTAATTCTATTAATCAATAAAGAATCTATTGTTATTATAATATAATATTTGATCTTTCAGAAAGTCTATTTCTTCAGATTATATAATCATTTGTTATTACAATTGTAATAATCAAATATTAAGGTATCTTTTATTCAATCGATATTTGGATTATATTTCTTAATTTATAAAGTATTGAGAACAATTGTATATTTATCTAATGGTATTAAATCCATTTTGATTTGTTTGATATACCTATTTGATATGATTATCTTGATAATATTAGTTTCTTTGTATATTCAATTATCAATTTCAGTTTTCTTTCTTTCAAACAATATTAATTGATAAGGGTTCTATTTTATTTTTGTAGGAATTTTATTTTCTTTTGCAAAATTGGGATCTATGAATATATTTATAGCTTTAGAATCAATCAAAACGTTAGTTTATTGATTCTTTAATTTGATTTTTATAATCAATTATTCGATCTTTATAATACTATTGAGTTTTAACGATAATAATTCGATAATTTGTTCTTCGATAAGGAGATTCAGTTATTTTTATTGATGTTTGTTTATATTCAATAGTTGATAGGATATAATGAATAATAATTTTATTGATCTTATTTGAAAATCTCGATAATAGTTTTGGTTTGATATTTTTTTGTTATCTCTATCGGTTTTTTGTCAGATATAATAAGTTTTGATTTATAATAAGATTTTCTATATCTCTTCAACTTCCAGATTATATTTATTATATTTTTATACTTCATTGAAGAATGAAGAATTTATATTTGTGATATACTTTCTGGTATTGTTTATTTTAGTATTTTCCTTAAATATTATATAGTAAATATTATTGTATATTATTATATAGAATATTAACAAAATAAAATGGTTATAGATTCTATATTTCTTAATGAAATCAGGTTTCTTTTCTTTATAATAATATTATATTCGTTTCTTGTCTAAATAATTGATTAGATATTATAATTCATTTTCCTAAGATAGATAATGGAATTCAATTATTTGTTGATTTTTTTCGAGTTCTTTATTTGATTCTTTGTTTTCTAATTCGAAATCTTCTAAAAGTTCTTTTTTGTAATCGATATTATTTTCAATATTAATTCTAGGGTTTTGATTATTGATATTTAATTCTTCTAATTGTTTAGAATTGGATTAAGATAGATCTTTTTCTAGTAATTCTATTTTCTTCGAATTTCTTTCTAAAATCTTCATTTTTCAAGAATCTTATTTTTTGTTCTTAAATTTTATTTGTTTTTTGTTTCTTATAATAAATAGTTTCTTTTTTTGAAAACAATTTTAAGATATATATTTGCTTTTCTTATAAATATAATATAAATTATTCTCTTTATATTTTTTCTTTTTGTTAATATTTAGATTGCTTGATTTCATATAATATTGTTCAGTATTATTCAATTCCATTAGATTATTAGTATCATGATATTTGTTTTGACGATGAGGTTTTTGAAACTTTTTATTTTTTTGAATGATTCTTTTCTTTTTTATTTGTTGTTTGTAGAATCGATTATCAATAAAAATAGAGGTTTCGATTAATTCGGAAAGGTTAAATGATTTCGAAGCTTTCGTTAATTTATCTTTGATAATATCTTTCAATTCTTTATAGAATTATGATTTTAAATAGTTATCATCCTATATAATATATCTAGTGTATTATTGAAACTTGATAGTATAGATTGTGATTGATTCAATTTATCTGAATTATTGTAATACTCTTTCAATTATATAGTTAGAGTTTACTTCTCTAAATGTTTTGTCAAATCTCTATTTGAATGATTTATAGTTGAGGAAGAGATGATAAGTCTCAGATTTCATGTTTTCATTCAATTGATTATTTATAATCTTGATTATTAGATTATTGAAAAATGATTCAATCTAATTGAATATAGTTTCTTGGAAAAAAAAGATCAATTATAAGATCCTTTGTATAAGAATCAAGAAAAGTTGTTTATTAAAAATATAATAAAGATTAATTTGTATAATAAAAGTTTGATATTTGTTATAATCTTTATGGAATAGATCAGGGGTGGATATTTGAATCATTTATCTGTATTTTATAATAATAGCAGTTTGAATAAAGGCTCCGATTAGATTGAATGGAGACGATTCAATAAATTGCTAATTGGAAATCATTGTATTGTATATAATTTAATTATAATAATACTCAAAGTATAACGATCTAATCGAGGTAACAATTATCTCAAGTTTTATATAGTTGATAATTGTAAATTAAGATTAATAATTATTAATTATTTATTCGAAGATAAATATATTATTAAATCAATTGGAATATAGATAAACTAATTGATAACTAAATTGAATACAAAACTTTTAAATTATAAAACTATTCTAATTATATACTAATGAATATAAAAAAACTTTATAAAGCTTTAGAACTTCAAAAAGCTTTTAGAGTTCTAAAAGCTTTCGAAATTTCTAAGGCTTTTTATCATATAATTAGGATCAAATTATATATTCAAACTTGCTAAAAATGGGAAGACTATATAAAACAATTATTATACAAATTTGTATACAAATCGCCTTGCTTTTCGATAAGACCTAAACTCATATAGACACATTGACTACTGCCCCTCAACATATCCTTATCTTAATCGTAAATCGTGACAATTATATCGATATAATTATAAATATTATATAATTTATTTTAAGTTATTTATTTTTAGAAAATAAATAAAAAAGAGATTAGATTTTGTATATATATATTATTGATAGAGGATAATTGATATAATTTTTGAAAAGTTTAAAGGGAGTGATTGAAAGAAGATTATATGATTAAATGAAAGTATTTTCAAGGTTGGAAAATGTAATAGGATATAGGTGATTTGTAGAATTGAAGAAAAAAGATATAAGAGTTGTATTAAATCAGTATATAAATTAGAAAGGATTTTTGTAATGATATAGATAAAATTTGAAGGGGTGCAGTGAGTAACGATCAGAACTCTTATCTGGGCGGCTTCGACCGAAACCCAAGTCAAAGATCCGGAAAAAAACAGTAAAGCGACACTGAGGTTTCCACAAATTCTGTCAGCCATATTCAGGGTCCAAAGCCATCGCTAAATCGCCGCCATTCAGCACAAAAACCACTTGGTATCAATACTTTCAAAGATTCTGTCAAGGATCTTTTGGGAGCCAAAGCTGTGAATGAATCGATATTGGGGCAAACTAAAAATGCTATCATTGACAACACTTCTACTCCACAAATATCATCTGACAGGTCTGACCATATTACCATCGTAACTCTGGAATTCATGGCGATGTGCTTCCTTCCCTCCTCAGGGTTCCCGAGAAGGCAGTGGCTAAGGCCCCATTTCACCACACTCTGGTGAGCGTAAGAGAAAACGAGCCAGCAAGGTGAATAAGGGTTCAGAGCCCCCCCCGCTCCGCCCCCAACCAAAAAAAAATACAAAAGAAATGACGAATCTAAAACACATAGGAGACATGGATAATTGCTGAGAAGTCAAAGGGAAGCCGGTTAGAGCAAGAAGAAAATATGGCTTACGAAGCCGTCGGTGCATTTGAAGAAAATCATCACGGAATGGAGGGGTTGATGGGGCTCACATTTTCGAGTTTTGTATACGATTTATGAAGAGTAACAGTGCAAGATATGGTATCTCACCATGAATTATATTTTGACGTACGATATTGACATCCGGAGCGAATAAAAGCATCCATGGTCTAAATCCAAAGCTATGAATCACACGTACCATAAAATGACATGAATAAAATGAAACAGCATCAATTACTTGCTACATACGATACAATTGAATGTACGAGGTGCTTCATCTTGATATTCACATGATGAATAACCTTTATACTGACTCTCCATATTTTGGGAAATTTCACCTTCATTTGTCTTCTTCCCGGCGCCTCCCTTTTCTCGAAACACCACCACACAGCCTCGACCTCAACAGCAAAATACCACTTACACAGGTGATAAATCATTTCCTCAACCAATGGAGCATATTGTCAAGATGGAAAACAACCATGGAAAAATGAGACCATACAAAAGCATCTATGATGAAATACTTGCCAAAGCAACAAGCTCACAATACGGCTACACAGATGAGCAAGTCAAGACTGTCTTGAAGTACATGTACCAAAGATATGCCAGCTGTTTCGGTGACGATGAATCGTACTACAAGGCCTGGCTGGTCGAAGACTGGATCTGGATATGCTTATGTACGTAACATCTTCAGACGACCTTTTGCCTCGATACTAATCTGTTCGCAGTCCCAAAAGAACATCGACCTCACCTTCTATCGGACGACACGAAAGAGGAGGCAGAATGCAAGTTAAAACTGGTCAGAGAAGCTGCATTTAAGGGTTGTACTGGGAGAGATTCAGCATCAGCTTTCTGCAATCGATCTTATGGAGGAGAGACCAATCCTGTGGCAGCTCAGCAATTGGAGAGCGATACCGTTGTTGACACTGATTCAGAGATGGAAGCTGAGCCTACCCTTACTTCGAACGATAGTTTCCAGAGAAAAAGGTCTTTGCCGATAAATGAGGGTGCACGCAAAAAGGCTAAGACGGAGAAGAGTGTGTAGATTGTGGTGAGGGTGGAGGTATTGTCTTTGAAGCTGAGGGACGACAACTGGGGTGAAGGGCCATTTTTGCAATTGCTGCGGAATTTTAAGAGCAATCATATGCTTTGGGTGTGGCCTCAGACTTTCAATACATGGTCGAAGAAATGAGAGTTTCATTGAATACTAAGGGAGATTGGCACCACGATGGTGACCATAAGGGAAGAAAGCTCCCTGGATTGGCAGGTTGAGACCTGCGGGGCTATAACAGACGTGGCAATGTGCCGGCGTCGTGTCTCAGCGTAAGCAGTGCGATATGGCTTTGAACACAGAAGAAAGTGTAGAAGAAAGTAAGATTACCAAAACAATATATAATCTGTTGCTTACCAAAAATGTAGAATGCTATCAAAGAGAAGTCTTCCGTCAATGAAGAGTCAGCTTAGCTGAGTTTTTGACTCCCACTTTTTGAATTTCTGATTGTCCTCATTACAAAAATCTGGAAGTTTGTGATGATTCAAAATTATATATATTTTCATGGAAGGGCGAACAAGTCCCGGCTCGCAAGCCAGAGGCCTAGTAGGATTTGAATTTGCATCGGGCCGGACACATGCCATAGAGTGGAACCATCATGTACCAATTATACGAACACTAGTACTGCACATATATGTAGTTAGGTGGCTGTCTAGACTTGAGCTACCTTGTTCTCATCGTGGATCTGGGATACCTTGTCTTGTCAACCTTTCACATGTCGAAATGTGATGTCTTATGTTTGATGGTTTGATATCGGATGTGGCTGGTGGTGATGTTGCCCAGCGAAACGGTATGACTTTTCAGCGTATGTAATATGTAATAGGACGAACGCTGGTCCAAAGGATACGGAAAGCTCAACTCTACTCGGTAAGTTGTTGTATTATGCTCGGAAAGCAAAAAAGAAATGAGGTGATGTACGATATATACCTACCTAGGTACGGGTACATGCAGGTGGGTGTCGCTGGAAAGATATTTAAGCGAGCGATAAGGATAAGCTTTACCCTCTAAGTCTATCCTCTAGCCTCTAGCCTATCACTCTACCACCCTACCACTCTACCCTTTCACATGCATGGTCAACATTTAGTTTCAAACCCAGTTATTGTATTCTGGAATAATCTTCTTTACTGATGAGGAATATACGGGTTTATAATAATGCCTAAATTTATTATTGCATGATTAAACGCATCCCTTTATAATATCGAAATTGAGGAATGTTCTACTATGATAAGATTACCTAAGTACTCACTTCATCCTTTCACTTTCACATGCTTCTTGGCATTGATTAGACGTTTCCTTGTTTTTACACCCGTGCGTGCTTAGCAGGACCACACCGTCGCTTTCTATCAACCCACTTGATGGCACCGTCTAAAATACACCCAAAGAACAAAGAACAAAGGAAAAGAAACTGTCATATGCCAATAATATGCCAATGCCTAATATTCTATCTAGCCCTGGGCGGGATATCCAATCAATCAACGCTCACTTCGAAAATTTCAAGGTTTCAAAGGTCTCAAGGTTTGCGCATTATGTCTAATGGTCCTGATTCGTGGCTTCCCGCCCCGTTTGCATCAGGAATGCATTGAGCACATGTAAATTCACATATCTCATCTCATATATCTACCTATTTTGGAAAATTCCAGACTTGTGGCGCATTACACACCTTAACACATGGTTCTTGCTTGCCCCCGTCTCTGTGAACCTCTTTCCTTAGATCTTCCCACCAACCTTTTTCACTTCTCGACCAAAGCTCATATCAACCCAGGAACGAATTGTCCAAGAGCAAGCAAATAGTACGTACACTCCTGCTTATCATTGCGTCTTATGCAAGGCACGAGCACCAAGATTATTTTTTACAGAGGGCTATAGCAGGACCTAGCTGACATTGCACTACATCAATAGTTACAGATCATCTACGCCGCGTCCGTCGCACTTCTAAAACTTCTAGCAAAATGGCACCTCAAGTGAACGGCGAGACTCCTTCATCTGCCTTCATCAGTGTGAGTCATTCCATGGAATCATAAATTCATTCAAAGCAGGACACTGACACTCTTAAAATATAGCATCTCACATCTTACCCTGTCGTTCACGACTCAATCTCTACCTTCAAATCCAATCCGTATGGCCAAAGATCCATCGACCTAACCACAACCTCATACGAGAAATTCGGCAAGCCATTTATCCCATACCTCCAAAAGCCCTACCAATACGTCTCTCCCTACGTTGCGAAAGCGGATGAGCTCGGCGACTCTACTTTATTTACGATCGAGTCCAAATTTCCCGCTGTCAAGAAACCCACTGATGAGCTCTACAGTGATGGGAAATACCTTGTGTTCTATCCGATTTCAAAGGGCAGCCAGGGAAGGGATTATGTCTTGGGGAAATACAATAGTGAGGTCAAGAAGACGGAAGATCAGGGGATTTTTGGTTTGGGAAAGGCAGTCATTAGCACGGGATTGATTGTATCAGGCGAGGCTTTTCAATGGTTGAGTCAATTCCTATCAGCCAAGAAGGCAGAGGCCAAAGAGACAACGAAAGAGAAGACAAACAACTAGCTAACACTGAAGGATGAGAAGAGGCAGCAAGGCAGTATGCGGTGCGAGATTATCGTGAAATGATAAATATGGCGATAACCTCCATTTCAAATGGATCGGAATGTGGAAAATGGACGACGGAATGACGGGAGATGAAGTACTATAATTTTCGAACATTTATAAGGTTACATTCTGGATTTTCTACATTTCCTGTGGCATTCATTTTTTGAATAAGACCAAGGATTTGTTGCGTATGTATTATCACCCAAGAATGGCGACAAGGGTTAGCTATATCTTGCTTCTAATGGATTGCTTTCATTACATACGTATTTTCTTTCCGACTGTGAAGATGATTATATGTGCGATGTTTGGATGTTGTGGTACATTGCCCAGCCGGGTAGTAAAGCCTTGTGGTGTATGGCGTGTAGACTAATTCAAAGATATTAGCCAACAAAAGGGCCTTTGCATTTGTCCAGCAGGATGTTGTGTCGGGGGTGTTTTCGATACACGATGTAACGACGTATATATAGAGTGGGAGCTAAAAGCTAGAAGCCAGCCAGGAGTTTAGAAGATCGACAACCTCAACCTCATCAACCTATCGCAACGAACACCCCGCATGTCGGATTTTAGGTCTGGGTCTGATTCTGATTCCGATCACATTGATGATTAATATGATTAATATCTATGATAAATCATCATGTTGGCCTCAGGTTGAGTATCGAGTGTGGCTATGAACTTAAGCCCCGTTCATTTCCCGGAGTTCAGGAGTTGCTATAATTGGCTTTCGTTTACGTTCATGGGGGCTTAATCAAGGCCTCCATTATCTCTATTTCACTATTTGGCAGGGGTTCTGTCCCAGATTATTGGGATATGACGCCAAGATTGGTAAGAACTCAGAGTCACCACGACATGTACCAATAGTTTGGATCATCGATACTTCACGATGCGGGGTTTTGGGTTGGAATCGCTCGGGTTCTCTGTTTGTTTCGGAGAACAATTTGTTGGTTTTTAGTCTTTTATCTCCGATCCAATGTTTGGATACGTCACGTCATTATACAGCAAGTGAATAATGGCTCGGGAGGGGATAGTTGCATTAAACGAGAAGTGAATGTCTTCGAAATATGGAAAGATTTCATGGTCTCTTAAATACTCAAAACCAACAAACACACCGACACCACCAATTTTTAAACTCAGCACCCCAACATCGAACTCTCAGACAACACTCGATATCCGAAAACTTATTATTCCAATTATACACCAAAAAAAATGGCTGCTCAAACTCAACCGAAAGTTCTCTTCGTCCTCACTTCCCATGATAAGATGGGCAATTCTGGAAAGCCTACAGGCTGGTATCTTGTTCGTCTCCTCTCACACTCCTTACGATTCTATCTCCTACCATACCCCCTTTTATCCCGCCTTAGAGACTAAAAACTAACATCTCCTCCTTTACCTAGCCCGAATTTGCCCATCCGTATGATATCCTTGCCCCTCACACCGAAATAACCATCGCTTCCGTCCTTGGTGGTGCTTCACCTTTGGATCCTGCATCTATCGAAGCCTCCACAGATGATGTTTCTGTCAATTTCTTGAACACCCAGGAGTCTCTGTGGAAAAATACTGCCCCACTTTCAGATTTCGTAGGCAAGGCTGCAGAATTTGATGCCATTTTCTACGTTGGTGGCCATGGTCGTGCGTCTCCCTTCTCTTCCCTTTCCGCCACTTTGAGAATCAGGGTGCCAGATATGAATGAAGCTCACTAACTGTATGAATAGCAATGTTCGATCTCTCCCACAACGAAACATCCCAAAGAATCATTTCCGAATTCCACTCCCTCAACCGAGTCATCGCAGCCGTCTGTCACGGCCCTGCAGCCCTTGCCTATGCTAAACTCCCTTCTGGCAAATTTTTCCTGGAAGATACCCCGGTGACAGGATTCTCAAATACCGAGGAGGAGAACTATGGAGTTGTTGATGTCATGCCCTTTGAGTTAGAAACGGCCTTAAACGAAGCAAGCAAGGGCAAATATGAAAAGGCGGCTGAGAATTTTGCGGCAAAGGTGGTTGTTGCGAGAAATGGAAAGGTTATTACAGGACAGAATCCTGCGAGTGCTAGTGGCGTTGGAGAAGCTATTTTGGCGGAGTTGAGAAAAGAGAGAAAGTGTACTTAAATGTATCTTTGAAGGGAGATTTGCTCTATGCCGATAGCAGGGATGGAAGGGAACAAAGTGGCTATTGCAAGCTTTGCAATGCATGTGTAAATACTGTATGAATTATAATAGACAAATTCTAGAATTTATATATGCTTTTGTGTTGAAGTGACATGCCAGCATGCATTCGCCATAGACTGAAGGGAATCTGTCGATTGCGATGGTTTTAAGCACCGCAGCATCAAGATTTTCCAAAACACAACCTTGAAACGGATAAGCAAGTGAGTGTATCTAACCGACGACTTCTTAGATACAGTAGACTTGTAGGGATCATGATTCGCCATTGACTTATGCTACTGAAAACGTGGTCCGAGCTAATAGGAATCTTCAAGGTAGTCAGTCATCAAATCCCTGATCCAATAGACTTAAAAAGTGTTTCTCGACTTCATCCATTATGACACCACCATTATCCCAAGTCCCATTCCTAACTTGTTTGGCCTTTTCATCGTGTTGTTAAAGAGCTGACAAATAACTTCTGGGACTAAAGATGGAGAGTACGCTTGCACGCAAGCAATATTAATCTCATGACGGTAATAGAGAACTCCTCTCTCTATCAAATCAAGATTTGGAAAACGTAGATGATCGGGTCTACCCAAACTCATGTCCAATTCAAGTGCTTCGAGTTGGGACGTAGAAAAGACCTGCGAATAGGCGGGCCTATATAATTGAGAGCACGACCCTAGAAGTTTTGTTAGGCTAGGTTCTAATGAATAAGTGACAAATTTCTACGCACAACTGGATTGCACTACTCTGCCTTGAGTGTACCTTCGATATGATAGGCTTTCAGTGCAGAAAATAGTACGACGACAAAAGACGTGACATATCTCACTGTCGCCATCAGTCAGTCCCTCACGCATAAAAAATCAGTCAACCAACTAACCGAATAGCAAAAACTAAGTCGCGCATGGGAAAATCCCTATAATAATGATAGGATTTTGTTACTAGCAGAGCCATCCGGAATGGGGTCAAATCCGTCCATTATCAAACAACTCACCCCACCTGAAGGTGGTTAAAGCGCGATGGTATATCCACTCCCCAGAGCGGCTCGATGAAGTATTTAATGGAGAGACTTGTGCGCCTTTTGAGCATCCATCGATATCAGAGGCAAGACGGAAAAGTAATAGAGTACTTCATTGCGACGTTGGTTATTTCCACCAGATTACCCGGAGTAAATCGAGCCACAATAAAAGTACACCTACCGTAGCTCTCCATACGCATGATTTACTATTTCCGGAGATGAATTAGAAAAAATCCATCCAAAGAAAAATCTCCCGTGAGAAGATCTCTAGCCCATGCAGATCTTTCGACGTCAGTACAAGGACTTGTCGCGTCGCTTCTGCTTTGGAGAATATCTTGCATTGGCTTCAAGTTGATATCCATGGTGAAGATCCCAATAAACAAAAGGAGAAGATCTGTAGCAAAAAAAAAACAGACTTACCGTCGAGGAATAAAATAAAACTGAAGGTCAGAGATAGAAAGATGGCAACAAGCATGACAATTAAATGGAGTGAGACGAGACAAGTATCAATAGAAAGTGCGAAAAGCTCCAAAGGGAAAAACGGTCAACAAGTTGGACGTACTCACCGTGTTATTTCTAGGCAGAGGAATGCTCAAATCCCATGAAAGGATTACTATGTGTATAGAAATAGCAATTCCCTGTAGAGAGGTAATCTTTCCATCGCCATTTCATCCGCTCACTATGCCAGGACTAGCGGCTACCTACATGCTGTGAAGAACTACTGTTGTAAACTTGATCATTCATAAATCCCTACCTCAGACCAGTTCTCCGACTAGGAGATGTGGCGACGCGAGGCACTAAATAATACGTCTACTTCCCAATGGCGGTTGATGCATACAGTTGTGCAAAAGATGGACCATCAGCCTGAGCGGCGGGCATTCATTTGCCTTTTTCAATCATCGAAGCACGGTTAGGTATCGATACGCCATGCTCCGTCATCTGCGAGCCTTTCTTCAAAAAGGGGTAACAGTCACATCCTACCGAAGCACAAAGAAACATCAGACATGAATCTTGCGACCACGATGTTCATTCACTTCACCGTTTTCCCTCTTTCCCTTTGTTCAATAAAGATATCATTTTGCTTCGCTAAAGGTTTCATATGCAAACATCATATCGCGGCTTTGTGAATGCCATGCTACTATGCTCCCTCTCCCAAGTAAGATAACCCTTGCTCAGCAAGCCTATCCTATTCAGAAAGATAGTCCCAATGACAATTCATTCATGGATCACACGATGTCGCCCAGATCCAGCCCTACAAACACACCGGCGCCCGTTCCTAGCACAAAAATCACATAATACGCCCTCTGTAACGCCCGCCCGCCAATATCCATCGATTCCGGGTATGAAGTGAGGTTACGTGTCCTCGAATGCCTTTGCCTGCCTACCAGCCATACTGACCTAGACAAGGCAAGTTTAAATAACTTGGCTCAAAAAGGCCTTTCGCAATAAAAGTCCCAAGAAAACGAACGAGAGAAAGGAAAAAAAAAAGGCACAGAAAGAGAAAGAAACCCCAACGTCATAATCATCCCAGCCCTAAACCACCATAATCCAATTCCAAATTTGTAACCAGGTGTCTTGAAGTCTTACGCCCTTGTTTATTTGCAAAGTATTTTTTTTGGCTTAATCTATCGTCATGCGATTCGACTGTTTTTGAGAATGACTGAGATCTGGTAATTCGGTCATATTATCGATCTTCTCCTCTTCGCCACCGATCTTTCGTCTCCTCAAATGTGGCTTAAGACCTTTATTGAAATTTGCCGTACATAATGAAGCGTTCACGATCGTCAGGATAATCAGGATGATTGTGATGACAGCAAAACTTGTCAAATTCTTTCGAACGGGCAAATAGTCTGCAGCTTTGGCCGGTTGGTACATTCGGGCAAGTTTGAAGATAAAGTAGGCTAGACCACAATGGAAGATGAAAATGGCCGAGAGCATCCCCGGTTTGTTTTCGCGACGAGTCCAGAAGGCGGCCATGAATAGAATGAAGATGGTAACGGGGATGGCTGCTATTGTCAAGCCAAACTCGAAATCCTGTACACCAGTAACGATAACTAGAAATTGGACCGTGAATCCCAGGAAGAAGAAGAAATCGAATTTTAACAAGGCAATATAAATCTAGATTTATTAGCCATTATTCATGAGATCGAAAATATGGAGACAGTTGCACTTACTTGGTAGGTCAGGAATCTCCGTTTCATTCGCAAATCAGCGCTGATGTGTTTGTAAATCGTCCAGGCAAATTCGTCGTAAAGTTTCCAAGCTATGAGTGACATCAAGACGGTAAAGAAAGCGATAATACATGGAACTGCGAGTAAAAATCCTTGCACATCCGGCCAGACATTCGCATTCGCATCCACATAACCAAGGTCACCCAGGGACTCAATCGCTGTTTGGATTTGATCGTATTGAATCGAGGCGTATATCAACATTCCACCATTGTACATGCAAAGACCAATAACCTGAATTGTGTTCTTAAGTCGTAGCGAATCGTATACCAAGACAACTTGATAGAGGAAACCAAAAATGAACAGGGTGAGATAGGTGGGAATTGTTCGATCGAGGGCTATTTGTTCTTTGCCTTTGACCAGACTCGTTTGGAACTTTGCGAATACATATCTAGTGATGCATGTTATTAGATGAATCCCAAAGAACGATGTCGCATCATTTCCAACATTGTTAAAACTTACGATTCAATGGCCAAAACGGCTGCGGCTTGTATGGTTGCGGCAAGCATGAACGCCCATGTCCATGTGGTATTTGGGATATACATCTTCTCTTTTCTACTTGTCACTATCCCGTTGGGTCCTGATGTAAGTCCTTCGCGATGAAAATAACCTCCAGCGTCTTGTTCATATGGTCCCTGACCAAGAGAAAGCAGGGACTTTCGAGAGTCTTTGCTGAAAGCCACGTCTGCGGTGTTTAAGGCTCCTCAACAGGAGCCAGGGTGAATGACTTAAATCTGTCGTAAAACCCAGAAAGAGTTCGGATAATTTGCGAAAAAGTTGAATCGATAAATGCAATGACAGCGGGGAGTCTCGGGAGAAGAGAATATTGAATGTTTGATGCAGACTAGGAATGCTAGACTATCGGTCGCATGGATAGGTAGGTAAAATGAATCAACGGCCGTCTGTTGTGTTCTGTGGTTCGTTATGTGTATGATTGAGGTGCGACCAATGGTGAAACGTTAAGAGTGTGGCGTTGAGATTCTTATTCGAGGTGGGTTTTAAAATGAGTAGGGATTCTATAATAGGTCGCAGGTCGCAGGTCGCATGTAGGGAAAGAGAAGGTCGTGTGAGCATGCGATACAATGGAAAACGAAAGAGTGTGCGCTGCCGACGTAGGGTAGGTTAATTGAAGATGGGTACGATAGGAGGTCGAATAGCGAAAGGATTAATTCCCTCTCCCTTTTCTTCTCTTAGGTATGAATTAGGTTTGCGGACGGGCCGGAATAGAATGTATGTTGGAGGGCGGAAATTGACGTTCACGGTCAAGGCGGAGGTGTGATGAAGGGGGGCGTAGAAGAAGTTGCTTGAGATGAGCTATGCAGTCTTAGTGGTGGAGGGTGGAGAGGAGTGGCACTATGGGAGGGATAGGGAGGAAGGGAGGGAGGGACGGAGGGAGGGAGGTCTGAGTGAGCGTGAACGTGAACGTTTGTTTGTATGTATTGTTGTGTTTATGCAGGAGTAGAGTGAAAGGGATGAGAAAAAGGCAGAACTCCGTACATCAGCCAGTCGCTTCCGATCAAAGTCGTGCCTATTTTATTCCTGGGAGTTTTATTCCTGGGCCTTTTTTATTCGTGGGTTTTTCGGAATAACACTTGTGTTGAGAGTTGAGTACTCGAGTAAATAAATAATTTGTAAGAGTAGATTGAAGATTGGAGATTGAACAGCCTCAAAGATTTGGCAATGCAGTCATGATTTTCACGTCATATATTTTCATGTCATAATATTTTCATGCCATATTTGTTGTATAGAATGGCCGATGGATCACGGTGGATGTCCGTACGTACTCCGTACTGTACCTTTCGATCCTAGGAAAAAAATGGGCGCAGTCAACGAACTCGAGTGAGGCTCAGCAATATTTGATAAATTTGATAGAGAGGACTCATAGTCTGTACTTACAATCATTTTGTATTATTTATTATTTATAATTTATAATTTATAATTTATTACTCGTATTTTCAATAATTATATTCAATAGTAATAGCTTAATACCTGTGAAAGAGCTTGTTTATATTTGATCCTTATTGCATGTCAGCAGAGTTAATGAACCTTACTACATGGACATTTTATCAAGAGATATATAACCGTTAACCTTACTTACATTCAAGCGCCAGAGACTACCTCCCTGGTGGTGAGTTCAAAGTGTTGAAGAGTAGATCGATCCATCAGATACCATTTATCTTGGCAGTAACATAGAATTGTTTTCACAATGTCACACGATACGTGATACACAATTCAGAATAATATTAATGGTGAGGTTCGAGATGGATTGGCTCTTGTTTTATTGCATCTATCATCTGCCAGGCTTTTTACCTACCTCCCTACCTATGCATACAGCAACTGCACGATTCAATGAAGGACCCGGTAGGGCAACGTCGCCGTAAGGTCACTTGGCCAGCGAATATTTCAGAGGAATGGAATAATTAGAGAATTAAAATCGAAACAGTTTCTACTTGATAATATCATTCAAAATAAATCACAAAAATTTTAATTTATATAAAACATGCCTTGGGTGCGGCAATCATGAACACAGCCCAATGGGCGAGTATCTGGCTTATACCAGCTGTATAGGAGGAGGCTTAGTGTTGTTCATAGCTACGTTCATACGCTGTGTCAGCAGCAAGCTCCATCTTCCAGGGCCTGAGCGTTCTGTACCCCATCCTTATATATCTCCTCCGTGACCCTGATCCAAAACACATCTCTGTTTGGGTATTTGCATGCACCCCATAACACCACCGTCGGCCCCTTCACATGGGACTCTGAGTACCTTACCATAAGCTCACCCCACGAGGCCGGCTCCAAACTCGTCCGTCGATGTGTACAGCTGGTTGTGCATACCCGTCTCCCGTCGGTAGGTGGATCCAAAATCTTGAATCAGAAAATCGAATCGACTGGCACACCTGCTTATCTTCTGACTGCCCTCGAGGTTGACACTTCCATTCTAGCCTACAGATTCCACCATCGAGAGGGTCGTACAGTCGAATTCCACGTCGTTCCACTCGTAGTCGCACATGCCCAGGTTCATGGACTTGTATAGCTACCTTCAAAAACGAGTCGTCAGAGCCGTGATTTTCTGCCCCCAGGACGGCTATATTAGACTATATTACGCTTCTCTCCGAAGTAGCCGGCCGCTCTGCACTTGAGCATGGATCGCTGAGGTCATAATGGCGGTCGACGGGTAGTTGTCATTAACCATTTGCGTGGCCATATAGCTATGTTCGCGGTATGTTGTGGCCCTCCTCCAAAACAAGAGTGTGAGTGGACTAGCAACATCAAGATGAACAAACGCTCTGCTATGTTTAAATGAAAAACAACTGGATTAGCAGTATCAAGGTACATCTGCGTTAAACTGTCTTTCGAAGAGTAGACGGGACGGTAAATGGATTGGCAATATGGAGGTGGGCAAGCGTTTAGGTTCTACTCTCAAAGGGCAGATAGATAGGCAAGTGAATTCGCATTAATAAGGTGAGCTAGCAACAAGATGGACTGACAATATTGAGATGGATAAACGCTCAAGCTTCTGTCCTCAAAATTTTGCCTATACAATCAACTTCGATGGAATCGATTGAGTTCACATACACTGCAAAAACAATGGATTGTATTTCCCTCAATATGATCATTATAACTCTCTCATACAACTTCAATCGACTTTTCACAAAATAAAAACGAATATCCTATTTATCAAGGAAAAACCTCATGTAGGTTCTTCTGTATAGAAGTCAACAAGTCGTCCTTTTTTCTTGTCAACCATTCTAGTTGAGGATTCAAACACCATCACGGAAGCAATTGGTTATATTCTTTGAATACATGTTCCTGTTCTACCTACTACATATATACCGCCTAGCAATACAGAACATTCTTCTCCAAGCGTAGAATAATCAGCCAGCTCCCCCCTCTCTTGTCAACCGTTCTAATCTAAAACTCAAATACAAATAAAAACACAAAAGTGGACTGGTACAGAAACTGCTTTCATGTAGTTTCATCTCTTTTACTGGGTCATTTGGAGTCACGGGCACGCTCATGTATCTTCAGATGTTGAAGGATCAGAGCTTTCTGATCCAACAGGAGCGAGGCATGACAAAAGTGAGCTCATTAATACAGGGTCGATCCTCCGGTGCTATTGTCAGTCAAGTGGATAAAGTTCAAATGTGACCCTTCATTACTGTTTTTCCGTCTTGAATTTAGGTATTCGGCGCCACTAAAGTTCACATTGGTAATGAGTTTTGAGGTTCTTTGCGAACTCATGACCTTCTTGAATCTAGAAAATAACTCGCACGTTTTTCATCGATATTACTTTCTTAGTCGAGCCGGACACTAAAACCGCTTCGACACATCTAGATTTCCACATTGCCAGTGGGTTTACGATCACCCTGGATACGCTCATATGCAATCCCACCCCGGACTCCAAGAGAGCACCATGATGAACAAATAACATTTGTACTTTCATCGAGAGCATACAGGACTCCTTTAATAAATGATTCCAAGGCACCCAAATGGTATGGGAATTTTCTAGCCCTGCTTGATATTGTGGACACCTGCTGGTAATATTTGAATTACATCGTACGAAGATGATCGCCTTTAGCTTCTTCCATATTCGTTCTGTTGACATTGGCACTTGTCAGTCTCCTAAATCCCCCCAACTTTTCCGGTTCTGCATATACTTCTCAAGGTCAAGTACCCTTGATGATTTAAGTACATTTTGTTCTTCGACATTTTTGGTTTTAAAACCAAGTCTCTGGAGATGCCTACGAGAGGTTCATGTACGAATTATTGGTTATCTCTTTTCTACACAAAGGGGAAAAAAGTAGCTTGTAATGCAATGCAGAGATGAGATTAGTCACAAACACAGGGAAGTGAGCAAGTAGAGGTATGTTGAAACCATGTTGGTGAAGATGAATTAGACCCGCAGGGTAGAGCAACTTCTTTTGGGGGTGCTGGAAGCGTGCATTAGTATTATTGGTGATTAAAAAAGGAATATCCAGAAGGTCATATTGTAGAGTACACATAAAAAAAGTGAATATCCACTCAATTAATCCTTAAATACCTATCGTATAGATTTTTCGATTGAACATTAAATATCTTATTGTTAAAGAAGAATAATTTATATATTTAACTTTTAATTATATTTTTGGAAAAAACTAATGATATATAAATATAAATATAAATATAAATAATTTAATCAATCTAAACTTTTTTAAGATAAAATTAATTTCTATTTTTTATTTCCGAGTACAAGAATTAATAAAATAGACTAAAAAGTTTTATTGATTAATTCACTTCTTGATCCACTTGATTTATCCATCCAATTGTATATACAGAACCTTATTCCGAAAAGGGTTTAGACTTACTTGAGTTTAGGAATAAATTATACCGGTAATTCTTCTGTCATCCCTCTATCGGTGGCCCAAGCTCCTTCCCACCAAACTCACTCGCAGCTCACTATCACTTATCACTATCACAATCGCTGACTACTTAATTCAACCCAAAAACTTTTCATCTTGTCGCAAGCCCAAAATATGGACATCGATGATGATGAGGAAATATTGCGGACCCTCGCGCATGGTCAACCTATTGATTAGTACGTTTTGCGCATTCTTATGATCGCCGGGAATGTGGAGTGTGATGGCTTCATACTGACTGACACTTGGGTTGTAGCTCAATATGGCCGAGTTTACTTGAGAGGTTGATGATTAGATTGGAAAAGGTAACAAGTGCACCTCCTTTACTTTTCCAAGATCCTATATGATGCGCAGATAGCTAACTCAGTACCAGATTGCCATCACGGATTTCCAAATTCCAAAACTTCCAACATTCGCGCGCCCCTCTTCTCCTTCAATCTCCCCAAGGCAAAATACCAATAATGAAGACCCCTCTTCCGACTTTACGCCTTCGTTAGAATCTCTTCCCTCGATCTGCTACAAGCAACTTCTTGACATACAAAATACCTTGAACAAGACATTTCCAACTCATCCGCCTCATACAATCCAACGTCTCTCCGAGCTCCTCCTAAATCCTACTCAGCACCACCGTTCTCTTCCCTCTTATCTTCACGCCCTTGATCGCGTCATCCATGTCACATCCCCCATAACCGCATTTCCCCTCCCACCAGCCATCCCAGACCCAAGAGTTTCTTCCTCGGTCCTCAGTAACGGAACTCCCCCTTCAGTCGATCCTCTCAGCATTAGCTGGAGCAATCCTACATCTGGAACCGCCTCCGCGAACGGAGGACTCGGTAGCGATGAAGCATTGGGGGGCGCATTATTGACACCTATCAGTTGGTTAAATAAGCGCGAATCGAGCCTCACGCACAATGGCTCAAATGGTACGAGTTCTGGAGGCGCCTCGCCGCGTGGGGAGGTACGCACTGAGAGTACTGAAACAATTGACGGACCAAATGGGCCCGGTGGTGTTGAGACGGTTTCTGTATCCGTTAATGGAATTTCATCAGTTGGTTCCCATGTAATAATGTCATTGCTTCCGTCATCCGTATCTAGTTTAGGAGAACAGGGGTTGAGAGCAGAAGGTGGGGTTACACAGGGAGAATTATTGCGCCAGGAGCAGAAAGCCGGAGTGGTGCCAGCATCGCAGTTGAGGGTGATGCAGAGAGAACCCGACAGAGAAGATTGGATGGGGAGAAGAGATGAAAATGGAATGGGAGAAGAGGATGAAATGCCACATGCGAGAGGTCCAGAGGAAATTGGGATGGAGGATATGGGCCCCCAGGAATGGAGAAAAGTACCGATGACTGGAGGGGGAATTGATGTTGAGGCTGCCGTGGGAAGAAGGCCGGATTTCACAGAGGAGAAGGAAGTGGGGAAAAAGACGCAAAAAGAGGATGGTGAAGTGATTGGAAAGTCGAATGAAGATGCAGATGGAGATGCGGTCATGAACGTTGAGGTGAAAGAGGAAGGTGGAGAATCAACTGCATTGAAAAGAGCCGCGGAAGATGATATTGGAAGTGAAGCTGGGGAAAAGAGAGTCAAAGAGGGGATGGACATTGAACCTAATCCTGATTCTGCGACCAAACAAGACACTGTCAGGGAAGGGGAAAATGAGAATGTAATGCAAAAAGAGGAAAATACTATGATGGAAACAGATACGGAGACTGATACGAAAACGGAGGTTGAAGACGCAAACGAAAAAGAAACAATTTTTCGGGCGGGAGATTTACGGACGTGTTGATGAGGCAATAACCCATCTTGAGAATATCACGCAGAGAGTATAATGGCGAGCACGACGTGAGCTTAAGCAAGGGAGAACCCAGAGAGAGTGTGTGTGTGTAAAGAGAGAAGAGAAAGGTTCTTGGGATACGAATGAATTGTTAGGTACCAAGCCGATGATACTATAGTTAGCTATTGTCCAAAAGATGAATGTAATGTTCTGCTTGTGAAATACTAAGTGTTGTAAGATTGGTACCCAAGCATATTGGTGATGGCGCTCATGTTTCTGAACGGTATTCCTTTATATCTTGTGTGTTTCCGCACATGAACATGATTAATAAGCTTGAAGCTCCTGATCAGATAGATGAGATGAGTTGATATCACTTGCGCTGCCACTCACATTACTCGAGTACATGTATTCCAGTCACTCTCAGTTACGACAAACATCATTCCCACCTTCCATACACATTTACCTCCCTGCCTTTATCTCTCCTATTTCCCTTGACTGCTTAAAGCAAGCAGGAGACATTTGCTGCACGTCTGAATAATTCATTACTGTCACTTCTATTCAATTGATTTCCCGACAATTTTACTTCATCATCCGTTAGATTGACCATTTCTGACCTGTTTTCTCCTTTTCTCCTTCATCTACATTTTGCATGACGCAGCCTTTGGTGTTGCGCGTGCGTACACTGATGTGATATAATCCATTCTTTCTGATTCAAAGTTGAGTTGATGCTAATGTATGAAGAACTCTCTTCGTCCAATCGCTATTCGCGTTGCTTGCACAATCTGAAACGTAGACCTCGACCTCAACATATATGTATGTGTGTGTCAAAAATCCCATAAACGCCCCGTCCAATCCTGTAATGCTATATCCTAGCCCAACGCAGCCCATCCATCCATATTTAATCCAAGACATACGCCGGCCACAAAGCTTATATTCACCTTCCCATGACGCCCATGCGTATTTCCCGCGCTTCCCTACAAATAAATCTGCCTCGCATCCTTCGGTTGACTCTCATTCGGACAATACGGACATTTAAACCTCCCACCCTTACTCAACCTATGCAGACTTTCCTTCGCAACCACGTGACCACACGGCATCATCATGGGCGGATTCGTTTCACTCGTCTGTTCTTTACTCACCGGACACACGAAAATCGGATGGAACATCATACTTCTGGGCAATGCGATCTCTACCGGAAGTTCTGTTGCTGTCGTCCATTCTGTGCGTTTTTCCTTCACAATGGAAGCGAGTTTTATGAGGGTGGGAAGGGCGATGGCACCTGCTGTGGCAGCGAGGTAAAGTGGGGATTCAGCGGAGAGGCCGAGAAGCGAACAGAATTCGCGCGTGAAAGAGTTGCAGACGTCTGACCATGAGGTGGAGGTATTGAAGGTTTGTTGATAGGGTGAATTTTGAAGATTGGATTCGAAGACCATAGCAGTAATGAGCTGTTGGATTTCGCGGAGAAAACGGCCTTGGAATTGAGGAAAGTAAATGCGTGCGTAGCGAAGCGCGCCTGGTAGGCCGTTGTTTTCGTCGTCTGGAAGGCCATTCACGTTTGGGCCTAGAAATAGCCAAACAAATTGTAGCTTGTTAAGTTCGAATTCGAGATTACTACCTCGACTTTCTAGCTCTTTGCTGTTTTTTTGTGCCCACTCTATTGCAGGACGAAGGTTTCGTTGTTTGAGTTGGTGTAAAATATTATACATGGTCTCGAATTCCCCTTGTAGTCCTTGTGATTCTTCGGCAGCGAGGCCGTCCAAAACATCCCCATCTGATGCGGAGATTTCGTCCCTCCGTGATGCGAACGAGTCTCCATTTGTTTCCCGGCTCGAGCCACTCTCCCGGAAATTTTGTGTTTCTTCGAAGAACGTCGAAGCTACGCCAAATTGTCCTTCGCGTAAGAGATGCATGGTGATAGCTCGATTTACGAGTTTTGGATAGCTTGCGAGGGCATCGATCTCAGTCGGTAATGTTTGTTTTGGGAGGTTCTGAAGAGAAGATGGTCAGCTCATAGTCATATGTATCACTATAAGTATGCATCACTTACCGCATTTAAGGCCTTGCCGTAGGTAGTATGGGCTTTGTGGATCTTCTTGATATCATCATTAACTTTATCAAATCCATTTTTCAGCGGGTTTTGAAGTCTGGCTAAAGTTATGGAAACGGAATGAGGCTCTAGACGAAAAGAACAGTTCAGTGACTATCCACTGCCGATAGAGAGAACGCAAGGTGGCAATAGGGACATTCAAAACTTCCATGTCTTCACGTCCCTATCTCTCGTCGTAGGCTTGCTTCTTTGGAGTAGAGAACTTATTTACCTGATTCGATACAGTATCTTGCTCGCTCAAGTTGCTCTATGATCTTTTCCACATCCTCAATACTTTGATCAAAGCTGGAGTCCCTTTGTAGCTTGTTAAGCTCCTTCTCAAGCACATCCATAGCTGTTCACCCCGCCTTAGTTTTTCTGGATGTCGGTATCAATGTGTGTTCGCAATCGCTGTCTTCATATACCGTATGGGCGATGAGTCTGATGTCGTATTGTATGTATATGATGGCGGAAAGGGTATATGTGGATTCGATAATACTGCTCTGTTGTTAATCTTAGAATTAGAAATATGATCGATTGTCGTCAGTTTGTTGTACGATATGATAAATCCTATGTTGACTTCATCGGCACTTCATCGGCATTGATACGGTCTCGATAAGGTTTACAGGGGAGCTTGGGTCTCAATTATAGAAGGTGTCCAAGGATAATAAAGCCAAAAAGAAAACCCCCTAAATGTTTTTTCCGCCTTTCCTTCTCTTCTCACTTACTCTGTATTCTTGTCAACCTTTGAATGAATAAAAAGCACAGTATAAAACAGCTGTTGTATTCTTTTTTATGGACACCCAAATTATGTGATTCAAAGAGGGAGAGAGAGAGAAAGTGTGTGAGAGATGGAACATTGGTTCTTCATCAATTTGAAACATATATTGATGTTAAAATTCCTTACTTCTTACTCCTTTTCCATTGCAAATTTATAAATACCGTCCGTCTGTGATTTCATCGAGACATTGCATGCAATGAAGGTTTTCCCTTTTATCGACTTTTATTATCGACGTCACATCAAGGACCCCGGTTACTCGCAGCACAGCACAGCACAGCACAGCACAGCACAGGGCGCAAGAGCCTAGCCTAGTGAAAAAGGAAGGAAAGGGAATCAAGGACAGAGACATAAAAGGAATACTATGTCTTTACGTTTTTCAATTCCTCATGCATATGATCCAAATATGAATAGAGAGGATCTTTTGACCCTTTCGAGAACGACTTCTCATTCTTATAAAAGTGGTTTAACCTCTCAAGCAAAACCGAATCATGGCAATAAATCAGAGCATGCAAAGCAACCTTATGTATTTGCAGATCCAATTGCTTTTAGGCATGAGAACTCTTACTATTGAGTTCCGAATTCCTTACTAATTTTTGGACTTTTGACAGATATCTGGAAGAGGACAACGCCACAGAAGTTATAGAACGTCACGGAGAACTTAAAGGTTACGAAATTTATCTGGTCGAGCAATGGGCATGTTCGAGAGTACATCCCACTTTCGTTATTACGACCTATACAGGGGATGCCAGCCACAAGATTCAAGTAGGAGTACTGGGGATTCCTGCAGATAAGGAGACATGGAATCCGAGACTTCGAGTCTACTTCAACGCCATTTCTCAGTATCACGCCAGATCTAAGGATACGCCATTAGGCACATTGATGGTTACAAATTTGAGCAGCTTTCCCTCTGGGCTCAATGTTATCCCGGTACCGAATGGAGACGTGAGGAAACATAGGGAAGATTTCATTGTCAACGAGAATTTGAAGAGGTTGGGATGTTCTGGTCGATCCGGCATGAGCCTTCAGACACCGGCAGCTGCAACACAAGCCAAATTCTTTCAATTATACAAAACGAGCGATCGAATACCCCTATATGGTGCTGTCATCGAACTAGTAAAGCTTTGTCAAGTAGCTTTAATGATATTCGGGAAGTTAGAACAGGAATACGCTGATGGTTGTCTTTGCGATGTTACCGAGAGAGCAATAAATGATTGGTGGACTGAAATTGGATCGGAATACTACAACATTGAACCATCCGACGGGATTCTAGGCCCTACGACTGTGGCCGCACTTCTAGGATTGCTCATGGGTGCCAGAAATCGACTCAATTATTATGGGGCCCCGGTGGCTAAGGACGCTTTTGATGTTGTTAGTCTCAAGCGCGGCATAGCTTATTTTCAAAAGTCCCAGAAATTGGAGCGTACTAGGAGGCTAGATAGGCACACTCTACAGCGGTTACATCACGTCACTGCGAAAGGTGCTGCGGGAGATGGTTGGGCAGTTCCAAAAGCGGTGAAGTCGACCCTTGCAGAAGTTAGTGGGAAAAGTGGTGAAATGGTTATGGGAATGGTTGGTCGTGATAAATCTGGGATTGCCGACATCGAGACTTGGGACTTAGAGCGCTTCATAACTCTGGTACATGGCGCAAGATCGAAATGGTTATGGTATGGGAAATCTAGACGGACAGGTGTCGATGATCATGGTAAATCAGAATCCGCGGCGGCTCACATGTCGTTCACCAAGGATGACCATGGTGGATACATGTGGTCTCACAACAGAGCTGATTCAGTGCCTCCAGAGGATGATACAGATATTCGCAAAAAAGAAGTCTCCGATGACATATACTCCGCTCAGCCTCCAGGATCGACACCGAGTATGTTGGAAACTTCGAATGACCGAGAATTTCAACTTCACAAAACTGTGTTTAAAAAGGCTACCGGGAAGATGAGCGAGGCCAAGCAAGGTTTTGGACGAATAAAGGATGCTGTTGGCCTGCGCGGCCATGCCAGTAAACATTCGAAAGACGAAAGCCGTGACTTGGATGAGAACGGTGGTTACTTTAGCCCGGGACATCTGACTACAACACCCTATGGGCCAAGCACACCATCTAGTCCAACAACTAACAAAGCATTTAGTTGGAAAATCAAGCCGGGAGAATATGAAAGTGCTATACCAAACCCTAAAGACGTCGTGACCGGATTAGCGCAAGCTGGGCTGCGTGAAAGGGGTAGCGAATCACCTCCTGACAATTCCAGGACAAGCTTGCCAGGTTTCACTCCAAATTCAAGCGCTTTACAATGGGAAGAAAGGAAGGCCACGGAAGCTGAAGAACAGTGGCAGGCACAGGCGCAAGATATTCGGCGCGAACTTGTGGCAAGGGAGCCTTCGATTTCAGGCTCCATTTTCGCCGAAGGTGACCTTGAAGGTCCAGTTTTAGAGGCAGAACGTAGTGTCAATCATAATTTTGTGGCAATACTTCATCGTCGACATAGTGTTTCAGACGTGTCTCACATCAGGAGACATCGCGGCGAAGATCGGATACAGCGCCACGCGTCTTTCAGCGACGCCGAAGACGCTATTCTAACCTGGGATCCCGTTGGTATTATTGACAAGTTTGATGATTTAGATGAGTGGCTTGCATTACAAAATCATAAACTACTCAACGAGGATTACAAACGAATATACGAGAAGATATTGGATCTCCGAAACAATCTATGCCCATGGGTACAACAGAGAATCGAAGGAATCAACCTTTTAGAGGACCAGGCTGCTTTGGACCAAGAAAGATTTCAAGAACTACACATGCAGCTGAGCGAAGAATACCAGGATCTAAGGAAGAACACGCAAGACTTCCTTGGCGAAGAACGATCTCATGTTACAGAAACTCTCAAAGATATTGAAGTTCTTGGAGCCAAACTTGAGTACGAGCTTGATTCTCTCGTGTCAAAAGTACAGGACGTAGAGGATGGTGTATCTCAATTTGAAAGACAGGTAGATGATTTGGAAACACGGGCAGATGAACTAGAAAATATTTTTAGAAGAGAAAGTTGGGCTCATTGGATTGTTCGCTCCATCACAGGAATTGGTACTGGCCCAAATATAGTGGCACCGAGGAGCCCATGATTTTATATTAGTTAGTCGACAACTGCATTCAGCCGGCGTTTTGGGTATACCCATCAAGCATTTATATTTTTTTGAGAATATGGATTGGAGTTTTGGGATTTGGGGGTGGCGGATATGAACGTCGTTTGTGCTGTCCTTATACCACATTCTAATGTACAATATCAACAGGGATGGGTTTTATCATCACCCGCTACTGTTTTTTTGATGTCCTGAACGTCTTCCGATGGATTCCTTTTATGCCTTTCCATCATCATGTCACCTCTGCATCATGTGCGCGTCAAACGGGCCAAAAATAAAACGCCCCAAAGAAGCTTCCTTCCTTCCATCAAGATCATTTTATATTCCAAATCCACCACCTCCAAAACCACCGCCACCAGCCCCTTTAGCTGCTGCCTCTGCTTGTAATAACTCGGAGATTTTCATCTGTACGTCGAAAAACTTTGCCGCACATCGATCAATGCAGACACCCTCGCCTTTGTTGAGTTCGCCCTCGCGGTATTCTTTAGGAATGCACTTCTTAATGCATGACTGACTGAGTCTGTAAAAACATGTCAGTATAGACTAGATACCATGAAGCTATTCATAGCTTCATGAATAATAATGCTCCGCTAGCCCCCCGGAAGCCACTGCCGCAAAGGGCAGACTAATATATCTTAAATATTTAGAGCGCAGCGAGCTATGGGGTTTCCGGAGCTTCCATCATTGGCAGTTTAATCTACTCTTTCGAGTACAAACAGGATAACATACTTGTTGAACATATCAGTAATAAGATCCATCTCTTGCTCAGCAGCAGCGATTTTCTCTTGCGAGGATGGCTGAGGACGACCCATTCCGAACATTGACATGATTGCGGTATTTTGTGTATATGAAATTGGGAAATATGTGAGGGTATTCAAGTTGTAGAATATCAAATTGGGCGGGGCTTACTATTTGTTTGATACCTCGATCCAAGGTTTGTATGAACCCTTGAATGGAAAGCTTCACTAGCGTCGGGAAAACATTATTCCGGAAGAAAATTATTTTTTCAAAGATAAAACTCGAAACTGAGCTTCTTTCCATTGATTGACTTCTTCGTCAACAATAACACTCTCGTACCAACAATTGGTCTTGGAGAGTGCAATAATTAATTGGTATGTATATGATAACCCTTTCGTCCATTGCTTTATTATCTTTCCATGAGTCTATATGATGATTTCCATATAACATTAGAACCGTTGCGACTGACACCCTTCTTCGGGAGAGTGGTTGATCTCACATCGATCCGTTGTCTGAAAAACTCGTTATCTACATCTTCCATTGCTTTAATATTGTTTTTCATTGAGTGAAGCTAATTGAGTTGTATAAAGATTACAGGATGAGTTCTCTTACCGGTCTACGGTTCCTAAGACCATATCTTTATCATGACATTCTACCGGTGAAACCAGCTGCATATGCACGAATTTTCTCTACACATTATCGTTTACGTGGCAAGGGGCCGAAGGCTCCTTCCTGCGAGACTGAGGGCGAGTTTAATGTACGGAGAGTGAAGTTGAAGGAAGGCTTAGATCACTCTGAAAGTAGGATAAAAAAACTTCAGTTATCTGGCGCCTTACATTACCCAAGAATTAAAAAGGTTGGTAGAATTGCTACGGTGAAAAGTTGTCTTGAGTATTGTGCGACATTGCCATGTGGATATAGTCATGAAACCGATGCTCTTACGCTGCATGGTAAGAACTTTTCTGGGCAGAATGCAAATAGAGGTTGATTTTTTGTAGGTAGGCTTGAAAGTGTGCGAAAGTTTGGCTCAAAGCTTGTCTTCATGAATTTGACAGAAGACGGTTATTCAATTCAATTAGAAGCCGAACATGGGAAGATATCTAAAAATCAAGATGTTATTGTGCAAACTCCAATTTCCTTCGAAAATTTAAGCAAAATTATGCAACGTGGAGATATTGTTTGTGAGTGAAAATTCCATGTCGCATCCCTTTCCCTTTTGGCGAACCTAACATGTAATAGCTGCAACTGGTTACCCAATTCGTAAAGACAATGGTTCAGCTACTCTCCAATTGACATGTTTACCACATATATTGACTCCAAGTCTGGCACCGGTGCCCAGAAAATTAGAGGATCCAGAAACTCGTATTCGAAATCGACATCTCGACCTTCTTGTCAACAACGATGTCGCCGCTACCCTGCGGCTTCGTTCAAAAATCACACAGCATATCCGTGATTTCCTCGTTCAAGATAATTTCCTCGAATTTCAAACCCCGATCCTTGCCGATAAGGCTTCAGGTGCCATGGCCCAACCGTTCAAAACAAATGCAACAGAGTTCCCCGAAAAGGAGTTAGCTCTGAGAATAGCTCCTGAGTTATGGTTAAAACGCCTAGTCATCGGTGGTTTAGATCGAGTTTTCGAAATTGGTCCTGCGTTCAGAAATGAAGGTCTTGATGCTACACATAATCCGGAATTCACAACCTGTGAATTTTACAAAGCGTACGCGGACATTGAGGATCTTATCTCCATGACCGAGAAGTTGGTTTCGGGTCTTGTACATCTCGTCAATGGATTGCGTGTCGATCCTCAACATGTAAAATACATGCCTTTTACGGAACTTCCACGCTTCGAAGAGGATCTATACACAAAACCCTTTAAAAGAATCGAATTCATACCCGCCATCGAATCTGCAATTGAGGAAAAGTTACCCGATCTCCAAAAAGATGACGCTAGAGAAGACCTCCTTCAGCTTTTCGGAAAATATGATCTCGAAGTTCCCGAAAACCCAACTCTCCCCCGTCTCCTAGATAAGCTCGCATCCATCTACATCGAGCCCCGTTGTTCCGATCCCACGTTCATTATGCATCAGCCCTCCTGCATGGCGCCCCTCTCAAAATCCTTCCTCGATCCTACTACCAAGCAACTCGTATCCGCACGGGTGGAACTCTTCATACAGCACCAAGAAATAGCAAATATGTATGAAGAAGAGAATTCACCATTTGAACAGCGGTACAAATTTGGAGAACAGTTGAAATTTAAGGATATAGAGAATCCCATGGATAAAGTGGATGAGGGATATATTCAAGCGTTGGAGGTGGGATTGCCCCCTACTGGCGGATGGGGATGTGGAGTTGATAGGTTGGCCATGTGGTTGAGTGGTGCGAAAAGGATTAGTGATGTGTTGCCGTTCGGAAATCTGAGGAATGTGGTTAATTTAGGAGCGGTCGTTAAAAGCGAAATGGAAGAAGGGGAGAAAGTATGAAATTTCTTTCCTCGAAGGAATGGTGGAGCCGAGGCTTTGAGTATGGAATTGATGGAACAGATAATATGGATGGATAAGAAAGGGGCAAGCCAACGCAGCGGAGAGAGGTCAATATCACACAGGTGCTCTAAGGAGCGGCAATGTAAATATTCCAAAAATCCAACGACAGTTGCTACTCTTTTGCCTCGCCTCCTTCTTTCTACCGCCTTTTCATTCTTCCTTCTTTCCACCACATGTTTCCGTTCCAACAAACTCTAAAAAATCGCAATAACATTTGACGGACTCACCACCCCACCAGGAATATTCGACGGCGCACTAGCGACAAAGAAGAATATCGATCTTGTTCTGCGAATACATTGGCCGATCCTGTTGGATCCCAGAGTCCGCCTATTAGACAACCGCTTGAGGAAAGAGGGACAGGAGCGTTAGTACATGATGTGCTTGTGTGCTTGAGGGAGGAGGGAAAGGGTAGTTTTGAGGAGAGAAGAGAAAAGAAAAATTTAGACTCACAATAAAGCCAATAGCCAATCATGCAGTACTCACTCCGAGTGTTTTTCCGCCCAGCGGCGACCACTCGTATCACTCGCTACTGATCCATTCGACAAGTTCATTTACATCCTTTCACTCCCACAAATTCGTGGGCGGTTTTCACGCTTGTATGCGTTCTTCAGCACCAGCTTCTTCATACAACTTTACAAAACCGCTCCTCACAATCAAAACTCCTGCCTGTCTAAAGATAACACCCTGTTCGCTAGCCATCTCATCATTCGTCTCAATAGTAATTTCAAGTCTTGACACTGGTGAATAGAAAATATTATGAAGCCGACCGAGTGTAGGCTACGTAATCGATTAGGATCCCACGTCCTATGATACCACCGCGCATGCTCCAAGGTTCTTTCCATTTCGGAGTGCGGAAGGTTGTTGTAGTAGAGTGATATGGATTGATGGACCGAGTGACCTGGAATAAGGAAGGGAATTAGCTCGGATTAATTAGCTTGTGGAAGGGAAGGGGAGTGATAAGGAATGCATATGATGGCGAAGGATAGCAATGTGGGCCACGATATCCGTCCAACTGAGAACCACTTTGCGTGTTAATAGAAATCACATCGTCGTATGCTTTGAAACTCAAGGTAGTTAGATCCCCGATTATGTGGTTGGAACCTCGCGACTGAAGCCCGGTTCGTGGATCAGGTCTTGAAATCAATTTTTAGGGGCCTATAGATGTTAGTACACTGTTTCCCTATTTCCGTTTGCCGTCCTCTGCTTGAAAATATGTGGAAAGGCTGAGGAACGGAAAACTTGGTATTAGAAAGGATCGTGTAAAACCGCATGAGATAACAACACACTTTGGGGCGACATTTCTACCCGACTTGGTCCCCTTGCTCGCTTCAAGTGTATTTTCTGCTGTTAGAAAATTGAGAGTACCATAGCTGTCTCTCTCACCTTTCTTATCGAAGATGCACCGATCCGTTCCTTGAGACATGCCTTTAACTAGAGTCATATCTTAGAAATCTAGGAGGTGTTTAGGTTGTTTATGAGGTTAGGCTTAGAGAATGAGGTGGGTTTAGGATGGGAAATGAGTTTTGAGCGGGGTATCGTTTAAGGTATACTTGAGTAGAACATACTGTATGATATTAGAATGTGAATAGCCAAGAAGGATCCGAATAGCTACTATTGATATAGATATTGATAATCGTTGCATAATACTCGATATTATATTTTTAAATACAAGGCAAAGCCAAGCACAAACTAAGATCACAAGCAGAAGGAGAAAACAGCAAACATAGCCTATTCTCAAGATAAAAACAAGAACAATAGGAATCGGAACGTGTTGGATGATTTGGATGATTTAGATGATTAGTCATCTCTATTTGAAGGTAACCAGGTGGGTTTACTATATCTCCAATTCGTCTTTGCTAATTTGCATCCCCCCGTGCCGTCTCAAATGTTTGGTATTACATTGCGGGGTTGGAATGACATCGACTGAGCAACCAGCTGGCCGTCTAGGAAACTTTCAAGCGTGGGGGTGGTTGGAAAGAGCATGACTTATGTACTTATGGGAGCCTATGGAGGTTCCGAAGAAGACATAGTTGTAGCCATCGGCTTTTCGTATAATCTACACGAAAGGTACCCGAATTTTGTTGTGGAAGGAGGGTGGATCATGGGGCAATATGCAAATCTGATAAGCAGAGACAGGAGCTTCGGATCTTATTCTCAAAGTATGTATCTATACCTGGTATTCGAGGCAAGGCGCATTGCTTCTCCGAGTCACTCCCTTCTGCACTGCGGTGTTTTCTTAAATTTAGTAGTTAGAAGTCCTGACAGTACAGTATGATGTCGAGCTTGGATCAGCATTCCGCCTGTCCCCTCATCACTTTCAGCTATAGCCCATCCGGCCTTCTCCCCCTCATTTCAAATACTTGTGATTAGAGGAAAATAGGTATTTCATATACTATTCAACAAGTTTGAGAAGGGCAACAAGGCAAAAAATCAAGGCAGTACTGTAAATCACTACTCTTTTTAACACAGCCAAAGTTTTTGCAGGAGTCCCTTTCCTCGAAGCGGGGATGTATACATTTGTAGGATATTGACTTATCTGATGGGTATGTATGTATTAGCATATTCTCAAAAGATACATATTCCACAGTCGGTTTAAACGAAACTCTCTATGCCCGTCAAAATCAAATCTCGTGCACTTACCACAATCATCATGGCTAGAGTCTATTGCATCCGTGGTACTGAAGTGCAAGGGGAAAATTGACAAGGGATTTCGTTCCCGAAATGCGCTTGGAGCTCTCTAGCACCCACAACTAGTCAATCTGAGACCCGACCTCTTTTACATCCACAAATGCAAATCTGTCCCGCATGGATCTAGACGTTGTTCTTGAACAAGTCAGCAAACAATAATTTGATCCCATATAAAGTAAAGCTTTCCATTTCCTGCCGTGTTCAAAGAGGCAATGACAGTCATGCGGAACAAGAGCCGTGTGGCTACCCCATTCAGCAAGCCACTAGTGTCGGAGGTCAAAGGGGCGAACCTTTTCCTTCAGTATCTAATGTGCCAGTAGATGGGCTGTCTAGGCTTTGCTGAAATTATTAGTAAAAAGACAAAGTCTGAATAGTTATTGGGCTGGAATGGCTCTGCGCTTTCCCGAGATTCCATATCTTGGCCATGCCAAGGGGGCGACGAGACAGGAATATGGGTACTGAACTTGGAGATCCAAGGAAAAGCGCGAAAGCAATGTATGAGCCTGCTTTACCTACTTGAAACTTCGAGGAAGTAACTAGAGGTGATGATAAGGCAATCATGTCAAGAGACTGGAAGAATAGAGAGAATTACAAGAAGTGAGAGGAGATCTCTAACCGCTACGATGTTGATCAATGAGCGATAACACAATCGAGCTGCCATACAATCGACCAACAATAATGTCTAATAATGTCTGCCAAAGCAGTGTCGGCAGCTAAAATAATCCGTCATTCTACCCAATTTGACTTCTTGAGCCTTTGTAAAGTTCCTATGTCTGCGCTCATGCAGCTACCCATCTTGGCAAAAATAATGTGGCATCCATGAAAGCGCGCCTTCCTTAATATCAAATCAATTATCTTAATAGTACCTCCCCTCATTCATCAATATTCTCGTGTGATATCAAATATCTTTGGATATTAAGACACCTTTCGCCGACAGGCCAGTGCAATACCTCTCGGCCTTTCCTTTAAGCAAACAAAGTAAGGAGCTTCAATAACCTCAACACTTAAAGGCCAACCTCTCGCTTTGACGGTCATGTATAGCAATATCAACGCAATCTGACCATTGTCTCTCTCTCATCTTTGCTTTCTCGTTTGCTCAAAGACATCAACACAACGCTCTGCTTGTATGCCTTACTGTCTTTCTTTCATCATGAAGTCAAATCCAGGGCTGTATGAATTGGATTCGAATTATCCTGTGCCAAATGGAGGTTCTTCTTGCTTGAATATCTACGAGCTCTATCAAATCGAACAGTATGAAGCACAGGAGTTATTCGAGTTCGAGCAATATATCAAGATCATTCAGTTTGCTGAAGCTGTGCGCTCTGGAACTCATCCTAGAGTCAAAATTCTTCCTCAACCTAACACCACAGCATATACGACGTTCAGGGTTTGTTACTCTATAGTCATTGAATACGCTTGCTAATATACTTTTGCACTTCAGGCACCCAAAACTCCTAGACATGAAGATACCGAGTCAGTAAACATCGGGATTGTGGAGGCCGATACAGCGAATGATTTGAATCTCACGCAAGAAAAATGTAAAAAGAGGAGCCGAAAGAAGAAATGCTATCTTGGCCAGATCGGTAAGAAGCACGAGGATCTGCCTGAAGCACGATATATTTTGAAACCATAGTGCATTCGCTTAGAGCGAATGAACTGCCGTGGCAAGAATGCACCTCATGGCAGATCTGTTGATCCACAGTCAGCCCCTACAGGCGATTCCTTTTGAGAACTCTCTACAGTGATAGAAGTCACTTCTACGGCGATTGTCCCAAATGTCGGTGGCTGCACAAAATGCGCGGCTAGTACTTCCGGTGAGATTGTTGTAGTGGAAAGAACTGCAAAATTTAGCTCGATGTTGGCTATAACACCTATTGAGAAAGTCGAAGATATCGCTCAAACGAATCAAATTGTTACAGGTAACTCCATTCCTGAATTAACGTCGCAGGCATTTTCCATTAGTAACCTGCCACTTCAAAACAAAAACATTAACCAGAATTTCCAATCCTCAACTGCCTCTCTCATCCCTACTACAGTACAGCACAAGTTAATTCAGGCTCGCAAAATTCAAGCACACCGTGCAGTCGTCGAGGAGAAAAAGATTGAAGCACAACAGTCGGTTCATGCGCAAGAGCAAAGTGTTACAAACCCAGATCATATTGAAAGGCAGCGCCAAGCTACCCAAGATCAAGTAACTCAAAAGCTACGCGAGCAGAAAATCGACATCGAAAAGCAAGTTGATGCGCAACGTGTAGCAGTTGAAAGATCTTTGGGCCTGGATAAAGCTCCTCCAACTGTTCCTCGGATTCCATTAGGTATGGCTCCCCGCGTGATGACAAGCCCATTTTTAAATAGCTTAGTCGCTACCCCACTACTAAATTCACGTTTGCAGACTGGATTAAACGTGTGTTCTCCTCCGGTGCTCGGTGAACTTGCTAAGGTTCGGGGATCTGCTTTGCAGCTGCTAGGAAGCAACAAGCAGAATCCAGCAAAGAAGAAGCAGAGGGTTAGAGACAACGATTGTTGAGAAGCACGAGTGAGGTTCGGAGTAATAGAAGTAATAGTGCGAAAGGAAATGGATGAAGAGGAGGGTGAAAGAGTAATTGAGTGTGGAGGAGAAGTGAAAAAGGACGGGACAGAAATTGGTGGTTTCGGGGAGAACTTCGGGATATTAAAGATTGATAGAGATATATAGACTTGGGTAGAGATGAGGCAAAAATAAATGCCAAGGGGTAAAATGGTGGAAAGAAGCGCAAGACGAATTCTCACCGTCTTGCCAAAGTCAAGAGCGCAACATAGTGGGACAAGACTCGCAATAAGATGCGTGACGCATTTTTGGAGAGTTAAATGTCCAATAAATGATAGTGTATACTTAGATATGGAGAAAGGGATTATGAGTATGAACTACTATGCCTCGGGAGTGGAATTAGGTAGAATTTGTATGACCTTCAATGAGCTATGCTTCGCTTTGCACTTAATCAATACGTATATGTATAAAAAGTCAAAACCAAATGAGAAGATATATTACATAAATGCGCCCTGGAACTTAAATTGCGAAATTCACAGTAAACTCGGTGCACAACTTGACCGGAGATGACGGAACAAGGGAAGAGGAATGACGACTCGGAGAAACATAAAGAGGTGCCAAAACAGGGACCTGCGACCCGGGGAAGAATACGTCAGGTTCTCACTGAGAGGTATGGGGGTGGGTTGATCGTTTCTTGAAAGGTCTACTGAGGTTTGAGGGATATGGAATCAAGGGAGATAAATGAAGATGGCGGGACTACTTAGTGAGATGTGAATACGGAAATGGAAGTTGGAGGCAATATGAACGGTCACAGTGTTGTCCTGTAGCTAGAAAGCCAAGTATTACGTTTGGATGATAGTTTATTAAGAATTGGTTGAAGTTTGATACTGTTGCTCATTGCATTCTACGCATCTCCTCCATCTTTGCTAATAATGTTGCATCCTCCGGGTGTTCTGCAACTGTTTTCACCATCTCCTGGGTAACCTTCATTTTTGTCCCTTGTTTCTCAATCAATCGGGTTAGAGCTCTCTTGTCTTCCGTTGCGATCATCCTAAAGATCTCCTCTATGACCTCCATATCTGCCCCCCGCTCTTCAAGCAATACCATTAATGCAATATCCAAATACTTTCGAATAACGTTTCGCTCCCCTATAATTGTTCCACCTCTATATCTTTCTATTCTATCTCTTTCCTCTCTCTCTCTTTTTTCTCTGCTCCTTTTTACCGAAACCTTTATCACTTGATTTGTGATAGTAATATTGTTCTTTTGTCCCTGTCCCTCGAGTAATACCCTGACGATTGTATCACCTTGATCTAAATTTTCTATTGCTGCTATTAAGATTGCCTCTGTGATGATCATCATCCATCCTTGTTTTCACATAATCTAAACATTACTGTGGCTCCATTAGACTTATTTCTTGCTGCTGCGATCATGACTGCTTCTGTGATTGCCATGCTCGCGCCTCGTTTCCCTCGATAGCCATCCTTATCGAATGACTATCACCCCTGCTACAACCTCTAATACTTCGCTTGTAATCTCAAAATCAGCCGGTACGGCCTCTAGCAACTTCCACATATACCGTACGTCCAGCCTCCCTACAAACATCAACAGTTCCTTTGTAACCTGCATATGTGCGCCGCGTTTCTCTATCAGAGACATCCATACATCCTCGTCATAAGGTTCCTCGAGTGGATTTTGTGAGTCGTATGTGTTCTCGCAAGCTGGCTCAGATGCTTGCAACAGCGAAACTAGCTGGCTCCTACATCCATACACTGCGGTGAATCCTATTACGTTCTTTGTGATTGAAGCATTTTCCCTTTTTAAGCTTAGAAAAAGCTCCAACCATCGTTGACCGACGTAATCCGGATGCCTCGTTCCTTGGTGGATGTGTATTATAGCCCTCATTAAATCCACTTCTCTAATTCGAGCATTATCTCTGATCGCATCAGTTATCTCTCTTGAGTAATCATAATCTTCCTCCATAATTGGATAAATGCCATCGTTCCATTTTACCTTAATATAAATCATCGCTAGTTGCGCTTTGCTATTCAATGTATCTTGATGAAAATTGCCTTGAAAATGTTGTCTGATCTTTACCACCTCGAATAGGAGATTCTCCCGTCTGTAAAGATCATAGTTTAGTTCACCGTAAGGCGCAAGCCTGTCTTTACACGACAATATATGTAGATTCTCTCTTCCAAATATCTCTTCATATTTCTCAATGTCATCCTCGAGCTGAGTCATTGCCCTCTCATAATTGGTGGCCTCCTGCAAGATCTGTATCACGTCATATGATCTGGTTGCCTTATCTGCATCGGTCTTCAGATACCCTGGCACTACACAATTGATCTCTGGTACACGATCGGTTGGCATTTCATCGGAGGCTGGCTCCCACTGCCAGGTGAGCAAAAGGTCATGTGGGTAGATATTTGGAGAAGGCAAAGATTGATGAGACGTGGCATGTCGACGATTGGTTTGTCGGCGCCAGGGAGTTGATGTAGTTGGTACAGCTGCGACCATGATGATGGCTGAATAATCCTTGTATACTCTAATGATAGATGGCTTTGAACCTCCTTCTAGAAGACAGATGAGATCATTTTCCTGAATGGACTGTGCGGAGGATGTATTGTCCACACAGAGCCATAGTATTTAATGTACTGCAAGGATACTGGCGTCTCGTTCAACTTAGTCTCGATGCACTGCCAATGGGATCCAAAAGAGTCAGTCGTTACGCGGGATACAAGGCCTAGAATAAAACCTCGAATCTTGATTACTGATATCCCCCTATCATCGAAAGTCTCTACGGATATCGTTTTACGAAGGATAAACTCGATAAGCCTTTGAAAAGTGTCTTCCATGAAATCGTGTAGTCAGGTAGTAGGCCAGTTGAGCTCAGATTATCGGAGCACATACCCAGCAACGCATACAACTTGTCGTGACGTATCGTAGCCTTATGGCCATGATACATATCAATCAACTCACATAGAGGGAGATCCCTTAGCGGACTCAGAGTGTGTTTTGGACGGAAGATGGATCCTCTTATCATGTAGATAGTTGCACGAATCAGACTTTGTAAATGTGGAGAATCCTCGAAGAAAAACTTCAGCTCGCTGATGCCCAAACAGAATGTATACCCGTCTATCTCCTCGGAACTGCATAAGATGTGGATACTTCGAGCTAAGCCAACCTCCTGGAGTACCTAAACGGAAATAGATTATTAGCCTTTTTGGGGATATTGACAACGGTATTTGCCTACCCAAATACGCTGAAACCAAGGTCGTTTAAGCAATTCAAGGAATGACTTTCCAGCCATGTTGTAGTCCACGAAATCGGAAATAAAATTCTCGCCTTCTGCACCAATTCGTATGCTTTCAAGAGCCAAGTCGCTATCATCCGCAGCTTTTCCAAGATAAACGATAACTCGGTTTGCTTGACCATAGATCCTCGCCATCATTTTAATCTGGCGACCTTTCTCTTGCTCATCTTCTTGATTGATGCATATAGCATCTACCCATATCACTTGGTTGAAAGTGCCATTTCGAAGACGTAACAACGCTGCATGGAGGTTCGACGTGATCGGCAGGAATGTCCGTCTATGAAGATACACTGTGGAGGATCGTCAAAACCACCCCGTGTGTACGACAAAGCTTCGTACAAATGAGTTTCTCTACACGATTCCTGTAGATGATACTCATGAAGCTCGCATTGGAGAGGGGCGGTTTCGTCCCTATTAGGAATTAGAGATAAGTAAGCGAATATTGTCCAGATCCAGCGGGGCTAGATATGGCTGAACTGAACCATGATTTAAGTAGGCATTTGGGAACTATAGAGCTTGTTCTGTTTTTTGGTCATAGCAAACAAATTTATACCAGGTTTTGTCATTCATTGACGTTGGCTTTTTCCATGTGTACAAATATTGCAGATCAATGTGTCGCTAAGCCCACCAAGCGATGTGATGTGCTGAGAGGATGAGGAGCTCTTATTATTGATGAGTGGAAAAGGAATAGTGTTGCCTCTCTGCAGTGCCCAATGAGTGAAAAGTCATTTTGATCCTATTTGCCAAAGGGCGCTGGAAATTTTTGGACTCGACAGCACACCCCGCATAAATTTAGTATCGATGCTGTGATGGGGCTTTTTTTGACGTCGAAAGGCTACAATGATATTGGTGAAATCTGCATTACATTCGTAGTGGCATATGTAAATATGTAAATATGTAAGTATATAAGGATATAAGGATATAAGGATATAAGTATATAAGGATATAAGGATATAAATATATGAGTATGTAAATATATAAGTATATAAGTATATAAGTATATAAGTATACAAGTAGATAAGTAGATGTAAGGTCTTGTTATATAAGTAAGACCAGCGTGCAAGTATTGCAATGCGGAACCTTATCCTATGAATGCCGGTATATCATTTTGATGCTCAAAAAGATTATGGTTTGATATGCAATATGCGTGAGATATGCTAACAAGCAATAGATATGTAGTCTGAGACTATATTATATGATATATATTATATATGCTACCGCCGACCTACGACCTATTCTACAATCTCGTGCTCGTGCTTTCGTCGACATTTACATCCTAAGGAGAAGTCAGCAATTAACTATTCCTCCTGGTTCCACAACAAGAAGAAGACGAAAAGGTCTTGGAGTAAATAAAATAATGGATCCAATTGCAATACGAATAATCCACAAACCCACAAACCAGCTCAAATCCTCAAGCTTCCCCACTAAGCCCCTGTCGATTACATGGCATAAGGTTTTCCGATGAAAAAAAAAATATCTGAAAAATCCAACGATTTGCCAAAGCCTAAAGGCTTTTGGTACAAAGTGAAGATCTTTATATGAATTGAGACCTGTCGCATTTTAAAAAGATATGATAATCAAAGACAATCCCTACTTCTCCGCACGATCAGCACTTTCTGAAGCCATCGGCGTGGGATCCTTTTGAGACCCCTCTCGGCAACTAACAAAAGAGCCCATCATTTATGCGCGGATCGACTTCAAATACTAACTACTTTGTACTAGATACGTAGGCACGTAGGCAAAATTTATTGCCACGATTTTCAGCCCTTGGGAGGAAGAAATGAGATGCTTCACGTATCGACCGCATCCCTTTGGACACTTCTACCAGCACCACCGTGGACCAAGGAGGATAGAGAAAGGGATGCTTTATGTATCGCCCTTCTTTTGGTCAACTTGTGTCGGTGTGGTTAAGGAAAAGGCCAAGGAGCAGGCGTTAATGCTATGCATCCTACTGGCAACATCAAAAGGAAGTCCGAGAATCCAAAATCAACCCTCATTTCAGATATATCAAATGCATTACTCGAAAGATCAGCCTTTTGGTTGTTGACAATTTTTACCCACATGGGACATCCCATCATGGTGAGTATGGTATTGCTCTAGACCATCTATGTGGCTTGAAGTTTTTTTCTTTCTTTCTTTCTTTCTTTCTTATATTTTATATCCAATTTTTTTATATTTTTTTTTATTAAAAAAAGGAGATTTATTTTTATTTTTTATTTATATGTTACACCAGGGTTTCTACACACACTAAAAGGTTACTTACTCACCCAGATTCACCTCAAATCATCCTTAATTATCATCCTTGATTAAACATCTCTTTAATTATTAATAAGAATATCATAATTTAGTTCAATTATTGACGAAAAAGGCTGTACTTTAGGTCAATTGCTAAAAGGTATACTCAGTACAGTACTGGAGTCTGGATCATCTTTCTCCGCTGTTTACGTGTTCCAAATGCTTCTAGTCTCGAGGCTTGGTCGATAATAGCATCAAGTCCTTCCTCTAATACAGTTTTGGTCGATTCAAATCCGGATTCAACCCGTCCAACCACCAAAACACTGTTGAAGAGCCGCCCCAATTGTAAAAATTCTGATTCCCTTCCTCAACTTACTTATTCCTGCTTAACCAATATTTGTGAATACCATCATCTCGAAATAATTCAATCCACCTTCTTGCGGAGTACGTACACGACCAACAATAGCGGTTGACAGTTGACACTCGTCGCATATCAACGTGGCGACAACACCGACAATCGTCTTCTACTATTAACACAGCAAGATGACGTCTTAGCGGGCCTGAACATCAGAATTTGCGAAGAGTGAATACCTGCACTTCAAGAGATTATTGGGAAGAAACGCGATATTGGGAAGTCAACACACTGAAAACAAACGAACACTGGCCAAGTGTTGGTCCAAAATATCAACAACCATGGCTGTTGACAAGCACCCCACCTATATCGACCTTCCTCCTGCTCCTCGGAATGCGGTCATGTCGCCGAACGAAACAGAGAGAGGTACACCAAGCTCAGAATATGATCGACCAATATCACCTTTACATATGCCTCCCGGCGAAATTGATGGCTTGGATGCTTTAAAAGCCCAGGAATATATGAGTGGGAGACGAGGATCAGGCCAGAGTAGTAACCTACATATATACATACCCGGTATGGTCTCGCCTGCAGATGTAGCATTTTCGGCCATGCATTATTTGCCATACCCTGTTGTGGTTCTAAATAGTTCCAAAACGGTGATACTCGCAAACGAAGCCACTGCGAGACTACTCAGTGCAGACGGCGATGAAGGTGAAGAAAATCAAGATGCACAGTGCGCGGAACAATACAAAGGACAGACACTTTCCCAATTGGGCATCGACATGGTGAAAGATTTTAAGCCTGTGTGGGTCACTTGGGACACATTTCTGGACAGTCTGGGCGAAGAAATCAATGTACATGCGAATGCGCAAGAGACTGTATCATCGGAGTATGAAGGAGATGTGACGCCGACGGCTGAAAGAGCCGAACCTCCAAGTAGGATTACAAATGTTGAGAAGAAGGCTTCGGTGGTTCATGATGCCGTGGTTGAAGTCATCATCACATCTGGATTAATAACAGCATCCTCGTTTGCAGGGCGAACTGCTAAAAAGATGTCAGATCGGCGTAAGTTTACCTTTAATAATTTGTTCCACGCACAGAGCGGTAGTTTTAGACTTCTTCAAACGCTGTTTGGTTTATTGATGCTTCAAACATTTTCTCGAAAACGGTTGGGTGCTTGTCTTCTTTTCAGTGCTTTTGTGCATGGCCTGAAAGAGTTTTCATTTCAATATGCTCAACCCAGCGACATGCATCAATTGAGCAAATATTCATTTAATGGCTAAGTTTTTTTATCAAAACCAATCTAACAGGTCCAGATTCATACGCCAAAATGATCATTAGTATCTTCGAAATTGAGGGCGAAAAATACTTCATGTTGACCTTCACGAGTACGGAAAGTACTCAACCTGTATTACCCAGCTCAAGGGGGATTTCCAGGAAAGTACACAACCCTAAGCTTCAAATGGGTTCCAACCATGGCTTCCATTCGTCGAGTTCTATGTCTCGCTCAAACCCATCGTCCGCCAGCTCCGAACATAGTTCCAGTCGTGATTCTAGTCAAGGATCCAGCGGCTCATCTGCAATTTCTAGCCCCACGCATGCGCCCATGTCTTCCTCTCCGTTTCCACCTTTGGGTCCCCCGTCACGCGTCAATAAATCAGGCGCCCCCTCAATTCTGCAGAAGGTAATCGTGTTGAAAGATGCACTATTAGATAATACGGAAATTCCTATTCTGGCAATGTGGAAAGATGAGAGTGTGACGATACCGAATAAGGCTGCAAGAAGATTATTTGCAAGAGAAGCCGACATGTCGAATGTTAAAAACGGTATGAGTTTTTGGCTCTCGATCTATGTCTAGCGTTACTAATAGTTTCTCAGGTTTTGATCTAGTTGGTAAATGGCATTGTTACAACCATGATTTCACCGTGGCTTTAGATCCGTCAGAGTATCCTATCTCGATTTTAGTAAGAACACAGACACCATTTTCTAGTCGTTTATTGGGCCTCTATGACCCCGATACTGGGGATAGGATCCTATTTGATTGTTTAGGTATAAAGAACTCCTAAGATCAATCCGAGACATGCTAAAACCTTTTACAGGAGAAGCGGTTCGAGACCCGGATACTGGTGAATTCTTGGCTGGGATTGTGACGTGCAGGGATATCACAGCTGTGACACAACAGATCGCCGAGATAAAAGAGGCTGATGAGCAGAGATTTCAAATGATATGTGATAGTATGCCGCAGCTGATTTGGACGACTACCCGGAATGGCATGCATGACTGGTTCAGTCAGCGCTGGTATGACTATACGGGATTGACCGTGGAGGAATCCCTTGGCGAGGGTTGGAAATCGCCATTTCATCCAGAAGATATGGCCTTGACAAAGAAGCGCTGGCAACATTGTCTAGAGACTGGTGAACCTTATACTACAGAATATCGTTGTCGAAAACACGATGGAGAATGGAGATGGATGCTGGGACGCGCTGTTTGCATGAGGAATAAAGATACTGGCAAAATCGAAAAATGGTACGGAACCTGCACGGATATCCATGATGCGGTCATGTCACGGTTCGAGGCCAAACGACTCCGTCAACAATTATTGTCCGTTATAACCCATGCTCAAGTTACGCTGTTTTCCGTGGACCGAAATCGAAGAATCAACCTCCTGGAAGGTGCCTTCATATGGGATCTTGAGAGCGATGTAGGATCTAGCGATGAGAGCCTCGCGGGTAGTGGTAAAGCTAAGGGGTCTGATTACATAGGGAAGAATGTTTACGACGTCTTTTCGCATTCCAGTAACCACAGGCAAAGCCATGACATGATTCCTGCCTCACTACAACCAATCGAGGATATCTTGACTGGAAAGATAATGGAAGACATGCAAGAACACACCATCGACAATAGGTGGTACCGCACGAAATTTGTCCCTGTCCTGGGTAAGAAAGATGGAGGTGGACATGTCAATGAAGCGTTCATCGATGGTGTCATTGGATTATCTATGGATATAACTGAGATTAAAGATCGTGAAAATGATCTCCAGATGCAAGAAAGGGAGAACACCAAACTTCTTGCAAATGAAGCAGCTGCCAAAGAGGCCAGTCGGTTGAAGAGTCAGTTCCTTGCCAACATGAGTCACGAAATTCGAACACCCATTGCTGGAGTCATCGGGATGGCTGAACTCCTCACTGATATGAATCTTGACGAAGAACAACAAGAATGTGCCGAGAACATTCAACGTTCCGCCAATGCACTTCTCACAGTCATCAATGATATCTTGGACTTCTCAAAGGTTGAATCTGGTCGGTTGGATATTGAGGAAGTTCAATTCTCCTTATCAGTTGTGGTGCGAGATGTCAGTAAGATGCTGGGATTCGCTGCCGAACGTAAGAATCTAATGTTCGATTCCGACATCACGGTCGGAGTTGATAAAGATTTGATTGTCATGGGCGACCCAGGTCGAGTTCGCCAGATCATCACAAATCTCCTCACGAATAGTATTAAATTCACCAGCGAAGGAAGAGTCAAGTTCTCGGTCATCAAAGAAAAAGAAGATGCAGATACTATCGAGGTAAAGTTCGTGGTTGAAGACACCGGTATTGGAATTGAGGAGGAAGTCCGGAAACGTCTATTCAAACCTTTCAGTCAAGCAGACTCATCGACAGCAAGGAGATTTGGTGGCACGGGATTAGGTCTCACGATAAGTAAGAACTTGGTGGACTTAATGCACGGTAGAATTACTTTGGAATCATCGTTAGGACAGGGTACGACTGCGACTTTCTGGATTCCTTTCAACAAGCCACAATATCATGACGGAAATGCCCTAATTGATATTGGAAGCTTGCCAGATCGATTGCAATCCGAAATGAGTGTTTCTTGTGGCAGTTCGGATTATGATGTTGGCACTTCGCCCCAGAAAAACTCGTCGGATATGCCTAGACATTATAGGTCGGCTAGTATGACGCCTCCAGTTGTGTCCGAGGTAGAGATGTCGCCTGCTGATAGAGCCAATATCAAAATCCTTCTTGTTGAAGATAAGTAAGTGGATTCAATCTGGGATGCGACGTCTTATGCTAATATTTTGCAGTGCTATCAATCAACAAATTGCTTTGAAAACCATTCGAAAATTAGGATTTACCGCCTCGGCAGTTTGGAATGGAAAAGAAGCTCTTGATTATCTCCTCGCAGCAGACTCTCCAAATCCACCTCATCCAAAACCAGATATAATTCTTATGGATGTACAAGTAATTTCCCAAGAATCTCTATCATTTTAGAATATCCTGCTAAGTATATCAATAGATGCCGATTATAGACGGATACCGCGCCACCCATATACTGCGTCACCACTCCCCCTACAGTTACTCGACCCGTAACATTCCCATCGTAGCCATGACAGCATCAGTCATCCAAGGCGATCGCGAGAAGTGCCAAAAAGCCGGCATGGATGATTATCTAGCGAAGCCTGTTAAGGGAAAAACTTTGGAGAAGATGTTGGTGAGGTGGGCGATTAATAGAAGAGTTCCGAAACTGGACAGTAACGGGGATGATGAGGGGAGTGATTGTGCGGAGGGAGACAACGAAAATTGTTCGAGGAGAAGTGAGAAGTCAAAGTATGTCTCCCTCTGTTTCTCCTAAAAATCCCTTGCTCTTTGAAGTGTTCCTTCTATCTGGGAACAGAATTACGGATGTATTGCTGACTCTACACTATAGATTTGACAGACGCTCCTCAACAAGTACGGCTCGCCACCGCCCGTCAGCCTCCATAGATAAAAACGAAAAGCATGCACCCAAAGCACCCATCTCTTCTCAGGAACCTAAAAAACAATCACAATCCCAGTCCCAAACATTCAAACTTGAACCCTCCTCTACGAAGAAATCTAACCTAGGGCTCGACTCAACTAAAACCTCCAAAGATCCTTCCAGGCCCTCCCCGGAGCAATCTCGCCCAATAAAAAGTGAGCGCCACAATTCCCAGCGTTTAACTCTCCCACAGCCGGAATCCGAGGGTGAACGGGCCGTGCGACGCGAAGTTTTTGAGGAAAAAGCCAAGGAGTTACGAGATGAGAAATTGGTTGGTGCTGGGGGAGATGAGCATGGAACTCTTTCCTTGCATGACACTCGTGGAAATGGACATGTACATGCGCATAGAGATGGCATGGGGATCGGTGCGGGGCAGGCGGGAAATGAAGCAAAACGCCAAAAATTGACGGTCGAAAATGTAGAGAGATTGGAGCGACAAGAAAATGAAGAAATGGAGGTAGCTGCAAAATTAGAGCTTGGGTTAGGGAATGGGAATGGAAATGAGAGTGAGAAAGAGACAATGAGACAGAAGGATAAAGGAGGGGAACTAAGGAGAATGAGCGGGGTCAGAGGGGATAGTATGCAGGTTTGGGGAGATGCTTCGGCAGGGGATTTAACTCCAGAAAATTTAAGTAGGAGTGATACACATACACCGAGTTCCATGTTAAATACTGATGGAAGGGCACCTGAGAGTCCAAAAGTGATGAAGAGTCAAAAAGGAAGTGAAGATTATTTGGACGGAAAGAATAGGCATAGGAAGGAGGAGGATGTCGATGAAAACGGAAATGAAACTGAAAATGGAGAAGAAAGAAAGGGGATCAACGATAGTAATCCAACCCGCCCGAGTCTGGCAAGGAGATGGATGGATAGTGAAGTTACAGTCCGAGGATCCTCTGCTGGAGATTCCTCAGGATAGATTTGCTGACAATATTCTGGATGCATGGATAGGATAGGGTAGGCTGGGCTGGCGTAGGTCGGGTCCCTAGAACTGCCGATGGAATGGTGTATACGACATGTTATGATATGCCATAGGAATGCATATCTGGCGGTATTATAATGAGCAAGGCGTTTGGGCATGGTGGTTTTGCATCGGCGGTCACTTATTTTTTTGCATTGCATAGTATACGTTCGCTATCGCATGTTGCGGGATCGATTGGGTTTATATATATCCAATTGAGACAGAGGGGTGAATACGTACGAATCGTACATATTTTTGTGGATACATACATACACACAGTACATACGTAGATATAGGTAGGTAGGTGATGGGTTGTAAGATACGATTATGATGAAGGGGTTGGCTGGCGGCAGGGGCTTTGTTTACTTGATTGGTTGATTGACCACTCACGCGATGTTTGTATTATATGATTGAAGGATTTTATTATGGATGATACCTCAAATAAACATGTATGTAAGTTTTATCTTACACGATGAATAAATGAATGAATGCAGAGAGAGGATATTCAAAGTAAGTGCAAGAAAGTTGAGATCAATGAAGATATCAATCTATCATAGTGCCAGTAATCAGTTGAACTGGATAGGACTGAACTGGACAGGAAAGAAAAGCAACAAAAACAAAGAGAAGACATGGAGATCGAATCTCCTGTGCGCACTAAATGGAATGAATAATATTCAGAAACTTCTCAAAAACCTTCTCTTCTCCCCGTTCCTATGATCTCTTCGTCGTTCTAATACGGTATATAGACTTTTCTCTGCCTCCTATTCCCATCCCTCTCCCATTCTCCCGGGGCCTAAAAAACCCAAGTAAAAGTCTCCTTAACTTCAAAAGGAATTTTGTATCTACACACGCACACAAACCACCATTAGCAATTATAATTTAACACGCGAACATCTTGCTCCACCCTGCAGCAAGTCCGGTGGAAAAAACAAAGCTTGCTACTCACCTAATATCAGCGGCGCTAGCGCCAACCCACGCCTCAAATGCACCCTCCTCTGCAACCCACAAACCCTTTCCGTCTCGGTAACTATCATCCCAGTACCCAAGCGCATATCTATCGATACTAATTTCCACATTCTTTGATTCGCCTGCTGCAAGATCCACTTTTGCGAATCCTTTGAGTTCTTTTTCTGGTCGGGGCAGTTTGCTCCTGACATCGTGGATGTAGAGTTGGACTATTTCTTTTCCTTGCATGGAGCCTGTGTTGGTGATTTTTAGGCTGAGCGTTATTTTTTCTTGTGAGGTTGAGAAATTAGTGGAGGATAGTGTGGGGGAAGAGTAAGAAAAAGTGGTGTATGAAAGGCCGTGGCCGAATGGGAAAAGAGGGGGAAGAGATAAATGGTCGTAGTGGCGGTAACCGATGTAAACACCTTCACCGTAAATGGAACGGAGGTTTTCACCGGGCCAGGTGTGGTAGGTCGGGTTATCGGAGAGTCGGACGGGGAAGGTTGTCTGTTTGGAAGGGGAATGATGTTAGTTGATTGGTCGGCCAGTGTTATAAGATATGGAGATTGATGTTGAAGTGAGAAGGAAACAGGCAGAGAATGAATAACAATCACATACAGGTAACTTTCCACTTGGATTTGCAAATCCAAAAAGTACGTCAGCCATTGCATTTCCCGCTTCCTGACCTTGATACCACGCCTGAAGTATCGCTGGAACTTTCTTCGCCCAAGGCATCGTCACCGGACTTCCTGACTGATTGACCACAATCGTATTTGGGTTTGCTTCTATAACTGCATCGATTAATCGATCTTGGCTTCCATCACTTGGTAAATCCATAGTTTGACGATCATACCCCTCACTTTCCCACTCTGCATCGAGACCCACGATGACAATCGCCACATCTGAGGATTTTGCTGCATCAATAGCTTTCTGCAAATGGTCTTCAGTATCCGCTTCTTTATAGCCGATGCGACAGCCGCCTGTGGCGTGTTTCTGCTTAAGTTGTGCTTGTTTGGCCAATGGGCGGATTTCATTTGTTGTTTCGGCTACCAGCTCGACGGGAACATTGGCTTCAAGGTGAATATCAAAAAGAATATCTTTACTGCCTGAAAACATCGCTTCACCTAATTCCGTCCAATTCCACAAATCGACTTTTACATCGCCGTTGACGAGAAGTCGTCCGGGACCTACACTTGAGAATGAGAGGGTATGCAAGCCAGTGGTGGTGGGTGTTAGTACCGTTTTTGCGCGGACAGACCAGATGGGATTCACTTCTTCGGGGACAGAGTCCCACAGGAAGAGATCTGTGTTGGTGCGGTGTTGGATTATTCGAGGGGCTCCTTCGAACTTGTCGCCAATGTGAAATTCGAGGGTTACACCTTGAGCGCCGGTAGATGTGGTACAATAGTCTGCTGCTAGAGGAAGCCATTTGTAGGTGTGGCAGCCTAGCGCATATGTGATTTCCTTTCCAGGTATGGCCTTGATGCTATCGAGCGGGATGGTGCTGTAGTAGGGATTCAAACTAGCACTACCTCCACCCCCTGCTATTGCTCGATTGGCATTTGGTCCTATGACTGCGATTTTCTTTTGGGAGGCTTTAATTGGTAGGACTTTGTTCTCGTTCTTCAGCAGGGTCAATCCTTCAACTCCTGCTCGACGAATTAATTTTCTTGTTTCTTCCCTGTCATCTTCAGCTTCGGGGGCTTCAGGTGTCATCTCAGATCCTTTTGTCCGTTCCACAAGATATAATACGTTCGCAGCGGCTTTTTCAACGGCCTCTCGGCTTAGTTCCCCGTTTTTTATTGCTTTGATTACCTTTTCCCCTCGCCATTTTGTTGACACGGGCATTTCTAGATCACAACCTGCTTCGATGGATTCTGCAATTGAGTTGGTTCCACCCCAATCGGACATAACCAGACTAGACTGTGTCAGTAAACTGATATGATCTAGAGGATACAAGACTGTTACCCATCATAGTTCCATTCCCCTCTTAGAATTTCTTTTAGCGTGTGGAAGTTACAGTCTGCATGTACTCCATTGATCAAATTATACGAGGACATTACGGCCCAAGGATTAGCTTCTCGAATGGCCATTTCGAAAGGACGCAAGTATAATTCTCGCAGAGGTCTTTCCTGGACTATAGAATCAATAGTCAATCTAAATGTTTCTTGTTCATTAGCTACGAAATCTGTGTACATAATTAGCCTAATACATGTGACAACAGCACAACATAGAATATTTCTTACGTTTTATTGTTGCAGCAACACCTTTCTCCTGCAACCCCTTGATATAAGCGACAGCGAGTTTTCCTGTAAGGAAAGGATCCTCTGAGAAAGATTCGAAGTTCCTTCCACCTAATGGACTGCGATGTAAACAGACAGTTGGTGCCAATAAAACCTGGGCCGATCGAGCTTTGGTTTCATCAGCAAGATGTTGGCCGACTTTGTGGATAAGATCAGTGTTCCATGTTGCTGCAAGTGATATACCGCATGGAAATAATGCAGCCTGAATCTGTTAGAAAGCTGCTTCTTGCTGGGATACTTCAGACAAACCTTTGTTCCAGCCTTGAAGATTGCCCCACGAGCACCTACATTTAGTCAGTACTAGTGTATAAAACAATGGGCTAGATCAAACGCCTCGCATTGAGGAATATGAATGCTTATAAGGGCGTAATTATTTACCATTTGGGCCATCGGAAGTCTTGAATGCCGGTATTCCCCTAGAAGGAATCGATTTCGATCTCCAAAAGTCCGCTGCCACGAGTAAAGAAACCTGAGATGGTTATCAGTAAGAAGCAGTGAATAGAATGCAAGCCTTTTTACCTGCTCTTCTAGTGACAACGACGCAGCCAACTGCCAAGATTTTGTTCTTGGATCAAGCGTAGTATACTGTTGCCAAGGACTTTCAGGAGGAAAAATTTCAGAATCTGGTGTTGCGACTGTATCCCTACTTGAGATAGCATCGAACCCTTCTTCAAATCTATCAAAGATAGGGTCAAAGATTTGGCTATCTGGTGACTTTGCCATTCTGTGCGGCAGTGAAATGATCGAGGCCGTTTGGTCGGAGTTTAAAATTAGGTAATGGGAACCCTTGGGATATCAACGAACGAATGGAAAAGTGAATGATGCTAGCGTGCGGCGAAGTATATCAACCGTCCCCAAACAACAATGAATTCCCCGAGTATCACAAAAGAGCAAGAATGAGTAGATGGATCAAAAGATATCTTATAAAGCTCAACGCTAGATTAGCATGCAAGGAGCAATCTACCCTGCATATTAACTCGCTATCAATCTTTCCAGAGACCGACCCGGTCAGCTGGCTTCAGTTGATATTCCTCATAGTAGGTGCTTCTACGGATGAGCATCCCATACGCCGCATAGAAGAAGGTAAGGCGATGTAAAATGTTACGGATGATGTATGGATACACTCCTTCCATGCATGAAACGGCTGAATAGAACTTGACATGGATCCGGTGTAAGATTCTACTGTTCTTACAACCCTGCATCTTTGCAAGGAACTGTTGGTGTGACGGTCCGTTGTGGGGTCAAACTTTTGCCAGTTCAATGACAATTTTTGCGCAGCCTTAAAGTGAGCAAATTTGTCAATCCAATGGTGAGAACGGTATGAACGGACCGGCTCAGCGATTTTTTGCAATTTAGGAAGGTAAGACATGCTGCTCAGTGCTCCTGCGAGATACACTAACGAATATCTCCTTGATATACTGGCAGAATTCAGAAGATGATAGCGGGAAGGAAAACTGTAACAAGGGTTTGTTCGGCCTGAACGGATGTTACCCATCCTTCGCCAAATACTCACTCAACTTGGAATCAATATCAGGAGAGAATATGCAAAGATCTCGCCTAGGCAATGTAGGGTATCCATCTAAGTGGTATTTTGACCTCTAGGCTCAATCTTTGTGATACCTCCAAAACACTGCATAAAAACCTCATGCTGATGAATACTTTGTTTAGTTGCGTCTGCGTCTGTAACGCGGACATGCGGGCCGGCTTCGCCTCCAATGAGCTTTCGTTTGTACCATCGTCGCTTTGGGAATATATATATACCTAGGTACGATCTGAAACTTGTTATATTGACCACTCGGAAAAGTATGAAAATGTTTTGAAGGAGAAGTTGAATGTAGCTCTCGATGCTATGGTCGATTTTTTATTTGCTTTCCCTCGAGCGTGTATATGTGAGTATATGCAGTGTGAGCTTAGAGAAGACCCAGGGTGCTTACTCACCCAGCTGTACTAACTGATAATGGATAGGTTTCAGAAGCTATGGGTAATTCAATCATGTGATACAGTATCATGTGACTTGCCGATCTTATCGTTGCTCGGAAATCACAATGCTTGGATATCTTGAAGCATACTTTTACACATTTCCATGTCTATGCCTTTACAGTTCCGATCTCACTTCCAATGGTACTCGTACTCTTATCAGGAGAAGTAAGAAGTTTGCTTCATTTCTCTAGTCAGCTCAGCTTTATCTACCTCCTCACTTACACTTACAACTAATTTATTATCAACTCTAATCCTAATCTAAACCTCAACTTTCTTCTTCGATGCTGGTTCTTTACACCATTTCGTGAAACCTAAGCCAAGTCTTACCATAAATTGTTGCAATATATCTGCATGACATCTTGCATTTACATATCCCATTATAATGGCTGAAACACCAAGCCATCGTCAATCCCTTGAAGAACCCGATGAGCTACAAAGAGATCAATGGGAATCCACTGAACTTTCAGAATTAGCCCACGTAAGACAAAACTATACAACCGCTTTATCTTCTCATGCATTAGGTCCTGGAAGTGCAGCATCTACTGGATTTTTCGGTCGATTGACCTATAATGTCTCAAATTTTTGGAGACACCAAATCAGCGTAACCGTTGACCATGTTGCATGTAGAGACCATTTAGGTACGTATCATTACTTTATCCTTTTTCATTGATCTGATTCAGACGATCTATAGTGACAAGGTATATTTACATGTTATACAATTCGGAGATTCAGGGCCGAAATACTCCTGTCAGCTGAGATTTTATTTTCACTTATTTGCAGTACCCTCCCTATGTGTCTATCACAATCTGTATACTTAGTCTTGGCATTCTTCATCGTATCTGGTTCTTGCCTCAGTATTGATATGTCCCTTTGCTTTATGTGTTCACTGTCTAGTATTTTGTGGATGAACTTACTAACTTATCCCTACTAGCCGTGGAAAGAACTTTCCTAGCATTTCTCAGGACTTCATTGGCCTTGTCAATGTTAGGGGTATCAGTTGCACAACTATTGTGTGTACTTAACCAACTTGGAAGTACTATGCTATTTTACTGACGTATATACAGCCGTTTGCAGCATTCCCACACGCCAAATCCATTAATAGGGTTCTTCGTACTTGGGAAACCTCTAGCTTGTATATGTCAAGTTGCTGCAATAACAACTTTGTTGATAGGAATTTTCAGAAGTTGGAGACATCAAAACGCTATCGTGAGGGGTAAAGCCCTCTCAGGGGGGTTTGAAGTCATTATCATTGGAGCTGGATTTTTCTTGGTGGGTGAAGTTCCACATCATGGGGATACCATACTTATGATAAATCATTGAACGAACACTGCTAACATAGGTTAGATATTTCTAACATTTCTTGTGCTTCTGATTGCTGTGGATATTTTAAAAGAAGATTTGAAGTCCGATAAGTGATGATGTTATTTGTTGACTTCGAGGTATTGGAATGCCTCGGACCAGTAGCATCTACTTCGGACTCCTCCGACCAGCATATATTGAAGCAATTCACTGCAAGCATGTTCATCTGACTTTATTTCGTTGGAAAATCGGGGAGTTCTATATTGGTAGCCAAGAACATGCATACCCGTCGCCACGTGCTTGAAATACATTGGGAGCAGGGGAGAAGTATGGTCATATTACTCTTTAGACTCTGACTACAGACCAACGGAAAGAACTTACTACAAATCTGGGGCTCTTCTGCATGAAATATCATTGGCGGATAAATTTAGATGGCATGTGTACCCAGAATGGCAACAGCTGCGGGAAATTTGCTATAATGCCGGACCTCGGGAGGTTGAAATGAAAGTCCATGTGCCTTCATCAATACGTTTGCAGTAAGTAGTCCGCTAGGTCTCCTAGCGATATTTCTTTACCCATGGTTTTATATACAGCAGCAGAGAAAGAAGGTAGCCAGGAAACTTAAATAAGCATATTCTGACAAGACAGCTTAGCGATGGTTAATGCCATGAACCCATTGATTCTATGAATCTATATGAATGTGATAGATATGAGTAATATTTTATCATGATGTTTCCAACCAACTCAACTTATCAAACACCTACTTATGATCAAGCAAGTATTGAGCATTCATCTGATACGAACACGTATTTATGAGATTCAACACATTGGATCACTAAGTCTGATGACAATGGTGACCATGATGACCGTGAATGAGATGTGATCACATGATTACACGTCACATGTCAGTCATTAAACACAAGTCATCGGATATCCGACCTGCATACGGAGCAGCGACTAACCTTATTATCTAATAGACAATAGCGTTTGTTCAAAATTTCCAGTTTTACATAATCAATTAATTTATTTTATACTCATTTTACTAATTCTGACAGTTTGAGTCGATTCACTCACTCACTATTATATGACTAAGATTCTCTTCCAACTAACTCTACAATCACTTCTGTACAATTAATAATTTATTCCTTCTCCTTTTTCATTGTTATTCATTAGTGAATTAATTATCATTCCATCCATTGCTCGGACGTTTGATTTAGATGTTATCAAAACCTTTTGGGTACGATTAAGAGATTAAAATCAATATAACTTGATAAGGGATTGGTTGAGATCCGAAATCGCAAAATATCGCGAGACACAACAAACGATTCAAGAGGGGGCGTCATCTTTAAATCATCTCGTACCACGCCACATCTTTTCGAATACAAATACAGATCCCAATTTCAGTTCCAATACAAATACACCTCCCTCAATCCCTTCACCGACTCTTTTCAACGACAATCTAAAGGGCTGGTAAGGAAAGAGTGATACGCTCTTTCAATCTTCAGAGATGGCTTGGTCAAAGTCAACGCGCATTCTGGTCATGCTATTGATCGATGCCGTATTTTTTATCGTCGAATTAGGTGTTGGTTTATGGGTTGGATCATTGGCATTAATGGCAGATGCTTTTCACATGGTGAGATGGTTCAAGAAGGAATGAAGCTGTCTCTATTCTAACATCTAGCTAGTTGAACGATATCATTTCTCTCGCTGTTGGTCTCTGGGCTGTTAAAGCTGCACGAAGAAATATTACTGACAAATATTCTTTCGGCGTAAGTGGTTACACAAATCGAGGGCTTCCGAACGGAAAGCTACGTTACCAAGACGGCAACTAACTCTTCTACAGTTTTTGAGAGCCGAAATCCTTGGTGCCTTTTTCAATGCAGTCTTTCTTATCGCCCTGTGCGTCTCAATTGTTCTCGAAGCTGTCGGACGTTTCTTCGATCCACCTGAAATCGGGGAACCAAAACTTATACTTATTGTCGGATCGTTGGGATTGGCGTCGAACCTTGCTGGGTTTTTCGTATTAGGCGGACATGGTCATTCCCATGGTCCAGGAGATGGGCATTCCCATGGAGATGAGGTCGGCGCTGCGGAAGAAGGACATGCGCACAGTCACACTCATGAACACGGATACGAACCATATAGAGATGAGATTGGCGAAGAAAATGGAATCGCAGCGGAGGTATTTCCCGAAGCCGTCGTCGCAAAAGCCACCGCCAAACGTCAAGTACAATTTACAGAGCCTGATGAAGATGCTTCGACAGCCCGTGATAGCAGCAGTATCATGACTAGATCGCCGAGCAGAAGCTCCAGACAACACACTCATCGAAGACGAACAAGCAAATCTCAATTTTCTAGCTTGGATAATATAAGCATTCATCCGGCAAGCTTTCGACAAGATATTATTGCTGCAAGCAAGACACAATTGGATGGAATTGATAGCGAGGACTCCAGTGAACCAGATGATGATGTTCATGTTAAATCTGGACCCGCACCGGCTGAAGACAGCCCTCTTCTTTCACATGCTCATGATGATCACTCAGACGCTCACGCTCATAGCCATGATCATGGGGTTGGAGGCCATCATCATGAACATCACACAAGTCGTCAGTCTAAGCATGCGGCCCATAATCACAACAATAAATCCAAGAAGTCCGGTGGTCATGGTCACAATCACGATGACATGGGAATGAACGCCATGATTCTTCATGTTATTGGTGATGCTCTTGGAAACGTTGGAGTAATCGTCACTGCTTTGATTATTTGGTTAACTAATTGGCCTGGTCGTTTATATGCTGACCCTGCTGTATCACTTTTCATTACCATCATCATTCTTCGATCATGCATTCCATTAACCAAAGCTACAGCACAAATCTTACTTCAAGCTACACCTGATTCGATCGATGTCGCTCTCATCAAAGAGGACATCGAAAATTTCGAAGCTGTGAAGGGTTGTCATCATGTACATATCTGGCAACTCAGCGATTCTCAACTCGTTGCGTCTATGCATATTCAAGTTGCCTTCCCTATTGGTGAAGATGGAGGAGAAAAATATATGCAGCTATCTAAGGAAATTCGGGAATGCTTACACGGTCATGGTATTCACAGCGCAACTCTTCAGCCCGAATTTTGCCTCGACAAAGATCATGATCATATCTTTAATGGTGAATCCGTAGGATTAGACGGACAAGCCCAAAACAAATGCGGAATGGAGGACGATGATTCCTGTTTATTGGAATGTGTTGATAATTGCAAGGGAAAAGGTTGTTGTTCGGCCCAGGCAGTAGAGCCTCAACATGACCACTCGGATCATGATGGTCACTCCCATTAGATCCGCTTTTTCCTTTTCCCTTTTTCAATATGTCTTGAGTTTTTTTCGACAATGGCACACTTCTTCCCTTGTAAGATGTTGCTTTCTAGTTGGTTCTTTCTTGGCTTCGTACTTGCATTGCGGGACTGGGTACATACATACTTCTACAGTCCAATAGACTTGAGCTTTATTGTGGGTGTTAAGATTTGCAATATGGCCTTATGGAGGGGATTGGCTGAATAATCTTTGCCGGTGTGGAGGGAAGACAGGCGATACGAAAGAGAAAGGGGGATGGATACATCATCTCTTATTTCGTGAACGAAAGATGAAAGTCGAGCGAACATTTTTTTGCTTAAGATAATTGGTAATGGATGGAGGAAGAAATTTTTAATGGTGGACAAGAGAAGAGAAAATTTTGTACAGTATGGATGAATGATATGATTAGTAGGGTATAAAAGTTACTTGGTGGGTTTGTTGGGCTGGCTGATGGATTGATTTGCTTGTCGGTTCGCTTGTTTGGTCGATGAGATGGATGGATGCAATGCATGGGATAGGAGGGATGAGCATTACAATCAATGATTTACATAAAACCCTTCTCTTCTCTCTTTGTGTGCGTACATAATTTTAAGTAGTTCTTCCTCATGATTCCTTTGTATTTTTATAAATGGAATGTGTATATTTTTGGGTTAGGAATATAAAATAAGGAATCAAAGTATGTATTAAAATACCCTTGAGTAGAGGGTTCTCTCATACCTCTCATCGTGCTAGCGCTACTACTGATGAACTGAAATGAAGCAGAGCAAGAGGTCTAAAGGGATGTCTATTCCTTGCGTGAAAATGAGGAAGCGATATGAGGGGAAGTCAACGATGGTCTGGAGTATGAAATAAATACTTCCATTTTCCTTTGGAAGTGGAGCGGTGGCTTATATAGTCTAGGGGTATGGGATACGAGAATTAGGATACGAGTTTCCACTATCTTACTCTTCCCCTCTAGCTTTCTTGATTGAAAGTTGAAAGTAGGAAGGAGTGTTGAGGCGATCAAAGATTCATTGTCTGTGGTTGATACTTTCTTTTAACATTATTATCATTGTTGCTTTTATTTCTATATTATCATTATCCTTAATCTTTACTTTTTCGCAGTCCATCCTCGCGGTTTGCCTTTTGTCTTCTAAATAGGAAACTCAAATACTCCACCCTGAGGAAATCTTCAATTCCTCAAAGATCCTCTTATCAGAGTAAATACATGTTTTGGTTTTATATTTAGTGAGTGGAAGTGCGTTTTTATATTGTGGAGATTGTTTACATAAGGGAGAAAGAGATTCGTTAACTAGAGAGGGGAATCCGAGAGGTGGGCGGGTCAAAGCTAGAAAAGCTATTGGTAGTAAGATTATATAGAACCACTAGGGCTGCTTAAGTCTTCTTATGCCAGATAATTTAGATTAATCAAGCATTTTGAGTAGGGAAGGATGCCTAAAGAACTTAGATAAATGAATGGCTGCACGCACTGGTATTCACATCGAAATACGTCCTGCTTCCTAGAAGAAACCTAGGGTCCTAGTCCCACTTATTGGACTATATAAATTTCCCTTCATGTCTAGTTATGTGTGATGCATCAGCAGGATGAATTCGATATGAGCGAAGGGGATGGCCATTAGCAGTGTATAATCCAAGAACAAACAGACTTGAGAACTCGATTACTTGCGCCAAAGATATACTTACTAAATGGCTTGCTTACAGGAGAGATATTATTGTTCAGAATTTTTGATACAATGCTTCAATGACAGCCAAAAATGCTAATGACGGCAAAGCTAAATGAAAAACGAATAAGCGATGATAAAAGTATTTGTAAAGTACAATAATTTAAAATTTGTCAAAATTCCACACCCAATTTCCAAATGTTTCCCCGACGAATTCTATTCTTATATTCTATTCACTAAGTCCATGAGTTGAGTTGTTATCCCCCAGTATCTAAATCCCTAGTAGTTGAAGGGGGAAATCTTCAACTCGTATCTAACATCATTTTAAAACATTGAAAGTGACCGTCTGCTTGTATAGCTTCTCCCCCTTTTCCTTCGCACTTCCCTTTCTCAAACTCTGAGAAAAGGAACTTTGGAAACCCAGCTTTTCAGAACTCACACCCAAATAAATATAGAATCCACCAATTCCTGATCCAAACTTATTCACAACTCCTAGCTCAATAATATGAAGACCAACCCCCTCACACGGAACAGTTTCTTTTCATATGAGATATCACACGCCCTTTGGCATTAGGACCCTTTTAATGATTTTGAAGACAAAGGCATACTTTATTTCCAAACTGGTCGTCAACTACTACGACAACTTACTGTAAACCTCAATTTTGCGATTGCGTTAGCGGGACTAGAGCTTCGAAGATCCTGATGTCTAGATTTAGAGTTGGATGCATATGACAATGAACTCGATTCAGAAGCAATATTCCAATAAACGACAATAAACAGGCAAAAAGAAAACCTCGAGAGGAAGGACGATGACGAAAATGAAAGTTTTCAATCTGGTGATACCATGAGAAAAATTGCAGAAACAACGGTATCTCGAATACTGATTCTGATTCCTTCTGCCTTGCGTATTATTTGCAAATTAACCTTGGGTACTATCAAGAACAAGAAAAGAGACTATGAATACCTAGAGAGGATTAATAATTATATTTTCTTCCCTTCCTTCCCCTACCTTCTATATTCTCCCTCTACTCCTTCCAAAAATGCCGATGTATTAACCCTCTCCACATAACACCAGAAAATTCACTCACGCCCATTCCACATAAATCCACCCAAAACAAATCTATCCAACTATATAAACGTCAACACCAATCTACCTCACATTTTCCTCCTTAAAACACAGCAACACCCATGTCACTTTCCAATACGCTTTTACAATAGCCACATTAGTGAAGCTGCCGATTCTGAGAACAGGAATAAGACGCTAAAAGTCAAGTAATCTATAGTTTATATGTATATGTACTTTTAAATTCGTCAGTGTCTCATTGAGCTGAATTCTGAATCTCTTTAGATGGAGATTGTATGACAATGGAAATCACAAAAGATGAAGAAATTTACGCGATAGCGTAGATCATTCAAAATAACAATAGGAAATTAAACCAAGAAAAAAGAAAAGATTCATAAAACAGCGAAAGAATCTAAATGAAAAGTTGTGACCCTAAGGTACGAATTTCAGACATTTTTCAGTTATGCACAAGATACAATTGTTTACTATTGTACACAGTACACGGAGCTTATAAAGGTAGCACATTATCCTTTTGTCTATGATCTTCGCATAAATGATTTAAAGCAAAAATTTGGCGCGAGAAGAAAGCACATTTTTCGCTAACTCCATCCGTCATCCCCTATCCTCCAATTAACCCCAATACCCTAACTTCATTCTCGCTTCCAAGCACGACTTCTCACACTGCGGTGCAATAGTATAGCAAACATTAGGATCATTTGAACTAGAGCTGCTAAACCAAGCTTTAACGGCTTAAACAGCCTACTTGGTTCTTCGGCTGAATCTCTTACAAGTTGCAACTCAAAGATGAAACTCCCTTTTCGCTGAACCGCACATCTTTCCATCAATAAAAATGTATAATACCAGCACCGCACAGAGAACTAACAAACGGCTGTATGAAGGTTGCATACGCAAACTATATGTCAAGAGTAAAATGTTAGGATGGAATTATGCTAGGTGAAATGAGACTAATACCGCGATGAAAGATATAATCTCACCATGATAAAGAAGATATACGTACACATATATAACACCTATAATAAAAAAGAAGGATCAGAAAAAATCACAGCTAGCAGCAAGCACCAACAACAAAACTTCTCAAAAAGTCCACTCCGAAAAATCAATCAGCTTCAATATTTCTCAGCTTCGTTTCGCAATTTTACTTCTAGTGCTCGCTCCTCTAGAATTTGCAATCATCATCTCCTTCTAAACTTTTTAATTGGGAAACTTCTGATATTTTGTGCATGCCACTGCATGGTAGGGAGGACTTCCCATTTGCGGATTGATGCGGATTTACTCAAATCTCGCGCTACATTTGTTTTCTCGGCCATCATTCGCCCATTCCCGTCCTTAAGCAAAATTAGAATCTATCCTTCTGTTCACTTATCTCTCACAAATTCTCAACCAAGACTCAAAAAATTGAAGATATAAAGGGAAAGATATATATTAAAATGTTATTCCACAAACACATCTCCACGAATATAAACCCCAGGAACTAGACTAGTCATAAAACTCTATCCCATCATGAAATCGCTCAAAAAGGTAGAGTACCGCTACTCGTATCGCCAATTCATAACGTAAGGAGAATCGAACCGAATAGGAATACGGTGTATAAGAATACAAAAGATGCGCCTGCAAGGTAAAACTTGGCGTATCAATTTGCAACACCATCCTATCTCTTTTTCGTCGACCGTTTCGTTTCAAGTCGGAGCGAAGCGTGCATATATTGATCATGAATAACGACACTGGAAATTCGATATCTCCTTTTCACTATCTCCCCCTCTCACTTCCAGGGTCATATCGAATTTTCCGTCATCGGAATAAACACGGAATATCCTCCTCAATTAATCTATCCACCCGAAACCCAAAAACCTTAAAATTATTTCCACATCGCACCTGGAGCTCCTCCTAAATCATTATCTTCTCCCAAAATGTCCTCCATCCATCTCATGCACCGCCCTCTCCGTATCCATCTCAGTCGGTAGCGGCGCAAAATATCCCTTCTTATCTGGGATCCCGATCCCACCGGCTTCTCCCAAATTTCCCCTATCATATCCCGTTCCAATTTCACTTGGAGAATATCCTCCTTGTGCTTGTCCGTTATATGCTCCTTCTGTAGCTGGATATCCTTGTGCTGGAAATCCCGCTTCATTGTTTTTAAGGATTTGGTCAGACTTTTGCTTCTGTGCGCGTCTTCTTCTCCAGAGAAGCCATCCTAGAATAGCGAGAGCAATGATAACACATGGAATTGCGACGCCGGCTCCGATGGCGGCCGCGTTGCTAGAGGATGCTGAGGTTGCGGATGGGAGTGGGGCAGTGGATTTTTGAGATGAGGTGGAGGTTGTGGCAGTGTTTGAATCAAATGTGGTGGTTGAAGTTGAAACTGAAGAGGTGGATGTGGAAGATAGTGATGAGGTAGATATGGATGACGTAGATGAGGTGGATGAGGTAGATGATGTGGACGATGTGGATGATGAGGCATAGGTAAAGGGAATTTGGGCGAGCACTGTGGCGACGGGTGAAATATTGAAGATATCTGAGTCATTCTCGCAACAAGCAAAACTCCCTACTCCATAGGCTCCCGTATCACAACAGCTGTTTCTCGGTCAGTATTGAAAATCCCACAATCCGTCAATCGACAGAACATACTATTCAGTTGTTGATGTGATAGCTCCATTACAAAATCTTATACCAGCAGTTGAACCTCTAGCATCTAAAAATTGGTTAGTATTTCCAACTCAATAATATGCATCACATGACTTACAAATAGTACATTGATTTAAACAAGCTGGATCCTTCCATGTAGGATCTGTACATCCTACTCTTAAATAATCTTGAACATTCCCATTTGCTTGTTGACAAACACCATTTGAAAAACATATAGCACCAGCTTGACAACATGAACTATGACCCGTTGTTGAATTATCACATCTATATCCTGCATTGGCATTATGTTGTCCATTAACAACATAACATGTTGTTGGTGTATCTGTTGTTGAAGCTGATGCCAATAAAGGTAGAGAGAAAGAACAAAACCATAGGAATTGTTTTCTTAATGATACTCGTGAAGGCATTATTCTTGTGAGTTCCTTATGGGTATGTCAAAAGGAATGAAGGGAATGCTCGCAAAGGTAACGATGAAAAAATGAAAATGATATGAGTGTGGCACAGCACAGCACAGCTGAAGTTCAACAAGGCTGTGTGTATCTAGCACAAAAATATGAAGGGTTTCGAAAGACTTGACCTAAACCAGCTTCTGAATTTACATATGAATTGAAAATTGATTTGTAAAACAAGCAGAGATAGCAAGTGCTTCTAGACTACAGACGCCAATTATTTTGGTAAAAACGAGAGAATGAATGAAAAGAAAGAATGATCAACCAGTAGGTCTCAAGGAGAGCTAGAATAGGTGAAGGAGCAGAACTGGCCTTGTATACAAACCAACATGGGTATTGTTTGTACGTGAAAGGATTTTATGGGTCTCATAAACCCAGCTAGCCCTGTCACATTTATCTCCCGATACCCCAGAATGGTAGGTTGACCGATATAAAGATCTAAAGCGAATTCATTTTCTAATATCAATTGAAGATAATATGAAGATAATATGAAGAGTAGAAATTTCACAAGCTGAGTTCACCAGACTTCGTACTCGTGCGAGATGTCTAACAGGAAGATTTTTATAAGCGCGCTCAGCTTGAAGTTCAGATCCATAGGGCACATTAAAGTAAGAAGACGACCACAAATATGAAACACGAAAAAGAGCTTGCCTGGAGGTTGTGGATCGTCAACACAATTCCTTCTGTCGGCTATGAATGAAGAGTGGGTGAACGGCGAACGAAAAAGGGAAATTTGATGAAGGAGGTGGATAATATTTTGGAGCAATGAAGATCAGGATTTAGATTAGGGTTGTAAGCGAGATCACTCATAGATGACGAATGAATTGACCAATCACAGCAGTTGAATGTATCTTCAATCTTTCAATACTCGGTCCGTCGGTACCTTATTTGGTCAAAAATACTACTCTACCACGTTTTCACAACTAAACATCTACTTCCAAGATTCCCCAAGCCTCGAAACCAACAGCAAGTTTATACCTCCGTATTCTGTGCCATAGACATATGGAAAAGCCCTCGGCAACCTCAAGCCTGCTTGAAGATCCTGAATATGTTCATAAATAGCTTGCCCCAAGAACAAAACTAAATTGAAAGTTCAAATCTCAAATCTCACGATTGAAAGCCAAGTGGTTTCTAAAGTTTTCATTAAAATGCCTCTTTACCATGTATACCCTTTCCTGATCTTTCGAGCCAGTCGAATGAAACCTCTCACTCACTTACCCAAATACTTGATACACCCACTCCTTGAATCTACTCAGTTCTTGGTACGGAGAGTACCAAAAATATCCTTCAACGAGATATAGCTGCTCCCCATTATGCTTGACATGCACTGCGCATCATGTAGCACAAGATGTCAGCTTACAATTCGCCTTGCTTCACTTCCCTTCAATTTGAAACACTCGAGATCTCGGGATATGCATGAATGTGCCTATGACGCTGTCAAATACGAAATGCCATGGTATTTTTCTAGATCGTAATTGACATTGTTATTTAGATTTATTATGTCGTATAGATTCACGAGGTCCTTTGATCCTACTATTCATCCAATCGAATCCAATCAAAGCAAACATGTATCAGTAACCTACCAGAACCCCTCCACATCTTCATTCATATCCTTATTTCTTCTGTTTTCCCTTTTTATCTATCTACCATCCTATTTTCCCTCTATCTTCTTTTCCCTTCATCATCCACATTTATCTCTCCTCATCTCTTCATGCTAAGGTCTCTCATTCGAATATTTAAAGCTCATCACGCATGATTTCTCTCTCTCCTCCCCTTCTCTCTTTGTATATTCTACTCAACTCTTCAATCTCTCCACCTCTTTCCGTCACCTCCCCTTTTTTCTCTCTCTCTTTTTTAAAAGCACTTAATTCAGCGAAATATAGAATAGTATAGTATAATATAGTATATATCACATATTCTCTTAGGACAAGGGAGAAAGTATCCCTCAAATGCACGCTTAGAATTTTGAAATAAGTCTTATCAGGTAATCTTACTATTTTTCCTACCCGCAAGTTCCAGTTCCAGTTCCAGTTCCACTTTCATTTTTCCGCTTCCAAGGCCGTGGCTACAGACTTACTCTACTTCCCGAAGCAAAGAGTATTCATGATCATGCCCCATTCTCATGCAACATTTTTGTCCAACCATTCTTCCCATTGCTCAGCAGTGAATGAACTACTGATTGAATTTTCCACGACACCATTGAACTGTAATAATCTGAATTAGTACTTCTTCACTATACCACTCTTCCGTCCCTTCCTTCCCTTCCTTCCGGGCTCCTCCCAAGCACACCCAAATCACAAGCAGGGAGAGAAAAAATTACTCACAACAACCGTTGGCGTAACATGAATACCCACCAACCTATTCATCTTCACCAAGACCTTCAATTGATCCGTAACGCCATTTCCCGAGTTAAGTGCTCCATCCTTGCCTGGCTTATCACTAATCTTCAAAAGACCATACATTTTTTCCTCATCAATCCCTACTTCTCCTCCTATCTTTGCTAGACGTTTATATGTTGCATTGCGTGTTTCATTCACAACATTTACATCGAAGAAATCATTTTGTTGTTTGAAGAGGGACGCGGAGAAAGTATAGAAGTTTTGAGGGGAGAGGGCGAGTACTGACGAAGGGGGTTAGTTATTAGCTATGGGAAAGTGAGGATATGGTCTTACCAGCGACGCCAGCTTCGTGGACTAATGTACTACTTGGATGCCAGGGTTGAATTTGTTGACGGAAGATAATTTGAACTTTGGATGAGTATTTTTGTTTGATAAGAGGGATTACGGATGTGTAGATTGTATTGAACATTTTTGCCGAGAACTATGAATAAAGGGGTCAGTTTAGTGGTTATTCTGTATATTGAGTTTCGGTATAATGTGAGTGGGATGAGGGCCGGAAGTAGCAGAGTAGAAATTGAAGGGAAAGAGAGAGATTTATTATAAGAGGAAACAAGAAATATTAATCTCCTAGGCCATAAGATATCCCTCAAGCCAAATGTTCTCTAGTCTTCACTTTCCCATGATCACGATCAAGCTATTTACCACTGAGTAAATCGGCTTCCTCGTAAACCAGCAGAGCACATTACAATACCACCAAATGAATCCACGACACATCAAGAAAACGCAAAACACAATGAGCAGAAACAAACCGCATAAAGAACAAGTGCTAGCCGCGACCAAGAGAAAAAAAAAGTAAAAAGTTAAAAAGTGCAGCAGACAAATCCATCCACATCCACATCAATATCACAAGCCCATCCATCACCCAGCCACTAACCACACAGCCCAAAACCGACAAGAAAATAAAAGACAGCAAGGAAATATACACACAGGACAAACATAATCCAAATACAATTCCAAAGTATGAAGCGCGGGTACAGCCGTAGCAGCGAATTTTTGACCAGCGAATTTTGGTGGGAGAGCCATTTTGACAAAGTTATGTTACGTTTGTGAGTAATTATTTTCTTAAACTTGGCTTGGGTTCTTTTTTATTTGTTTATTTGTTTATTTGTGTGAATTGACTCGATTTGGTTCCAACTGGCAACTGATGAAGTTGTTAAGGACTGGAGGGGAGGTGAGTTGGAGAGGTGTAGATAGAAGAGGGGTGGGAAGTCTGGAGGTAAAGAGTGAAGAGGAGTTGATTACACATATTAGAGTAGATGACGTGATGTAGAAATGTGGGGTTGCTTCCTGCTTGAGCAAGGTTCAATTCGGTACTGTATGTATGTAATGTTTTATACTGAGAGGAAAGTTGACATCAGCATTAATAATAATTCAGTATTAACATTTCTATTCCGAATTTTCCGGCTCAAGTAGCATTCATTCATTCATCCATCAATTATTCTCTATCTTCCAGATATCACATAGGGCCACGATACAATATATATGAACTATCACTTCCTCGAATGCGAATGCGTGAAGCATACACTCCAATCCCAAACTGGGCACCTCATTCTTCCAAAACAGCTAAAAACTAAATACGTACCTCCAAGACATATATAGAGCAATACCCAATAAATAAACAACTTGCTCGCTTTTGCTTGATATTTAATTCATATCCAGATATCCTCATACACCGTATATACCAAAATAAAACGCCATACCTGCTCAACGTACAGACCGCTATTATATCTCTTCTTCGTCTGATGCCTCATATCATAATTGACTTATCGACTTATGAAAAGAGGAATTCCTTCAATACGGGCGAACTCGAGAATTCGGGATTAAGTAATATACAACTATATTCCTCATGATTAGCTGGTTGGATTTACTTGCTTTCGTCCATACTCTTATTTCCTTTCTGGCACACCTCTCCCACTCTCCCTCCCTCTTCCAGAAAGAGAGAAACACTCACTTGAGAAAATACTGTAAACCACTCCGCCTATTTTCCAAAAACTTCGGCCTGAATTTTGATATCACACTTTTCCTCGGTAACTCCGGTATTGTGGTCGTAGAATTAGGGAATGTACGTAGGAGTTTCGTTCTCAGATCTGTGAATTCGCTGTAGCGCTTGCGAATTATGATTGGAGTGCCCTATTTTGAAGAGTAGAAGAGAAGTAAGCAGAGGTTTCAAATCCAAAAGGTTTATGAAAATAATAGGAGATGAAAGATATACAGAATGAAGAAGGGAAGAGAGGCCATGAAAAAAATGAACGACCAAAACAAACCTCCAATGTATCAACCCTAACATTCCAAACGACAAATGCACCGATACCTCCTCCAATGCCCCCGCCAATCCCAAGTCCCTTACCCATCTTTGCCATCCCCCCAATCCCGCTTCCATTCACAACCACATAATCTTCAATTACTACACTCCTCGCCCAACAAGCTTCATTTTTATCCCTCCCATTTGCATCTCCCTCCTCATCTCCATCTGCAGTATTATCCTGAAGCGTTATACCACTAGGATGAATAGAATCGATCGAAACATAAGAAAGAGGACGCGCTTGTGATTGCTGCCAGTAAGGGGGGATTGTTGCAGAGATGGGTGAAGTTGAGGGGGATTCGTTGGGATTTGGCGCCGAGGATGAAGGTTCGGGGGATTGGGGTGTGATGGTAATATGGTGATCGAAATTAAGATTAGGATTAGGATTGTTATTAGGATAACTTAATGAAGCGCCATTGCTAATGTCATCTCCATTGATAGAATGGGACGTAGTAGCGGACTCCATCCATCTATTTCAAAACGGGGGGTGCCACTCCTGCTTGATTCCGCCTGTTGCGTTTCGTGTTTGTGTTTGTGCTTGTGCTTGTGCAACGTAAAAGTAATGTTCGCATGTAATAATCGTATAGCAATAAAAGATATTCAATACCTAGATATCGAGTGGCCAAAAAAAAGGTGTTGTTGACGTCGAGAGCAGCCCGGCCGATGTTAGTGACAGCCGATATTCACGCATCCTTGCTTCCCCAGTTCAATCTTTGAACTAAGATAAAAAAAAGTTCTATCGCTGCTTTGTCGTTGCAGTCCGGTACTTGCTTGGCGAATCATTGTGAGTACGTGAGTGGTTTATTGTGAGCCAAAGAACTTAAGAAGTATTAGCTCTAAGATAGATAGGTAATTAATGGGTCATTGTAAATGTTCACCGAATATTGATAAGTCTTTCATTATTCATTCATCCATAGCATCTATCCGATTTCAGAGTCTCCAGATACGATATGGCTTCCTAATGCATACAACGAATACGAAGCACATAGAAGACAAGAAGATTAAAAATAAAGTTTATGATAGACAACCATTGATTCGTCCAACAAGAACACTCCACTTTTCAATGTAACATCAGTCTGACGGGTCACTTAGGTCACTTACCTACTCGGTAAATGAGGAGATGGGAGCTTATGTGTCACGGTTAGAAAAGACACTCAAAAAGATGCAGGTTGCACAGGGATTTATGGGCACAACATATTGCGGTAACGGGATATCGGGATAAAAGGGTAGAAGGGGCTGTACTTCTCTTCCGTAGATAGATGCAGGTTAATGAATCAGGTGACGGGATGAAATGGTAAAAGATAAAAGTACCGAGGCGGGGAGATGGATTCGATGGAGAGATATGGCTCCATATTCCATGTAGGTTAGAATGTTCGGTGTGATTTAATAGATACCTAGGATAGGTATTAAAATATCTACCGACCGCGTAAATGAGTCAGCGGCTCATGGTTGGTTGATTGGTTGGTTGGTTGGTTGGTAAACTTCAAGAATGGAATGGGGATGGAATGGGTGGGGTGAGAGTGATGAGTGGGTGAGAGTGATGAGTGGGTGAGAGTGATGAGTGGGTGAGAGTGATGAGTGAGTGAGAGTGATGAGTGAGTGAGAGTGATGAGTGAGTGAGAGTGATGAGTGAGTGAGTGATGAGTGATGAGAATCCCAAGGAATCCAGAAGGAGGCAAATATCTAATTCTACCGCTCAAGTAACTAGAATCCCATCGAACCTCTTATTCCCATATGCATGTTTATGCACAAATTCATTTTTCTAGTTTAGTCAATACGAACGGCAAGTCATTTGTTTCCCGATTTCCCCTCATTCTCCAACGGTATTGAAAGTCTCCCGTCTTCAGTCTTCAGTCTCCCAAGTAAAAGTCATCCACCCTGGCATTTCTGTAAATAGTAACAATTCTCGGAGAAAAAGGTGTGCAATCTATCGGTACCAATCTCAATAAAGTTACCGTCAGTACCTGGGTAGTGATAAATGTGAAGCGAGTGAGAGAAATGTCTCGAATGATATTCTCAAGGGTCATGTAGATTGGAATCATTTCATTGGTGACATTCATCAAGCTAAACCCACATAAGATTAGTCCTGTGCTCAAGGATTCTACACTAGCTTAATCTTGGTGCAGATGGAGGCGCTTTTGGATAAGTTGGGGATCACCAGGGTCACGGTGGTGTGGTACGGAGTAGATCTAACGGAAGTTTTTCATTTTTATCAGGTGAATGAATGAATGAATGAATGAATGAATGAATGAATGAATGAATATATGGATGATTATCTCCTCTTTTCCCCTCAATCTTCTACCATCGTTTTATTACTGTTTACTCCTTTTTCACCTTCTTGTATCTTGGGAGAACACTTTCGCTCTTTGCTATTTAGACATTCATCAAGAACTGCCCTTGGGAATTCATTCGTTGAGTTCTTCGACAACGTCAATACGTCCATACACACATACATACCTGACATTTTCGTATTCCTGCAAGGTAAATAAACTTTGATTCCTCGTTACATTCCAATCTGGCAAACGAAAAATACTCCCGCCACCACTTTTAAATTTGAGCAACATCTCTTTTTTCTGGAGAAGATTCCAAAGACTGACCTGTGGTGTTATTTGCTGGTTGATAGTTTATATCGAGAATACAAGCAAGTGTCAAGCACGAAACCCTTGACTTTATCCTCAACCTTCTACCTCGACTTCCACCTCGACCTTTACCTCCACTTCTTCACCATCAAATAATTCAAAATGCATTCCTTCAAGATCACCGCAGCTTTGATTGCTCCCGCTCTGGTCAAATTTGCAACTGCTCAATATACTATTGATCCTTCAAGTGTTTTATTGGCTACTCGTAGTAAGTTTTTCTCTTCATTTCCTTTCATCATAGAAAGTATTCTCACAATCACATCCAGAATCATGGTGCCAATCCCAAACTCAAACTTGCCCATCTCTCTGCTTGCAAAATGGTGGGAATGATTCAAGCACCGAGACCAACACTTGTGATCCTGTACGTACATCATCCACCTCTCTCTCCACTTTCCAAACTTGAAAATTCAAGTCCAACTAACTCAAAAACAGGAAACCCTCAACTATGCATGTATTTGCGGCAACGGTCTCTCTCCAAATGCATCCGAATACTCTCTAACCCTTCCATACTTCATCTGTACTCAATACGCCACCAACTGCGTCGCTGCCTGTAACGGAGACAATAACTGCCAAGCAGCCTGCAGAGATGACCATCCATGCGGAGCCCAGAACCCAACTCGTATCAATACCACCAGTAGTGCCACTCAAAGTTCAACCGGTACAGCAGGAGCATCTAGCACAAACGCAGTTGCATATACAGGATTAGGTGGATCAACTTCAACATCTACTCCTAAGAGTGGTGCTGCTCAGATGACTATGGATTTTGGAAAATCTTATGGTTTAGCTGTTATTTTCGCTGGCGTTTTTGCGGGTTTTACTTTGGTCATGTAGATTGACCGCTTAATTAATGGATGCTTGAATGGTTGAAGTGGAGTCGATTAATGGGTCGGTTTGTTTTCGTTTGCATGATATCATATCATTTCATATGATATTGATATAGACATTGCATAACATAACGAACATTATCGAATCGGTATTTTGGGTGTTTCTTTTTTTGACAATTTAGCGATCATTAAACATGCGTTTAGTTTTCTAGTTCTCAGTTTCCCGTTTAAGGAATCTTGAAGCGCCGGTTTGGTTTTTTTGTCACGCATAAATTTTACAATGTCGATCGATGTCGATGTCGATGTCGATGTCGATGTCGATGTCAATGTCATCCTAAGATACAAATAGGGATGGATTAATGGAAAGATGGATACCTGGTAATTAATACTTGCTGCTAGGGTTTAATAATGAAAGAATGAAAGGGAGGAGGATGTTTAATGGAAAAATAGTTTGGATCTTTAGATTCAGATGAATAAAAGCCGTTTGTTACTTTTGGCTAGGAAATTGAATGTTAACTTTTAAAGGATGTGGTGTTGGGATTTGAAGATTTGGAGATTTGGAAATTTGAATTTAAGAGTGGATGTGTTGTTTTCTTTCATGAGGATGATGATGTAATGTTGAGAGATGGAATATAAGTCGAGTACTTTACTTTTAAATCATCTTTTTATATTAAAAATGACGATTTTTATCTATCAATAACAAATGAATAAATGAAATCAATTGAAAATTTTATTTTAAAAAGATTTATAATATATATATATATAAATAAATTTTATTAATTTTATTAATTGAGATATAAAAAAATTATAATAATAATTTTTAATTTGTATAAATAATTTTTGAATAAAAATAATTAATAAATAAGAAATCTTATTTTTAATATAAAAGAATAATCTAAATTAAAAATAGTCTGAAAATCTAATACTAGACTGATAAAGTTTAATATTTCTATTAGTTAAAAATTAAAGAATATTAAATATCTCAACTGTAGACTTGCATTTAGACTTGGGAAAATTCAGGACCACAATTACAATTGATGATAACAATATGCCCAGGATACACAAGTCCCGCTTACTAAACAATAACAAAAACGATGGACCTATAGAAATACAAACCCTTAGCTCAACAATTTCAGTTCGCCAAATCCCATACCCTTCATCTCCTCCTGCACATACTCGACCACACGCCTCCAAAGTTACTTTCCTTCATCACAAGCACCACTTTCTAGATGCTGCGCTAGCCCACTTATAGTAGAGAATTGTGAAACGGCTTTCTTACTTCCCCTCACGCATAAAGATCCGCGGGCAATGGAATGATGTCTCGTGAAGTACGGATAATGGCAAGGAGGACAAGTTGTGGATGCTTGATGAAAGATGTTGTTGCAGTGCATCATGCTTGAATTTGCGAGTAGAGGAAAGGGGACAGAGGGGGCATGTTTGATAGCCATGCGAAGCACGAGGCAAGAGGGTGAGCTTGGAGTGGAAGCTTGCGCTAATTGAGAGAGTGGGCGTGGGCGTGGGAATCGTGGAGGGTGGATAGGAGTCGAGGAATTCGGTTGAGGTTGGGGTGAGTATCGGACTTCGAATCTGTGATATCGAAGTCTCAGATGTGTTGTCCTCCAGCTGCCACTGCATCCTGACTCCTCCTGACGTTATAATTCTTCCAGTATCAATCGCTGCAGTAGCTGCATTCAGTTTCGTCTTCGTTATCCCAGACACACATCTTCCAGCCTCCAAATGATGCAACTGGGCCGATGGGCAATTAAAATGCATTTTGCACTCCGCATCTGCCAAGCACTTGATGTCGCTCAGTGGCTTATGTCGCACCGACTTCATATGCTGCTTCAACGCAAACCAATCCTTGAAAGTTCTTTGGCATTTCTTGCACTTTGTTCGCCAATCGCCCTCATCTTGTTGGTTTTGTATGTTCTTATTTTCGGCCCCCTCCCGCAGTGCGTGTACCTGGTTATAACGAAGATGATTTGTGAGCGCGACTGCATTTTTGAAATCTCGTTTGCACTCGCAGCACCGGAATTGTGTCGCTGAGGATAGTGTCATCACTTGGACGGGGGAATGCAATTGAACGTGTAATGCGTTTAGCAATCTCGTAGGAGAGACGATATCACAAATGTAGCAGTATGCATGCAGGCTCTCGCGCTGATGAGCTTCAAGGGATGGTTTCTGGACAAAGCGCTGCTTGCATTCAGGGCAAGAGTATTTGTCGATAGAGGGCTGACGGGCTTCGTGCAGTTCTTCCTGGCTATCAAAAGGATCACAACAGAGGCAGGGACAATGCTTCATGGATCTTCGATGCTGGATTAGAGATGGCATATTACCGTGGTAATAGGATATGATATTATCGTAATAGCAAGGTAGATAAGAGGGTTTGTATTTAATGGGGAGGTAGATAAAGGAGGGAGAAACAGAGTAAGTGAAGTGAAGATATACTAGATAGAAATGAGCAGGATTGTGGCTAAAGGCTGAACGAGGGGTAAGTGACAGATCACACAAGAAGTGTTTAAAGGTTTGTTTGAGTTTCCTGAATAGAATTTCTAATAAGAAAATGCGTTATGTATGTACACAGCCGTCGAATTAATACAACAAAACAAACAAACATCTCAATATTATACGTCATGTAGAATAGCATCTAAAATAGTGATTGCTTTTTCTCTCACTTGTTTGTAATCGAAACCCTAATTAAAATACATGATTAAAATATATCAAATCATTTTTTGATATTATAGATAATTTATATATATTATAAAAATCAAGTGATCTTATATATTTTTTTAATTTAAATTTCTTTTTTTTTATTAATATATATTTTAATACATTTCTCATTAGGTATATACTATCTCTACAACCTCATCCAACTCCTATTCAACTCCCATCATATCTCTATCCCTATTCCTATCCTTATCCATATCCATACTCATACTCATACACCAATTTTAACACCAAGCCTTTCCTAAACATCCATCCATTCAGCCCATCATTCATTCAATACATCTATAATTACAACATCGCTTCCCTCCCCTCCCTAAACACTACTCCTCATCTCCACCCATCCACCAAAAAAAATTATTACATATAACTCCTCCCCTCATCCTCCCCAAAAAGACTTTGCACATGATAAGTTTCCCAATTCAAAAAATCTCCCAGATCATGTCCGAGATTATAACCCATAGGAATATACTCATCCTTAATCTTAACCAGATTGATCGGCGAAGGCGGTAAACTATCATTATCATCCTCATCGTTGTCGATTTTTGGTTCCGGGACACGCATTTGGAGCATAGTATCTCTTCTAGCTCCTGCTGTTGATCCAAATCTGTGCTCAACAACTTGTGGCGCACTATTGCGAATAGTTTCCACCCATAGTCCACCCCTATATTCAGGAGTTTTAGGTCTGCCACTATGACTACCGCTAGGAAGACCAAATCCTAGTCCAAGTCCAATAGTCGTCGCGCGATTATCTCTCCCTTCTTTAATTTTGCGGGGACATTTTTCCGCATCGTTAGCCACGAGACTTTTTCCTCGTTTGCGTCTCGAGATAGGAGCTTCTTTGACTAGACGACCGATTCCAGGGTATCCAAATCCACTCCACCAGTCGAAGATACTATCGATTTCGGCTTCGTCTGCTTCCCAGATACTTTCTTCGCTGGCGCCTATTGTGCCATCGTCCATGGTTCCGGAAATGGCCATTTGGAATGCAGTCCAATCGAGTGCTTCTTCGAGATCAGGCGCCGAGATGGAATCGCGATTGTGCCGGTGATAGGCATGTTCGAGACGGATGGGACCGTGACGGAAAAGTGGAGAGGTGAGTGTATAGGGTGTGGAAGGTAGTTGGATATAATCCACTGAAGAAGTGCTTGAATCTTGTGAATAATCCGAGTCTTGAGAAAAAGTTCGTTTAGGCGTTCGTGGGGATATCATGTTAAGGGGGGAGATTTCGGGAATGGTAGGCAAAAGATTGGTCATTCCTGTGTTTGATCGACTTCGTGGGAGTCGTGGGGGAGAATGTGGAGGATCGCGGGGTGGAGAGGGAAAATGAAGATCTTCGAATGCTTGTTCGATTTCGAGGGCATCGATTTCATCATAGTCGGGATCTGGTCGATCGGGTAATGGCTTCCGAGCGGCTTTTTGTTCTTTCTCTGAAGATTCAGATGTATCTGTGGATGTAGATGGTCGTGGTGAAGAGGAAGTGGTAATTGATGGCGAATTGTATGTTTTCTCATTGTTGATTCGAGGTAACAAATTCTCCAAATGAAATGGTTCAGTTGGAGATACTCTATTTGAGTTGTCCAATGATGATATGATATTCGTATCAAGAATCTTATCCCCATCTCTTTTATGTGGGTTTTCCATTGAAAAAGTCCCATCCCCATCTTTAACAGTCTCAACATTTCGAGCGGCTTCAACTTGAGCATTTTCTAATGAAGCTTTTCTTTCATTTTCCAACTTTGCCCTTTCCGCCTTCTCTTCTAGTTGTTGTAATCTATCCGGAGTTAACATCTCATCGGCCTCCAATCTGGTAAATTTCCCTTTGAAAACATCAGCCATACTGGCTGTCACATCTCCCAAGTTCCATCTCGCACTCGAATGTGGATGTGGTAAACTCTTCCTCGAAGCCTTATCCGACACAGTTGTTTTCTTCTGTTTTGGAGAATTCGATTTCTTTGCTTTTGAGTTGATGATAGATTTTGGTACTGGGGATTTTCCAGAAAGACCAATTGACAGTGGACGTTCTTTCAAACTGTTGGAACTCTGCATTTGATTGCGCTTCGAGATTGAATTGGTCCGTGCGATGGATTTATTATTTCCAATTGATCGATTTTGTCGGGTAATGATGGGATTGTTCATGTTCATACCCACCATACCCATATTCACACCAGTGATCTTACTCACTTTACTACTATTGAATTGTTGGAATCCTCGCGTCGCAGCCTTTGCATCACCTAAAGCAAATCCGGCCGCTTGAAATGCTTCATCCGTCTCTCGAATTAATTGATGAACATTATCGGTAAATTCGACCATGCTTTTGAGATTTGAACATGAAGCAGATGTTGATATTGATTTTGGATTTTGGTGGTGTGGTTGTCGGGGTTGTGGTGATGGTTGTTGTGGTTGTTGTGGTTGTTGTGGTTGTTGTGGTGATGGTTCTTGTGGTGGTTCTTGTGGTGGTTCTTGTGATGATGATGATGATGATGATGATGATGATGATGATGATGATGATGACTGCTGAAATGGCTGCAGATGTTGATTTTGGTGCTGATAAAATGGAAAAAATGTTTTGTCCTTGGATGATGATTTGAGAATAAATCGATCGTATGATTTCGTCGACCGTATTAATTTTGGGCTGGTATTATTAGGAATAATAGGAATATTATTAGATATAGATGTAGATATGGGTATACCAGGAATACCACTAGTTATAGTAGGAGTTGGATTTCCTTTGTCATTAATAAGATGATTAGACAACAATGAGAAAGTATTTTTTGGATTATGAAAGAGATTAATAGTTGATCCTTTCACGTCCATAAGCTGATCTGACGAGGTAGCTTGCGCCTCTCTCTTTTCAGAATGTAACGTCAAGTTAATTTTTCCTTGTGCCTGCTGCGGACTTTCTTTTTCTGAAAATACCACGCCAGCTGCAGTCCTGCATCTGTACCTGCAAGTCTGCGCTTGTGTTGCTACTTGTGCATCACCTGAGTCGACTTTTGGGGGCGCCAGGGTTTGGGGGAAATAATGATAACGGGGCTGACGATTATGATGCTGATTATTATTTATCGATGTTGGTACGAGTGGTAAAGAATGAGCTTCTCCTTCTCCTTCTCCATCTCCATCTCCATCTCCATCTCCATCTCCATCTCCCAATGAAATGCAACTTTTCGATTTGGGTATAGACTTGGATAAAGAACCATTATTGTCTCCAATCGGAGTCGATTTAACCTTTGTTAGCTTCGAGGTACTCCCGTCCCCATGATCATCATCCACACTTTCTTCCACACTCCCGCTCGCCGAGTTCTCGTTAAAATCCCAATCAAAATGTAATGGACTTAATGGTGACTGTGCCGGTGGGTTGAAATCTATCCGGATTTGAGGAGGTTTTTGTACCATAATAGCTGTATTCCTTCTAACCGTAAGTTTTTCGGATCTGGGGTTTTCTGATATCCAGTAAAGACTTTCTGGCTGCCTATTGTTTGTGTTACGATCGTATTCGAAGAACCCGTCAGCGCTGTTACTCTCGAGATGGAAGCCCATCTGTCTAAAGCTCGACCCTCTCTTCTGAAATGGCATAATCGCAGAGAACTCGATCCAATATATGATCTGAACCAAAATTTCGAATATGGATTGCTGTGGAAGTCGATTTAATGGATTTTCGCGATTTCCGATTTCGAGATGCTGCACAATACAATTTGATACATGGGGCAATCATTCGTCCGACATTGACACAATATTTTAACAAGGGACACATCAGAATACCTAAGGTATATCTACAACATATGATGGAGGTTGGATTCTCGCATCCACTTGGTAGCAATGGGGCTCATCTTTGAAGTCAAAGATCTAGGTCAAGAATATATTAAAGATAGCCTGCTAGTGCATCGCTTGAGGATATATCACAAAACTCGCGTGGTTAATACATCAACAACATGTATGTCGGGGAACACATCCACACCGACCTCATGGTACTGGATTCCAAAGACCGGATCCCTCCAAGTAACAAGCGCCGCACAAGTACAAATGCAAATTATAAACATTTTCCAAAACAAGAGAGTGTGATAGGCTAACCATATACTTCCAACTCAATACGACAGAAGGAATGAAATGGATGCCTCGTGGCAAATTTTACAGACATCCACCCCTACTGAACTGGACTGCAGGGACTGGAATCTTGGAGTAGCGTCAAGGGTCGTCCCCGAGAACTACTTCGTACAAAAAGATTCCCACGACGGATAAGCGCATAACAAAGATGTTTGTGACCGAGGCATTGCGCTAAATTTAGATGCTAGTGACGTGATTGTGTACAAAGGATAATCTTTGAAGATGCTTATTGAGCAAGGATGACATTGACTAGTAGTTTGCATGCAGGATGGGATGGTTCATGATTTGATAAGATTGAACGTGGCAAGGAACCTGGACACAAATGCAAGAAGCCGCGTGAAGTTTTGTGTTCCGAAGGAGTTTGTTCAAGTATCCGAACATTCGGAGACATGACATCAAATCTTCATCATCGGGTTTTGGTACCGACAGGAAATAAGTGATTAGAGAGCTCTGAAAGAATGAGAAGAGAGTATAAAAATGAAGTTTCGAAATTATCAAAAAGAGGCATGCAATCCAATCGATATCAGTCAGTAGTGGGGAAGAACGTGTTTGTAGTGAGTGCGCGGTGTGCTCTGGGAACTTAGCGGCAGTTGGAATAAATTAATAGTGGGTATTTCGATGCGTGACTTGCCTTCCGTTCTATCCATATGCATTTCGTTCTTCACTCTCTAAAGACTCTGCAGTAGTCCCTTCTATATTTGTGCCATTTCCGTATGTATATAAATAAGAGAGAGAAAAGATTTTGTAATACTTGTTACTCGGTTTACACTTCGACTGCTGGATTTCTTCCCTCAAGGACGGCGAAGGTTATATTATTGAGGGAGTAGTCATCATCCAATGGAATCCAACAGAAAAAAGAAATACTGTTTAATACTCAAATAGGGTTAGCATCAAATAATAACAAGCATGCATCCCACGTGATAGTGGCGCTTTTTCTCCAGAAAGTCCCGTTCCGGGCGGCTGTGACATAGACCGCCAAACTAAGTAAGGAATAAGAAATAAGAAATAAGAAATAAGAAATTATGGAATAGCGGAACTAGCCAGGTAACGAACGAACTATATGGCCACAATCAATTCGAATAGGACTTAGTGTAATAAGTTATCCCGTTCTGGGAACTTCTTCCTTTCGGCGATCACATCACGTTCAATTCTCGATCCAAGGAATATAAGGAATATAAGGAATATAAGGAATATGAAGATTATGAAGATGATTGGCAGCACACAATTGAAGAAATCATTACACTGTACTCGTGAAAGCATGCGCGAGAGGTCTGTAAATTTCATCACAAACAACCAATCACAACCTACAACCACGCTCTTTTCTTATACAAATCAATACACGCCTACGACACGATATCAATGTACCTGCAGCTTTTCATTTTTAGTCAAGATATGCAACCATGCATTGCCGTACCATGGAACATTTCAAACAACACCAGAGTCCTGCGCCACATGATGCCTTTCTTGAATATTTGATCGATCCGTAGACAAGCCAACCCACATAATAAGTATATTTAGAGTATTCTCCCTCACATTCTCTTCACACGGCAACCGTCAGGAATGGGTTAGAGGCCTAGCCACCTACATAGCATACCCATATAGAAAAAAATGCGCATCCTAATCAACATCTGTTTTGTCCTGCATAAGGGTATCCGAACTTTTCATCCAAAGATCCATCTTTCCTGGGCCGAGGTTGCGATCGATCAAAGTTCCCTTGTCGAAATTCCTTTTCATGTTACCTTGATGAGCTGAGCCTCGGGATTAGGAAGGTAGTATCTCTTTGCGATGGTTTCAATTCGAGCTTAGAAACACTGGAGATCCATAAACCTTTCAAAGTTTCGATTCAAGACAAAAACCGGGGAGCTGAAACGAAATGGAATAATTTTGGCTATGTAGGATTACCCCACGAGTATGCAGGACGGAGTAGATGGATTTGCTTACCCGGTTGACTTTCTCCATTCCATTAATAAGTCCGAAAAGTTACTCTATACAGGTAGATGATTCGCTAATGTAACCAGCTTGTTTGGTTTGTCTTTATCCAGAGGCACAGAATACCACCAGAGTAGAGGTATTACGATGCCAGAAGATATCGATCTGTCCAAAGACACCGTCAAATTGTCCAGTTCGAAGGTTTAGCACAAAGCTATGCTCATCAAGAAGACTATCAAGCATCCATCATCACAGATCACTCGACGAAACAGTAGATCCTCCTATGTAAAATCCATTCATCGCACCGCATCTCTTGTGGATGCACAACTCCTTCGTAAAATTCCTTATTGATCCATATCAAAACGGCACATCGCATTTATTCCCTCCGCCTTGCAATTCATCCTGCAAGGCTGTTTCAACTACGATCTCTGGGATTCGAATCAGTTCCTTACGCATCGTTCGTAAGTTATCCACGTGTGTCCTAGACAAGAAACACGAAGTAGCAAAATATATCATCAGCCTGCCTTCGCAACATTTCCTGTTGACGAAATGTCGATATATGCGCAGGATAATTTGATGGGCTTGCACTTTAAAACTTTGAGCTTTTTGGCAGCGAGTTGGAGAAGCCAGTGACACGATAGTTCAAATCCTACTCGTCTCTCAGGAAGTTACATTGTTGGATTGGTGTTGAAACTTAAGAAATACTATTTCCGGAGCAAGAAAAAAGTACGCCTAGCTCTCCTTCGAAGATTTAACTGTGCCATCGCACCATCATTAAAATCGTTTCTTGACTCATCACTTGTTTTTGTTCCAGTCAAGTTTTCAGTAGGTATCAAACGCGGGAAAATCCCATGTCAAATCGATGCTTACATAAGGTTACATCTACATCTGATGTTTGTCCTCCCGACATATCGGTAATTCATGGCATTCTTATTTGTGCGTGTCCCGTCTTACTTGCTTGGGCTATTTTAATTCTCGTTCCAAGTGGCTTCGTAGAAATATTTTATATAGATACTATTAATACCGCATATTTGTCATTTGATATCACGAGTGGGATATATATACATACATATATTCTTTTTGGTAGCCTGATTTGTCTGAGTGTGGCAATGCTTCATTCAAAGCAATTTTATACAAATTTGAATCGCCTTTTTGGTTAATTTGCTGTCCTTATAATTGAAGAAATTGCTGAAAACCAGACGCTACATATTTATCAATCACGGTATTTTCTTATCGACTAACAACATTTGCTCCTTTTTCAGAACCACCAATCACAATCAAAAGGCTCATTCATGACAAATCTTATGTGTTCATTTCCATCCTCATCTCCAACTATAAGGCTACCTAGATAGATAGATACTGGGCGCTTACTATATTACGAAATTCTCACACCCCGGACCCGGACTAGGTAAGTAATACTGCACCATCCATCCCAAGTTCCAACATATTGGTTGGTGATGAAAAAACCCCATCCATCGCTCCGGATCCAAGCCACCACAAATTCTCCCAATACAATTACTTCCACTTCCTTAATTCGAATTCCCACGTGGAGGTTTCGGACTCAAAGATCGCGCTATCTAGGTATCTTTTGCAAAGACCAATAGGGTATACAAAGTTCGTTCGTCCGGCTCCGATTCCCATTCTTTGATTACGTATGCTATGGTATGGTATTAGATTCGATTAGTTCTGCATGTAGTAATTATGCTCTTACTTAACCTTACCTGGTGCTGACTGACTGACTGACTGACTGACTGACTGACTGACTGACTGACTGACTGACTGACTGACTGACTGACTGACTGACTGGGAAGATCTTAAGTCGTTATGGTGTTATTGGGTGAGTCATCGAGTTATTGTTTGAAAAATTGGGGATAATAATCTGTAATTTTTTGGTTTGGAGAATATGTTCTTTCTTGGTGATTGTGAATGAAATTAATGAATGAATGAATGATGTTTTTGATTGGAGGAGCTGTTGAGCTGCGGGGATGGTGGGAGTGGGAGATATCTACGTATAGAGATTTCCTATGTGTGAGAGATGTTCTATGTGTAAGTGTATATAGAGGGAGAATTTTGGTTTGCTGGCTGCGATTAAATGGTCTTGGTTGAGATTTTTGTAAGTGTGGGTTTGATGAGCTGTTTTTGAAGATTTGTATTTGTTGATTTTAATTTGTTTATATTTTTGATTTGTATAGAGTTAGTTATATATTGACTTTGTTAAATATATTTATTATTAGTTATTCGATAGAAGTTGATGAGATATAAAAATAAATGAATAGATATAAAAAATTATAAAATAAAATTATTTAAATAAATTGAATTATATTATAATAATGATAAAATAATCTTTTTGAGAGTAAGTTAGTCTTTTGAATAAATAATAAACAAAAATTAATAATTAATTAAAAAAAATTTATAAACTATTAATATATATAAAGAATTATATTTTAATTCTTTTAATTCTTGATAATATATAAAAGTATATTTAAAAAAATTTATAAATTAAAAAAACTAGATATGAATTAATATAAAAAATAATTATATTTAAATAATGACATCAAATTAAATTAATCTTACATGCTGTTTTTTTGAAGAAAAGAAAAAAATAAAATACAATAGAATATAATATAATAAACTATCATTAGGTTTCGGAGAGGAAGAAGGAAAAGAGGGGGGAGTTCGAACACGCTTTTTTTAGAGGATTGCTTGGACATTGCTCTTGATGAACAGTCTGGTAGTCGAGAAATAACGATGATATCAAAAGAGAGTCTTGGGATAGTTTACACAGCTGCCAAAGTTGAAACCCTGAGTAGAAACAGCGAATATTTTGGGATGCAGGCCTCTTGATAGGACGTCACTCCATCTGCATTTGAATATCTAACACAGATAAGTAGGATGATTAGATTCCCAGCATAAAATGGAGTTATCTAATCGTTGTCACCGCTCTATTGAAAAAGCAAGAGCTGCTACTGATTTATCCATGAGGATTCGTATGATGAGGTTTAATGCGAGCCAGGTGTGGGCACCCGTACTCTATTGTAACGATCTGGTCGAGGCAGCGGCTGCCTGAGGATTCGTATGGTTAGTAGTTGTAGGTTAAGGCTAATAATCACTGGTTATCCACTCGAAGGTGAATACGTTACTAGATCAATTGGAATGTAGGTAAACTAATTGATAACTAAGTTGAGCACGAAGCTCTTAAACTATGAAACTATTCTGACTATATACTAATCCATTTCGGGAGCCTCCAGGAGCGTAGGCTCCTCGAGGCTCCATCACGTGACTAGGATCAGACCATATGTCCGAGCTTGCTGAAGGTGGGGAGACCATATGAAGCGGTTGCCATACAAATTTGTATACAAGTTGCTTTGCTTTTCAGGGAGGTCCAAGCTCATAAGGACAGGTTGACTGTTACCCCGTAACATTCTATAAAATGATTTCGTGACATCTATCCGGGGTATTTGATCTCTATAGGGGAGTTACCCTACCCTATAAAGGTATTATAGGATAGTATTTGGCAACATTACTGAGTGCTAGGGTCCTGTAAGGTAAATATTATAGGTTAATCATATAAATATTGATTTGAGTAATTATATAATATTAAAGTTACATGATTAATTTATGATATACTAAGTTTGAGATGACAATATAAAATGATCATATAATATTGACCCTACGATACCCTAGCACCCGGAGTATTTCTTTGGGCGGTTATTTTACTCTATAGATTTCGAGCAGGATGGCTTTTTGGCTGGGTTTACCCTACCTTTTGCCCAACATTAATGAGACCAGAGTCGGCGGGTTAAGAGATGCACCTTTAGTGCCAAAGCCTTGGTATACTAGCAAGAAGAGGGTTCAGAATATTTTAGCTTCGTAGCAGAGTCTTTCGTCCATGTAGAAAAGACGCATAACAGGAGTTATATTGACAGTGAAGAAGGTGATTATGGTAGCATGCTAATGCTACATGGTACAAAGTATTTGACCTATTAGCAACAATAGATATCTTTCGAATAGCCTCACCTCACCCAACCAAACCCTTGAGCATCTAAGCTGCCCTGCCCTTTCTGGATGTTCTCATAGAAAGTATTGTTGGCTTTCAGCCCATGGGATCATCAAGTCCACGATTCCTCTCCGTCCCAGAGGACCGCAACAAAAGCCTTGAAAAGTCAAGAGAAGAATTCGTATGTACCTGTGCAGAGTGCGAACGTCCCAATACAAGGTATCTTGCTATATCTGGACTCAATGGTCTGGTTGAGTAGAATCTTGAACAGGATTTTAAACTTCCAATCTTGACTTCAAGAGCTGATATTCTCTTCTGATAAAGAGAGATGACTGCCAGAATATGTTCATTGACTGGTCAGCTCGCCCACGAGAATTACAAGTCTAAGCTCTGAATGAACATAAAACAAAACTGATCAATAAAGTAAGATTTTTCGTTTATACAGAAAAAAGGAAGAAAACTACCTATACATCCATTCGCCGATGAGAGTCAGGTATAAATCACGTGTACTCCTCGCAAAACAGACAGAGCATCGATGCAACCGAAAATAACTTCATCCCCGTCCTTTCCTCCCTCGTGGTGTTCTCACTACCGACGCTAATTCGAGAAAAATGCTATGTTATGGAAGAACTGGAGACGTTGCACGGAATCTGGCAGAAAGGCTGAGAAAGCAGAAGAAAAACCAGACAGTGAGGGGCATGCATACCAAAACTTTCCGTAGCGGGGCTAACGCATGTAGGCGGAAATCCGCACCGTTGAGACCAGAGATATTGTAAGCATTCAGCCTTCGCAATGTGATCGGATGTCTATTGGAGCCACAAAGCATGAATCTGTCTCCACTCAACCTTAACTCCTACCGTAGACGGATTTATTTCCTCAAATAGATATTCTGTGGCATTTTTATGTGGAACATTTTCATTATTCATTGTCAAGGTGGCGGCTTTGGCGGGGTCTTTTTCCAAACGGTGGGTATGGAGTCCGACAGCCTCGGCATGGTTGACGTATTGGTGGATGAAAAACATAGTGAGGTTTCCATCTTCTAACAAAATGTTACTAATGCACATAAACTCACGCAGTCGGGAACGGAGATGGTGATTCAATGGAGAAGATTTCCCTTGAAGGGCAGGGAATGACAAGAAGACTAGTATATCTCCGAAAGGCAGGTGGTTGTCTACTCGAATCATGGATTGAGCTTGGATGAAAAAGACATTTCTAAGCAATCGTCATATCCAAGGAATTTTCAATCACAAAGACTGTTGAGGTTTATATATCTTTATCCCACACAATTCCTCATTGCTACACTCCATCGATTTCTTTTTAAACAATCTCACTTTAATACATCAAGAATATATAAATAAAAATAGCAAACATGGTTCAAAACAAAGGTCTCATTTTCAAGCAAGTTCCTCAAGGACTTCCTGTTCCAGGAAAGGACTTGGTAGTCGAGGCACGCGAATTCGACCTCGAGCAAGCACCACCAGCTGGAGGTATCACAACTAAGAACTTTTATGCCTCTTTCGATCCTTATCAACGTGGACGCATGAGGTCTGCAGCATCCAAGTCTTACTCTGCAGCATTCCCACTGGGACAAGCTATCAACAACAACACCGTTGCCAAAGTTATCAAATCCGACAACCCTAAATTTCAACCAGGAGACCTTATCGTTGGTTTCATCTGGACTGAAGAGTACTCTGCTGTTCCAAAACAACTTGCAGATGGCGCAACCAAAATCGAGAACCCACATAACCTTGACGTAAAGCATTTCCTTGGAGCATTGGGCAGTAAGTTACTTCAATCACCATCACAACCACTGGCATAAACATACTAACGCCTTTTTCTCCCAGTGCCCGGATTGACTGCCTACTCCTCTTTCTACGAAATTGGCAAACCAGTTAAAGGCGAAACCATCTTCATCTCTTCCGCTTCCGGAGCCGTTGGAGCACTCGTTGGACAACTTGCCAAACACGAAGGCCTCAAGGTTATCGGATCTGTTGGATCTGACGAAAAATTAGATTACATCATCAACGAATTGAAATTCGATGGAGGCTTTAACTATAAAACCGAGAAAGCAGCTGATGCTCTCAATCGTCTCGCACCAGATGGTATTGATATCTACTACGAGAATGTTGGAGGAGAACAATTAGAAGCGGCCCTCAATGCCATGAAAGATTTTGGCAGAATCGTCGCTTGTGGTATGATTAGCGAGTACAACAAAACTGAGGCTGAGAGATATCCTATCAAGAATTTGATGCACATCGTGGCAAAGAGACTCACTTTCAAAGGTTTCATTGTTGGTGATGCTAACATGGGCCCATTACACGCCAAGGCAAGAGATGAGAATGTTTCTAAGTGGTTGGCGGATGGAAGCTTCAAGGCTACTTTGTCTGTTACTGAAGGTATTGATAACAGTGCAGAGGGGTTAATTGGTATGCTTCAAGGAAAGAACTTCGGAAAGGCTGTTCTTAAGATTGCTGATGCCGAGGTGAGTTTTATTCATTGAATTGTTGTTGAAGTCCAGTGCTAACTGATTTATAGTAAATATGTATCTTTCTGGATAATTACTAGAAAATAGCTGAAATTTTAATAAAAAGAAATAATGTACCAAAATATAATTCTTTGGCATTTCTCAATCTTTTAAATTAATGTCCCATATGAGGGAAAGCCAGTGCTCGTGAAGTTTCAGGAAGCTATCTCTTGTGTTAAGGTGTGAATAATTTGGTTTCCTTCCTGTTGAATAAGTATTCATCAAAAGCTTAAAGCTTTCAAAAACCACAACTGATAGACACTCTTGCTAAACCCATCACATCTAACCTCACAATTTGCTGTATTGCCATACTAAACCTACAAAACAAAACTACTTTACATCAAAATCTCAGAGACACAAGTCCAATCCAAAAAGTTCTAAGGAGAAAGTAATCTTACCAGTAAAAGTCGATTAGTTCCTATCGGCTGACTACCTACTGTATGTCAATACTAGAAGTATAGAAGCAGCATTTTACCTAACACAAATAAATCCACACTTAAGAATTCCACCACCTTTGCTGTCTCTTACAATCCGACAACGATTATTAACCTTCACGAGTATTGCAATGATACCATTGATTAGATACTTTGAATAAAATATCCATCAAATTCACGGGCAAGGAGAAGTCGCGATTCTCAACACAAAAACATCATTCTCGATACATAAATCCACAATCCTGTCCATACACATTTTTACCGCTCGGACTACTCCCCACAAACCTAATTTATCTATTTACCCACCAACTATCCACCAAACTATCCACTAGAAATTACTTTGAAAAATAAAAGTTTAGTTAGTACTGGGCTACTTACTCACTGTTATTCATTCACTTGAAAATGAGTATTTCGTGTGTCTGGGTAGATCGTCAAAATAGCCAAAAATGTACAACCTGTTCTTGACGGACAGATGTTACTACATGCCCGTTCTAGGAATCGAACCTAGGATCTCATCATTACTAGTGATGCGCTTTACCGCTAAGCCAAACGGGCGTTGTTAATATTGGGTGATGAATATAGATGATCTATTTGTGGAATATGTCCTACGGAAATGTGGATGTCGATGTGCATTATGTGTTGTGTGTTGTGAGGATTTACTATATTAGGGGAGAATGATAATTTGTTGATGTTAAAGTTGACATGTGGATAACTGAATTGAATTGGGTAGACGATTGTTTCTTGTTAAGCCGATGGGTGGTAGGTGTATATTCCTTAAATTGCAATCTTGATCTCGGGGATGTGAGGTCGCTGTTGTTTTATGGAAGTGTATATTGAGGTTGATTACTTTTGCTGTTCTTGATTATTATTATTATTATTATTATTACATGCGTGTATTGACATTTGGACTTGTACAAATTTTGGTGCAGAAGATCAAAATGTGAGGTGAGATGGGCTCGAGGCTTGCACGCCGTCGTCTAGATCTGACTAGAAAGTAGAATCAGTAAACATCTAATATGATTGAATCATATTGGATGTCTCTCCATTACATATCCCAATGTATCGGGGATTTATATACAGAATTTGAGAGTTCGATTTCTTAATAATCCATATTGAAATCATAAAATTTACTCGTATTATTCGCTTGTGACCTCGGGACTTATACATTCCATCCTCATTAATTAATCCGAACTCGCAACATTCACCTTCATCATCCAGCGCAAGCCGCACCATCACTCTTATCATTCGGTCTCTCAGCAGTATCATGTACTCGAAGTTCGACATGTGCGGGCGGCTTGGTACGGATCCTCGTATCACCTTAAAACGCGTGGCGGATAACGAGTCGATGGATTTGAAATATTGGATCGGTGGTTTGGTATTTCCTAGTATCTATTAGTTATATTTGTTAGCTTATTTCGGCTATTATCCGTTTGGATTTCCATGGGTGAGGTTCTGCTTTGTTAGAATTTAACACGGTCGAATGGGGACGCAGTCCAAGCATTGAATCTCTGAAGAGTAAGTTATATTAATGGCGTCTAGTCGTACACGCCGTACGCCCTTTGGTAAATTATATATTGGACAAAATGCTGCGAGTGGCTAGTTCCCTAGCTTTACCAGCTTCTCGTGCCTCAATTTCCCCTATCTCAGTTCTTTCTGCCCAGAAGCTTCGCATGCTCCCTCTCTACTGACTGTCCACAATGCGACCAGGGAAATTGCCCCAACTCCATGTGTGCATTATACAAAGACCGCAATTGATAGATCATTGCCTCATGAAGTTAATTTTAGATGAAGGGGGTTTTCTGTTTCCCAGTACAGCAGGCTCAAACAAATTTTCTTTCTGGGAGAAACTGGAACTGTCTTATTGATTGGTAACTCGAGATTCCTTTTGATGATTTTGCCAGCTCATTTTCCTTTACAAAAATAAAGCCGTCCTTAGCTAGAAGGTAAATTTTCATTTCGTCCGTTGGATGGATCTAGTCGGCCGGAGTGAAGAAGTGACGCTTGATATCAGGAGTCAGCCAGAATTTCTCCACATGGAGACTACGGACCTAGATATCAGTTGTTGAGAAGAACAAATTTGCACCACTCAAACTGATAATATGGTAGATATATGGGCCAAGCTCTTCGAGGGTGGTAAGTACTTTAATGGTAGTTGAGAAGCGGTAAGCGGTAGACGTGTCCCAACAGCCAAGTTGAGCAGGTGCTTGTCTCAAACGACTTTTTTTCAGCGTAACCATAGCATATGGGCCTTTGATCAAATTAGTTATTGTCGCACGTGACGGGGTAGAAGGGATGTCAAGAGTAATACCATCAGGACCTGACAGTTCTTCCAGACTTTCCCATTCGAATACTCTTGCACAATCAGGATAAAATGTAATGAATGCGCCGGCTACATTCGCATTGGTACTGATCTTGTAATCCTTCAAATTGAGTACTTAGGCGATGTAGAACCTCTCCACTATCGCTTTTTACCTAGAAGTGGCCGTGGTAATGAGAAGTATAATATTTCCAGGGTTGAACAGTAACCCTGTAACAGCATTGGAAAAGGGATAGTCGAAAATAGTGTGGGATAGTAGCCACTTTTCACTACATCTTGTGAGATTTTGTATAATGATACCACCAGGTTCGTCCGCCGTTGCCAGAATGCTAGCACTACCTCCCCACACAATCTTGTTTACTGAAATATTTGTAGCGTGTCTGTACAGATATGTGTCTTCGAGGCCACTGTGCGTATTGTATACAGCGACAGAACCATCCTGTCTACCACAAAATATTTCCTTTCCAAAACTCGCCGAAGAAGTTGATACTCCGAATCGTTTGACCCGGAACGCTCTTAAATAATCCTTACTTAGAACGTCAAGGAACAGACAAGCAAGTCGATAATGACCTTCCTTCTGTCTACGAAAAACTTGGTGCAGAGGTCCTCTTGTAGTAAAAAGTCGTTGGTGCTTTGATGAATTAGTGTACATATGATTGTTGATCAACGAAGACAGGCTGTCTGCATATAGAGCTTATGTCTCTTCGCAGGTTGTTAACTGTGATATTCAAATCTAGCTTCAGCGCACATTACATTTCCAGTAACAGTCAAGGATCGATATGAGCAGACAACCCATTTGAAGATGGTTTTGGCAAGTTTTGCTCCACTTAGATCCTGCGACAAGTTCCCCAGAATTTTTGAAGAGAATTCATTCGTATCGACCGGTACCTCCAGGGAATAGTCTCGATTTCCTCTTCCGTGTAGATTACCGAGAGTTCTTGCATGACGGAGTCGTACCCAAAGAAAAGACCCGGAAGACGTAGTCAGTATCCGCTCAGTTAACCCCCTTCCCGTTTTCCAAGCGTGTCCGGAGGAATTTTGTAAATATGTTTTTGCAAGAATAGTTTATTATCGCCATCGTATCCGAGGCAAATATTTCTTGGTTGATTAGAACTCTACCAAAGCAGAGAAATCCCTTATCTAAAACCTGGCTATGAAGACCTCGTAATGAGGATCCAAACCCGAAATTTGGAAGAATTAATGAGTTTGGCTAGCATAGGAAGCAGAGCCTGGGAGCGAGTGCACTCATCGAGCCCATCGATGACCCAGTATTGGTAGACCTTCATCGTAATTTGAAGGATCCCATTAACAAACAATTTATTCCAGATTAAAACTTCATCATTGTTGTTGATGGTGATACCATTCGACTCCCTACCTGAAAGAACTTTGCGGATCTCAGGATTAGATAGTGCCATTTGGTGTGCAAGGGTACGTAGACAGTAGCCATTGATGAATTAGCAGCAATTCCATCTTTAAAAAAGAAGTAGTAACATGCAAGATTGTTTTGCTCCAGATGGTCAATAACATGACCAGCGAAAATAGAATTCCATGATGCAGGATCCCCGCTCAGCCAGAATACTGGAGGTGCGTCAGAGTAAGGATTCTGCCAACAATCGAATGTTGGTCCCAAGATCAGCAATTTCCACGAGCCTTCGACTTTTTCATCGCGGGCCATTATTCGATCATCTTTCGGAACATCATGAATGTCCAATAAGCTATGAAGGCGATGCCGCTCGGCGGATGTAGTCTTGACATTAAATTTTGTGACTTCAATCAAGAATCACCGAGATAAAGACGTTCAGGTGATGGTTCAGGTTACCTTCTGCTGTAGCATTATCGATCGTTAAACTAGGCGCATTTCTAAGAGTCTTATAATTGGGATGTGAAGGCAAGTCAAATTTGCATATCCCTCGATGATCACCACCAATGTAAGCAATTTCTTCCTTTGGCCATTCCAATGTCCCGGATTCTTTTTCGATAACCTTTGTCTTGCAAAAAGGGACATTCGTTTCCTGGTCCTCATAAAAGGACCATATATGCAACTTCTCCGAATAATGGCGGAAACTTCGATTTATACTGCCTATCATACTGCTGTTGATCTCCAAGACAGTCGCAAAGTGCTTGGTCCCAAAAGATACACGCAGTACACTGTTAAGTGTCTTGACAGATTTGAACCTCGATGTGGAGTGGCCAGAGAGTACATTATGTCAAGTCGCTGAACAAGATCATGCATGGCCGGATCTTCGATAGCCAGTAGATACGTCTAGATCAGTCAGTTTGCGGAAAATTACTACGGAAAGCTCAATTTACCTTTTTGACGACCAACTACCCCCCATACTATAACCGACAAAAACAAGTTTTTTCTAAGAAAAATATCAGGAAAATATTTTCGATGGGCATTGGGGATCCTACATTTCCCCTGCGGATCTCCGGACAAGTGTTGACTTCCCCTGTAGAGATTATGCGAAGTCGCCAACATCAAGCGCATTACCGTTCGTCTCTGCCCAGTCTGCTCTGTACCCGAATGAAAAAATTCTGACATTCTTCAAGTCAGTGTCATGAGATAGCCACTCCTTCGGGCAGTAATGACGTGCATTCTCTAATTTCGACCATGTTTTCCTGGACTGAACCCCCAAGCCGTGCACAAATATGAGATCTATCAAGGGCTCTAATGGTGTATGGAGTAAATTGAGCCCCAGGGACCCTTGAGATCAGTTGCTGTCTCGTAGGGGACTTTTCCAGTATGGAGAAACGACGCCTCTTTGAGCGCTTGATCAATGTAGTCTAGGCCATGATTACTGGCGTGCTATTTCCCCAGCTATCGAGAGATGGTGAGTGCCAAATAGAAATAGCTTTTTGCTAAACGTCTATGGAGATACAATTTGGTGGTCAAGAGTAACTGATCTCTTGAAACATCACTCTCTTTAATGGCATCTCTAATGGCCTCATTGCCATATGCTGTTGCACCATTGATTTGACGATAGCCAGCCTGAATTGCCGCCTTCATGATTCCTTTGCTTTCTCATTACCACCGTTGCCTTGAAAAGTTCCTAGACCTACCGATGGCAAAGTACTGCCGTTTGCCAAATGGAAATGGGTAATTTGGCTCGTCATAGCTTAACTGACAAAGAAGATAGTATGTTCTAATGTGTTTTGACCAGGTACGAGGTTATAAAAGGCTGCATAGACGGGTATCAGGACGAACCAATTACTGTCCGCGAATCCAATGCACCTTTCTCATGCAGTTATTCCTTGCAATGGCCCATCGTATGGATTCACTCTACGCCAAACAATAAACTCGAAGAACCTCCAGACTCGAATTCTAGAATTTATGGAGTAACATCAACGTCGACCGGGAATCAAAAACCCCTTTACAACTTGCGCTTTCGAAACCGAAACCAAAGTCCAACACTGAAGCCCAAAGAACCAACTATTCTAGCCTACACATGAGGGAGAATTTCTTTTCTCCATTCGACCTCCTTTCCACTCCCTAAATGCTCAACTCAATCTCGAACATTCAGATTTCATTGCCTAACTCAATCTTCCCTAACCATTGGGGTTTCATTGTGACCCAGTCTTGCCTGAACATTCGAATCCCAGGTGATATTTCATCGGTTCACCCCCTCTATCCAGTTTCTGTTGGAGCCATCCAGCACCTTCTAAGATGTATACCTACCTACCTAGCTATAGATTATTTAAAGATGCGACACATCTGTATCTATGTAGAAATCTGGAAAATGAAAGTGTCGATGTGTTTACCACGTAGCCTATGTTTTGATTATGAATCCTGAGAATGTCCAGAGGATGCGAAAGTTCAATTCAAGAACTCAACTTGTCAATAGGTAATAATCCCAAAAAATGGAAAAGGAAAAGAAGGGGTGTTGGAATGATATTGAAGTTCGCCGAATGACTCCAGACCCGCTTACTAATCTAGCCCAAGTATTGGCTGCATGACAAGGCGCCGTTTCCCATAGCCTCGCCCCTCCTCGCCTAAAATAATAATTTATCTCTCTCGAACAACCTTTCGACATTTCCACTAGTACACACCCAACCCGATGTCCTGAAGAATCTCTCAATGTTACGTCAACACCGGTAGCATCACCTACAGCTTCTAATTCGCACAATCATAAGCTACCATGTCTTCACGAGCAGACACTGGCGCGCCGGCGCCAGATGATAAAATCGCAGCCTTGAAAAAAGTCCTCTATGACGAGTGTTTTGAATCTTTCGAAGATAATCCTACTTTTTTCCAAGAAGATCTGTTCGAACTCAATGTCCTACCTAATGATGATGTGTCCATACTGCTAGCTGTCACCCAGGGCCTCACAAATGATAAGTTGTTCAAGGTGGTTCAGGATTCGCAGAGGGGCATCGGATGGAAATTGCGTACTCAAGAGGAAGCCAAGAAGTAGGACCTTTATTTCTCCCATTTGCGCCCAATTTGCCAAAATTTCAAATTAGAGTTGCCCGCATATAATATATAGACGGTGCTAATGAATTCCCGTACAATAGTTACCGCAGTCTTTCCTCCGAGCAAGAAATTGTCTACGCACTCATCGACGAAGCCGCAGAAGAAGGAATATGGACCAAAACCATCAAGGCGAGGTCCAACCTGCACGATGCCGTTTTTCGCACTGCCCTCAAGCATCTCGAAACGAAGCACTTGATTTCAGAGATGAAATCCGTGGAAAACCGCAATCGGAAAATGTACATCAAATCCAGCCTGCAACCTTCCGATCGAGCCACTGGCGGAGCATGGTATACCGATAATGAGCTAGACGAGGAGTTTATCACGCAAATCTCGCATATCTTATTTGATCACATCCACAGAAAATCTTTCTATAAATCTAGTTCGGCGAGTTTGAAGAAGCCGAAAAAGGTTGTAGGGAAGAAGATGTCTGCGGATGAAGCCAAAGCGTTGAGAGACAAAGCTTTAGGAGGCAGAGTCAAAATCGAAGATACCACCGAAGATGATGCTGTGGATGGAGCTAGGAGACATTACGATGCATTATTACCTATGCCACCCGGCTACCAAGGATATCCGACCCTTAATGAACTCACGTCTTTCATTGAGAATTCCGGAGCTACGGCTATGACACTGACTGCTCAGGATATTCAGCAATTGCTGGAAATATTGATTTTTGATAATAAGATTGAGAAGGTTCTTGCGGGTCCAGAAGGTGTTTGCTATAGGGCTGTAAGAAAAGGATTTAGGGAGGATCAGGAAGGTGGCCCGTCTAGTGCTTTGACGGATGTCCCATGTGGACACTGTCCGGTTGCTGATCTTTGCGAGGAAGGTGGGCCCGTAGGACCAAGTACTTGCGAGTATTTTCAGACATGGTTGAATATTTAGGGGCGAAGATGGATATCGGGATAGGATTCTATTACATAGCATAGCGACGGCCGGCTTTGGAGTTAAGGAAAGATACCACAGACAGGACATGAAACAGTTCACTCGTCTAGTCACAAAAGCATACATCACATTCAGAAGACGGAAGAATAATTTAGTAAATCCATTGCATTACTTTTCGTCACTTCTCCGCCAGATAGCTAATCATACTGAAGATTTGCCGACCGATTTCGTGCTCAAAGATCACCTTCCACCGATACCCTCGCTAGGAAATGCATTTAAAGCACACCAGACTTGACAATGGTTGGCTTTTTGTTGTATTGAACCTTTCCACTGCCGGATCCGGTAGCCTCGAGAGCCTTGACAACCTTCAAGGAGTCATCGTCGACTTCACCGAAGACGACGTGCTTACCATCGAGCCAGCTGGTGACAACGGTGGTGATGAAAAATTGGGAGCCGTTGCTATATAGTTGTTAGTCGATTGAAGTAAAATGAACTCTTGCAGAAGGGATTTAGGCTTACGTGTTTGGTCCAGCGTTGGCCATGGAGAGGAGACCTGGACGGGTGTGCTTTCGCTCGAAGTTCTCATCGGCGAACTTCTCACCGTAGATTGACTTTCCACCGGTACCCTATATAGTCTTTAGTTTCGAGTTTTGTATATTAATTGCATCGATTATCGTAACGTACGTTGCCACGGGTGAAGTCACCTCCTTGGAGCATGAATTGGGGGATGATGCGGTGGAAGGCAGAACCCTCGTATCCAAAACCCTTCTCACCAGTGCAAAGAGCACGGAAGTTCTCTGCGGTCTTTGGGACTACATCATCGTAGAGGGTGAAGTTGATTCTTCCAGATTGTTCTGCGATGGGGATAGGTTGTCAGCTGCAGACACTAAGAGAGGGGTTGAACGGTGGGGCTGAGATGACGACAATCAAAATAAACAAAGACGTGTTTTTGAAGCTTAACAGAAGCTCAATCGGCCCAAAAAAGACACACCGTGTCATATTTTGATGAAAAATGATTGAAATTATGATAGAATTGATGCAGAAAGGATTAATGAAATGAAGATTGAATCACTTACCTTGAACGGTGGAGGTAGCCTTTCCGGAAGCGTCAAGGACTGGGCCTTCCCAGGTAACATCGAAGAAACTAATGATTCGTTAGCTTCAATGTAGTTACTTTGATGAGTCTTTGATGCTAGAACGTACGTTTTAATAGCCATGTTGGATTTGGAAGCGTGAAATTGTCTTGAAGAGATGGATTTGAAAGAGTTGTTGATGAAGGTCTTGCGAAGGAGGGGCAGCGAAGTGCTTTTCAAGCCAGAGGCAGTGCGGGGCACGAATAACATTTTTAGCGAAGTGGTTCGGAGCTTCCTGATTGGATAATTAGTGTTTTTGGTGGGGCAGTGTTAAAAAAAAGTGAATGTGAGGCGTGGGATGGATTGTGTGAGGGTGGTAGTAAATTAATTTTGGTGGTGGTGGTGAGCAAGTGAGAAGCGACCGCATGCACTCACTGTATGCACCGCACCGTACGTACCGTACTAAAAAACAAGGTGAATGAGTTCAAGGCTCTTCTTCGGGTTTTGGGGCAAAAAGGATTGGTTAATTGAGTAGAAGGAAAGAGAAGGAATCTATCGGAAGAAGTGGTGGAGGGAGGAAAAGAAACAAGTAAAATCTAGGTGGGGTCGGTAAGGGTAAGGGTAAGCTTTCAGCAGAGGTAGGGATAGGAGTAGGAAGGTACAATAGGTGAATTGATCGAGGGACTTGTATTTTGATAGACAGCCGTACACTCATACACAGGAGTAAATACTATGTATGTTATATAAATAGAAACCATTGCCAAAGTTATCAACCGGATAGATGTTCTTCTAAGGAAGAATATCTATCTGCCTTCTTTTTACATATCTAACTATTACTCTCGAGGGGATCATCAAGGTCAATTTCAAGTCCCATCAAATAGGTCCCTTACGGACTACATGTAAATCTCCCAGGGACGTACCATAACTTCGACTAAAGGGGAATCTCTCATAGCCTCTTTTCCAGATGCACGATATCATCATCTAATCCATATTCATGGTGTTTTACAGCTGCTGAAATAGGCGGTGATCTGAACCTACCCAGTCTAGAAGGATCGTTTCCAATGTACCTCTACGGGGAAATCCAATCAGGAGATGCCGCGCATTTGATTGAGTTGACATGACGCCTTCATGTATTCTTTTACTCCGGTGGAGGGGATGCAAAAATAGTGCAGCACCCCCAGACTCGAGAGACGGCAAAGCGGATTACTTTTGAAGGCTCGATGACCGATGCTCCAATCATCTAAAAGCGCGCAAAGGAATACGAAAAATGTGGTTGACTTGCAGATCTTTGACCTGCAGGTTTGGTCGGGGTTTCTCAGCAACGGACCTATATTTGGTTTTGGTGAAGGATTCTTTCACTGATGAGACACGGTGAAAGATACAATTGATAGGGAAGGGAAGAGAAGATTGGCGAATACTGCCACTTGATTGTACAACGTTGTAGATGATCCTTTTAAAGAAGTAACTTCTGTAGATATATTCTCAGTGATTCCCTCCAAATTGATGGAAGCAGGCATTCTCCACCGCTTAATTGCTTCTGGGATTTTGCCACAAACCATTCTAGAGCTCAGAACCCTCAGTATAATCGGGAGATCTTGATGGTCATAATGAACATGTCGAGAATACCAAGAAACTACTCAAATGTTGTTAGCTAGACAAATTTTTTGCTCTATCCGAAACCACTTCTTGACTTCCTCTTGGAAGCCGACAGCATGTCAAGTCAATGTCTATATCACGTGATCGTATATTAAACATCGAGGCTAGTGACTAAACTTTAGTGTGCGATCGGCCTTTCTTGAACACATGGGACACCTGCATCTCCATACAATCAGTACCCAGATAATCTCCCCCGCGTCTACAATTTCACATCATCCATCGTTTTTACCACCTAACCGTCGTCATGGATCTCGCCAGTTTGAAGGAGGCTGCGTCCAATTTGACGCTCTACGATTTGAAGGCCGGCGTGAGAAAGGTACAAAATGGTAAGGACTCAGTGTAGACAGCTGGCCGATTTGGTGGTTACTGATAATTTACAGCTGTGATGAATTATACCGAGATGGAGGCCAAAGTAAGAGAGGCGACAAATAATGAGCCATGGGGTGCTAGTTCCTCACGTTAGTCGCAAGATCTGGTTATCTTTAATGTTTAGGCTGTCAATCCTAATGCGTTATTACAGTGATGCAGGAAATCGCGAATGGCACATATAACTAGTAGGTCATTCTGGTCAATTCCCAGTCAGCATACTAATTTCATTCAAGTCAACTACTTAATGAGATTATGCCGATGATTTATAAGAGATTCACAGAGAAAGCTGCCGAGGAATGGAGACAAATATACAAAGGATTACAGCTACTCGAGTTCTTAATCAAGAATGGCTCCGAGCGTGTCATCGATGATGCGCGATCCCATTTGACGCTCCTTAAGATGTTACGCCAATTCCATTTCATTGATCAGAATGGCAAAGACCAAGGTGTTAATGTTAGAAACAGAGCCAAGGAACTGGCTGAATTACTTAGTGATGTGGACCGGATTCGGGCGGAGCGCAAGAAAGCACGAGCTACACGAAATAAATATACCGGAGTTGAAGGTGGAGCAGGAATAGGTGGTGGGATGTCGAGTTCCAGTAGATATGGAGGATTTGGGAGTGAGGAACAAGGTGGTTATGGTGGGTATAGTGGAGGTGTGTATGGAGACGGTGGTGGATTTGGGGGCCAGGCCAGCGACTTTCAAGATTCTGGTAATCATGGGGATTTTGGTGGCAGCAGCAGCCGCAGAGATAAGTTTGAGGAATATGATGAGTATGACGAGGGTGCAGCTCCTTCATCGTCGCGAAGACAGGCCGAGAGCTCCTCAGCATCATCCAATCGCAAAAGGGCTGGAACTGAACGAACGACGAAAAAAGCCGAACCTCCCAAGAAGAAGGAGCCGGAAGTCGATTTGTTCTCTTTCGACGACCCAATACCGGTATCCGCCCCGGCGGTTGCACCTGCAGCATCAAGTAGTCTGGCCGATGATGATGACTTCGATGATTTTCAGTCTGCGACTCCAGCACAACCGGCTGCCCCGGCAGCATTCTCCCCAATTTCTCAGCCTACCGCTACTACGACTGTTAATACACAATACGCCGCACCTCAGCCAGTATCGGCACCAAAAGCAGCAAACCCAAGTGATCTAGTTGGTTTCTCGTCGATTTCACCAGCAACAAGCACCAACAACACACCGGCCAACTATTCTGCATTTTCTCCACCTGCCATGACTCAACAGCCACGTCCAATTCAAACAGGTTTCCAAAGCACACAACCAAATTATTTCACGTCGGTTCAAGCCGCCAGCACACAATCAAAGCCTATGTCGGCAACATCCTCCGTCAAGTCGCCCACATCTGCTAAGTCATCTGGTGGAGATGCTTTTGGATCCCTATGGTCTACTGCTAGCGCTGGTATCAAAAAGACAAGCACTCCCACTACTTCCGGCCCGGCATTAGGACAATTGGCCAAGGAGAAAGCCAGTGCGGGTATTTGGGGAGCACCATCTGCTGGATCAGTTCCTTCACAAACTTCACAAAAGCTAGGAAATGGATTAGATGATCTATTGGGTTGAAGAATATATTTTGAGTTTGTATGAGCATGATTTTGCGGATGGGACACACATGGTTAGTAAGTATGCGGATGGGCGTTATTAGATACGATACTCAGGCGCATAAAATTTAGTCAGATTTCTCTTCAATCTCATTTTGCATCAAAAATCCGAATTGCAGTTTAATATGAAGGTTGATCACAGAAATTTGGTTCGTTATACAAGTGTGTATTTGAAAATGCAATTAAAACTTCCCTTCAGGCAAAGTTCCTACATTCCATGGGTTACTTTTAACACGGCGCCCACATTTGGAATTACTATCCAGCGGTTAAGAAAGGCTAATTTCCCAAACTGTCATCGGAGAATTGTTTTCGAGCTGAAGTTTAAGGAGGATCAAATGCTTGTATGTATGTATCTGTGCTCGTGTTTAAGCTTACGGCAGATGCTGGGAGGTGTAAGTTGGACCCCAAATTCCGGAGTGGACGGACTTCTGGACCCGTTTGAAATTTTCATTAATCCTGTCAGTTCCAGGATGTATTATCTAGCGGTAATTCTTTTTTTGGGTATGTAATTTGCCCGAAGACAGTATCAGGAAGTGTTTTGACAAGAAGTTTGCCCTTGGAATTAAGTTGTACCCTCAGTCAGCAAATAGCGTTACCCTGTCGATATATCCACACTTTCCAGTTAACTGCCCTTCATCGATCTTACTTTACTCAGCAGCCAAAGCAAAAAAGACTAATCAACATTCTTAGCCTCCGACAATCACGAGTACAGTTGGAACAAACCCACTTCACCTATGAAAGTTGTCGTTAACACATGTTGGTGTGATAACGTTTCATAAATGTTGGTTTTGCTGGTTTGATACATAATTTTATTCAAGAAAACACCATATACTACGACATCGTTTTTCTCTTTTCTGATACCATTCTCCTCGATAATGCACGAAGAAAGGGTGGAGATGTATCTTGGGGATGAGCCAAAGGTTATGCCAGTGGACACACTGCTACAAAAATATGTCAATAAGCTACAGTCAACTGGCAATTTTTGTTTGGGTGCGAATGTCGAAGATCTCATGAAAGAAATCGAATTGCTTGAATATTATTATCCATCAAACAATAACTGCTCTAACTTCAGTTGCAAAATCTCCCCTCTAATAGACTTTCTTACCATTTGCGGCCCTGCCGTGGATATGATGATTCAATGTTATCCAGCTCCATCTGCTTTAGTGTGGACTGCAACAAAAACTTTGATAGAGGTAAGCATAAAATCTAGTTTGTTGAATAGCTGCGCTAAAAGACAACCAGATTGGACGCACCTCGATTCGTCATTATCAACTAATTTCGAAAATTTTATTGAAAATAACTAATATCGTGGAAATCTCAGTTCATTATGAGGTTATATTTGGCAGCGATCCGCGAGTTTCTAAAGCTCTGACGGACGTATATTTCGAGATCCTTGTTTTTCTGCGAAGTGTTCGCGCGGCGTTATGCAAAGACAGTAGGTCTCCTCCGACTCGTACAATCACGTTATCTGACCAGTTTAAGCATTTAAGCTTGAACGCACAGTTTTAAAGTCTCTTGATGCGGAGCTTACTAACTATGTTCGACGGCTCTCGAAGGCTGTCAATATATTTTCCCAGGAAGCTACACTCGCGTATGAACAGTATACGGAATTTTGTGCCGTAAAGCAACCACAGGCGATTGAAAATGGCGCCATGGGGATTCCCTTCCTTCCAGAGAACAAGGGTTCGTAAATCCCACTGGATGATTCGCAACAACTCCCGAAGCTAATGCCGATGAATAATCTAGATGCAGATATCAGAACACAAGTAATGACTTGGTTATACCCAGGCGATTACTACGAGAGTTTACATCAAGCTTGTGCCAAGAGATCCGCAAATACAGGTCAATGGCTTCTTACTGACACAAGCTTTCAAAATTGGCTGAACGGGCTGTCAGACTCGGTACTGTGGTGCTATGGTTCCCCAGGGTGTGGGAAGACGATTCTCAGTGCCACCGCTATTCAGTACCTACAGAATTATTATGGCTCCATCCCCACAGTATACTTTCACTGCAGCTCAACAGACAAGTTAAAACAATCCCAGGAATCCATATATATCAGTCTTTTAGGTCAGATCATAGCACAGGCAAGCAGTATTCCGCAGGCATTAATATCTGCATGTCTCTTCGCTGAACGATACGGACGATGTCGCATCTCCGTTGCCGACAGGATCCCGGAATTGCTCGCAGAAGTGCTTCGTGCGTTACCAGCACTTAACATCGTCATAGATGGACTTGACGAATGTGAATGCGAAGATATGCTAGGTATATTGCGCCTGCTGAATGGTATTTCCCGAGATCGTAATTCTATCCGTCTTTTATTTTTCTCACGAGATATCCTTCCATTGCGCAAGGAACTGGGCATGTTGCCTTCTGTCCACATCAATACGAATGCTGTTCAGTTAGATATTGAACAGTATCTAAGAGAAGCAATTGAGACTCTTCCTTGTACGGAATCTCACCTAAAACAGTATGTGTATAATGCGCTATCCCAAAAGGCGGCGGGCATGTTTTTATTCGCTCGACTTGGTATGGAGACACTGCAAGCAACATTTAATACTCAGGACATGCTAGCTTCACTGGACAAACTCCCTACCGGGATCTATAATGTGTATGGACAGATTCTGGAACGTTTAGCATCAAAACCATTTGCAAATCAATCTTTGGCACGTCGCATTTTCCATTGGGTATGTAGAACTTCAAGGCCTCTCAATTGGCTTGAATTACAGTGTGCATTATCTTGGGACGAGGAAAGGATGATATTTGATGGAAATACTGCGCCTTCCAAGGACTCAGTGCTAGAAGTTTGCTGTCCTTTGGTTGAGTACAGACCCGATTCCGACACGTTTCACCTTGGGCATTTGTCAGTCTACGAATATCTTCACGATCGCTCGAATTCTATCTTGTTGTCGCCTCAAGCAGCTGGCTTTCTTCTCGAAGAGAAATACTCGCATCTTGGGCTAGCCCAAGCAACATTGACGTATCTGAGCAAATCTGGGATCGCCGAATCGATTAACCTGAATTCACAGCAATATCCTTTAGCAAAATATGCCACGGAAAATTGGTGCTACCATCTATCATTATCTGTGTACGACTTTAAGCTTCATCGACAATACGAAAAGTTCGTTGCATCTGAAACCAGGAGATCGGCTTGGATTACAAGATCATTATTATCAGAAGATCTACCATTTCCCATGCATCGAATTGCCAAACTTCAAAGGCTAGTTCAAACCTGGACAAATCAATCTGGTACCCTTGGGAAACAATCCGCGGAGGATTTAATGGATATTCAAAAAGCTTTATTCCGTCTAGATGATTTCATACAATCACAACGTCGAGGAGGACCGGGTAATATTAACGTTATCTCTAACTTTGAGAGATCCATGATCATCCGAGATTTGGCTAGGTTGTATACTATGAGTGGACAAATAGATATGGGAGTTCGTGTTTTCGAGGAAGAGATTACGAAGACTGGAGGTACCAATTCAGGCAAAGCCTCAAAGGCGTGGCTACTAAATAGTCTTGGGATTCTCTACGATCAGCAAGGAAGATTTCGTCTCGCAGAAGCTATACAGCGACAAGCTCTAGCCGTACAACTCCGGTAAATCTCACATACTCACCTCTAAATCAGCTACAAACTAACCAACTCTCTAGTTTCCTCCCCCACGATCATCTCGACATAATAATCACCATCAACGAACTCGGCCGCGTCTGCCGCCACCTGCAAAAACATTCCGAAGCCGAGTCCCTCCATCTCCGCGCCCTCCGCACTCTAGAACCCCTCTTCCCACCCACAGACCACCACATAACCTGGACCCAAAACGCCCTCGCACGCTGCTATCGCTCTCCGCAACGATCCCCCTGTCTTCCCCACGAAGCACTTGCCCTACACACCCAAGCCTACAACTCCATGGTGCGAACCCTAGGTCCGCTTCATCCGCACGCTATCTGGACACTCTCCGATACAGCGCGCTGTCTTGCCCAATTAGGCAGACTAGACGAAGCATTTGAAGTTCGTAAACGAGTTCTCGATCAGAGAATTCAAGTTCATGGATATATGCATGCGGATACATTGTGGGCGATGAATTCGCTGGCGTTATGTTATGAAGGGAGAGGGGAGATGGCTGAGGCGGCTGCTTGGCATTCGAGGGCTTATGAGGGCCAGGTGAATCTTTTTAGTGAGGGGCATGATCATGCGAAATGGAGTTTGCGGGCTTTGGATAGGACGGGGTTTGTGTGTTAGAGGGGTGGAATGTGGGGTGGGTTTTGGTATGCTTTCGGGGGGTTTACCTCCTGTTTTGTTGTTGGCTTGGTCTTCTTTTACTTGTTTTTATAAGGTACTTTTTTTTTCGATTTTGGGGGTTGTGACGGGTTCGGAGAAGTGAATGTATAGTACAGTGTGGGAAATTTGGGGTTGGGTTATGAGGCTTTTGACGAATTTTCTACGCTTTCCTACTTTTTTTTCTTCATCTTCTTCATCTATGAAGAATATTTATTTAGCTTCTTAATCACAATCAAGTCAAATCATAGCCAACCATCGAAGTCTAGTTCCGCTCCGTTCTTGTCTCTCAATTTCTCTACCATATGTATATCTGATCTAAATTTCACAAATCTGTTTTGTTTTCTACTTCAGTAAACGAAAATACTCACGTGTTCAGCTCAAAATATACTTTCTAACGTAGTAAGATACATAAGTCTTACATACAAGGTGACAAATACTTTCTTTCTATTCTACTCTACTCTATTCCATTCCCATTCCCATTCCCATTCCACTTCCACTTCCACCACCTTATCTTACCAAGTTACCTCTACCTCAAACTCCATCTCAAACCCGAACCCAATTTCAAAATAAGCGCCCATCACACCCCCATCCCATCCAAATCACAAAAAGAAAACAAATCCAGACTTACGCCCCCCACTCCTCCCTAAAAAAGAAAAGATAAAGTCGTATTCGTTATCTTCGCCATTTTCGCAGCTTACTGTACTGGCTCCACAAAATGATTTCACGGCCCCCAATACAAGCAAGCATGGGGTATTGCGCTAATTATATGCAAGGGGTAATTTAATGGGTCATCCCACATACGACTTTGTGATGTTGTTTTGTTTACGTTTAAACGCCTTTTTTTTGGTATGCGAGTTGTTTATCTTGTTTGAGTCCGTGAGAAGATGGATTGGATTAGTTGGGTTAGTTAGTTAAATGGATTGCATTGATTAGATTTTATTGTGGTTTGTGAGATAATGTTGTTGTGTTTGGTTAGTGTTTATGGATTCATTTGCTGTAAGCAAGATGATCGACTTTTGGGGTTGAGTTGATGGCGCGGATGTGCCTATGTATGTGATTTTATGATTTGGATAGTCGGCGAAGTTGTGAAGATGCTTATAGAATATTAGTGGGATTGAAATTAGCCAATTTATTCTCAGCCACTACGAAGAAGGGGTGAACTAGACACTGTTTGATATACATCAGGGACTGATATGTATCTGAATGTGATACGAACGGGCTTACAGGAAATAATGTGGAATGCAGTGACTGTATAATGGGACAGTGTTAATGTAAAACACAATCGCGACACAAGTTATAATTTCTAGCGGATCGGCCTGAAATAGATAGTAACTACGCTGTTGATGACAAGACGCAAACTTCCGTGGAACAATCTCGTTTGGAACCCACTAGGCAATATCCGTAATGAATGATTGCCAGCTGAAGTACGGTGGCTGTGATGTATTGATTGAGAAAGAACGGGAAATGCCGCCGTCCACTTAATGTAGCAATGAGTACTACCTCGTTACATGCGAGTATTTACTTCTTCGGGCAATATTGTCCTGATATTGAAGTAGTATTTCTAACCTATGCAATAACCTCTGTAATCACTAACTGCAGAGGATGAAGAGGTAATGTGGTGGTAATAAGAATGACTAATTCTATGCCATACACTTAAATTTGAAACTGATTAAGATGGGAGCTATAATCGTAATCTCTAAGTAAGTCTTTGAATATGATAACTCATCACGTCATCCAAGAGGAATTGTGGCAGCACCTTTAGGTGATAAGACATCACAAGTTGGAGGTATTCTCAAGTCTGATCTGACTGCATGTGTATCCACAGCTAACGATGTGAGAAGAGGGAATAGATTAAGCGCTAATGTATGCCATCAGAATCTGCATATGAAAATGTGTTTACTCCTCATTGTGATACCTTGTCAGCTTGATCCTTGCCAAATACCACGTGGTAATATCAACGAGGACGACAATTGTGACTTGATTAGGAAATTCTCCGGTTTTGTGTGTGAGGTGCTGACATCGGAAGGATCCAGATGGGAGGGGTACGTTCGGATTTTGGCGTCTCACTAACAGGGGCCTGATCCCAGGCAGAAATGACTCCAGTGACGACAACTTGCCATCTAAATCATTGTTTCAACTGACATCAACATCAACATCACTCGTTAGCACGGGAAGAGTCTTTTGAGTATCATTTTTTTTAAAAGAAAATCGACTGAACGATGGGTCGAACCGGGTACCGGGTAGAAGGACTACCCCACGATACAACGCTCGAAAATGTCCATAATTATCTGCAATTTGATCCAGAAGCGAACATGCGATTGGTTGCTAGATCTGTAGCACCACTTATCGATGGCCTGCCGAACGAGTTAAAGGTGGCTACGGTAGACTTCATACCACCATCCGGTTGGAATCCGTCGGTTCCATTGCCGGCTCTGAAAGGCCATGGAGGAGACAGAGTTGTCGTTGACCAAACATTTTATGGGTTTACTCCTTTGAATGAGCCACAAGAACCAGTAGCTATTGAGTAAGCTTCTCCACCCTCATGCTTTTTCTTGCTAATTGACGGTAAAGTATTATTGCGGTCACAGGACTAGCCGGAAATGCCTTCGGTTCATGGGCATCAGAGCCAACACATATGTGGCTGCGAGATAAACTAGCTGTGGACTTTCCCCATGCAAGGATCATGAGCTATGGGTTTGACTCTCACTTGAAAGGCAGTCACTCAGAGGCCGTTGTTTCAGTGTTCGGTTCTCGTTTCCGTAGTGATGTGGAAGAGATACGCAGGCATGCATCAGTAAGATAGTCACACCCACGTGTTGCGGGATAGGATTGACCATAGCAGGATCGACCACTCGTATTTATCGGGCATAGTTTGGGAGGGTTAGTGATAAAAAAGGTATGCAAATATCCATGAAGTATGGTGCCGTGGTTCACAAGTTTGCCTAGGCCATGTTAGGGCGATGGAAAATAATGCCGTCAATTCCATTGATGATATTTTTGGGTACACCTCATCGAGGATTAGACACGGAGGCTCTTCTTGAGCTCGTCAAGCACGATTCAACAGCTCCGTTGATTCGGCAAATATCTTTCCGGTCTCATGAGCTCAACGAATTGAATTCTGATTTCTGCCACTTTTTATCCACGGCGCCCGATATCGCGATACTGTCAGTCTATGAGACCATTCGAACCAAAACTTTGGTTGAAGTTAGTAAAAATTCCAGTCGCAGATAAACAATGGCTCACCTATGCATTAGATGCCTGATGGAACATGGGCAAGACAAGGGGTGGAAAAAATGATGGTACCTCCTGGTGAGTACATTTCAATAATTCTTCGCCACGGCCTGATATCTTATTCGGTACGTGCGAAGCCGCTAATAGATTTCTAGACTCAGCAGTGCTTGGGGTAGGGACAAGAGAGGTAGAAGTTCCCTGTATAACAGATCACTCTCGACTAGCAAAATTTCCCGCTGCAAGCCAGGGTACTGCATATCCACAAGTTCAAGGAGCAATTATGAAGTCGATACGGACAACTCCTCTGGGACACGAGGAACTAATAGATGCGATACGAAACCAAGCCTCGAAAAGGGTTGAGACACTTATCAAATCAGGCGATTTTTGTCTCGATCGGTTTGCTCAGAATGGCGACACCGCTCTAGTACTTGCCGCTAAATGGGGTTGTAAAGTTGTTGTAAAGTGTTTGCTAGCCTACGGCGCCAAACCGAACCAATGTGACGAAGAGGGATGTACACCCCTGTTTGCGGCCGCTGGTCAATATGAGGCATCGCTCGACGTCGTCAAGCTGCTAGTTGAGAATGGTGCAGACATCAACCTGGTATCGGGAGATTTGAAATGTACACCATTACATGGAGCTGCTCAAATACCCTCAAATTCCCATATTCTTCAATACTTATTAAGCCGTGGTGCAGCTACAGAGGTTCAAAATGCACATGGACTGACCTCTCTTTATATCGCCTCGCGCCAGAACTGTGTATTTTCTGTAAAGCTGTTGATACAGTATGGAGCAGTTGTTGACTCATGCAACTGGGACTTAAAAGACAGGAAATATGGAGAAACACCATTGATAGCAGCAGTTTATTTTGACAAAGGAATCGCTCACAACACACATGTGATAGAACTACTAGTTCAGGCTGGCGCCGATATCAATCTTCGAGCCGGAAGTTCGAAACACACAGCTTTGATGATTGCATGTCTAAAGGGTTATGATCGAGGAGTAAGATGCTTGCTTGAACAGGGTGCTAACGAAGGCATGAAAGACGCAAATGGCAACAATGCTTTGATGTATGCCGCAAGGATAGGAAATGTGCACACGATTATGGTACTGGCCGAATATGGTAGCTCCAGCATTGAAATGCAATCTGCCCAAAGGCGGGTCTTAGATTGGGCCATCTATTACGGAAAGGTTGAAGTAGTCAAGTACCTCTTAGCTTTAGATCCTGGTTACCAGCCAATAGGTATTGATGAGCGGTTTGGGAGTAATATAAATGAACATACGAGAGAAGAGATCGAGGCATATCTACCTAAGGATAGCAATAACGGTATGCCTGTCAAAGGGTTGACATTTTGGGACCGATACAGATGGAAAAGAAAACAAAACAGATAGATTAGATGTACCGATGTAGAGCAGCGCTTGATTAGACCTTTGATAATGAATTAATAAGGACAGAATAGCAGCGACATCGTGGATAGCTGCCATGATGGTTTGGGACTGAGATATGTTGTTTGCTGGTTGTTGAGATTGTGTTGAAGTCCATTTCGAGGTTGATGGGTCCGTGCATTTATTGTATACACGTGATCAATAATCAAATGGCGCGTATGGCCTTTTCGGTCTTCCGTATTTTACAATCCTTCGACCTCATCTGGGGGCTGAAATATAAATAATCCAGTTCCACTTTCGATCACACAACTCCTCGGTACTATTCTAAGAAAGAGGAGATAGCCGCAATCCTTCTACCCACCAAATGCAACATCTGAATCCTTTGCTATGCAGGAACAACATATGTGATGACCCCGTCATGGATGCTTGTAAGCTCCGTGTAAGTTAATTGGGCAAGCAAGTGATATTTGGTATTTTCCTTGCCTCTTTTGCAATATCCACGTGTGTCGGGTTTGGATAATTTTGGCTTGCAATTTTAAGGAAGTCCAGGTCTCTTTATCTAGCAAGATGGAGTACCGGGCTCCCGCCGCCTTTCATCTAGTGTTTGATTCTTTCCTGATATTATATGGTTCTGGTTTGTTCGTGAAATTCCTCAGCTTCCAGATTCTTGACATAAGTTATTTCTCGCCTTGATTTTGAAGCCTCTACTTATTCATGCGTCTGTAAACATTGAGGACTTTGGCAGGTTGCGCATCCATATACCTTCGCGGTCACTGACTCGAAAAGACGAGCTTGAAGGGCATTGTAAAGTCGATGAGCATAGAGGCAAACCTGGATATTTGGCGAAATTCGCGACGAAACTTCACTGACAGTCTGGTTTACAAGAATGATAAAATGCAAAGGGGGAGTGGGATGAAAGCTGTCGAGATGCTGCGTCGTGCGCAGAACAATATTCCATCAGGGCTAGATCCCGTCAAAAACATGTGCCAAAGATGGTATCATTCGTCGATAATGAAGAACGATATCCTGTATATCTATGGGGGTTATGAAACATTCGTTGAATCTAACAATCATGGTGCCAGAACCGGTAATGTCACTATTGGTACAAGTAAGTTAGTTGCTTTCAACTCAATGGCTAGCTAATAAAACTGGTGTAGACAACTACATGATCGGTGTTGGGATGAACGAGTCCTGGAATTGGACAATGGCTTCCGCAAGTCTACCACTGGTATCAGAACAGGTTTTTGTACCAGATTCCGAATCGTCAAATGCCTTTTCGTCCGTAGTGCTCAAAGGCGCTCTTTTTTCTGGATCTCCTGGTGGAAATCAGATATATCTATATGGTGGAACTGAGCAAAGCATGAATACTAGCTTTTATGGATATACGGATCCCACATCACCAAACCAAACCCTTTTATCATACGATGTAACACAGAACCAGTGGGATTTAATTAATGTAGATTCGACAATACCCGAAAAGCCCAGCTCCGGATCAAGTGCTGATGTGCCGGATCAAGGCCTGGGGTTTTACTTTAATGGCGAGATAAATCCTGGATCAAGCACAGAAACTACCTCGATCCCGGAAGGAAGCTTGGTACCACTAGAGGGTATGGTTATGCTAAACATGACCGACAATACGACGAGGAATATCTCTACTTCTGCCATCGATACAAATTCCAGAACAGGAGGTATTTTACAGTATATCCCTGGGATAGGAAAAAACGGCAAAGGTATACTGATACAATTTGGTGGCATGTATCGTCAAGCTGGTAATCTATCAAATGAACTTGGCACTCTGGTAGGTTACAGCAAGCCCTTGATAGCTTAAGAATCTGTCTGACTAGATTTAACTAGGCTCCAATGGATCAAATCAACATTTTTGATATCAACAGTGTGTATGACGGGAAAAATGGGACCTGGTACACTCAGCAGGCATCGGGAAATTTACCCCCGAGAAGAATGGATTCGTGTACTGTCGTCGCCGCTGCTCCCGACAATTCGAGTTACAATATATATCTTTATGGTGGACAAGATGGAGATTCAGTATCCTATGACGACGTATTTGTGCTCTCCTTACCTTCGTTCACATGGATTCAAGTCTATGAGGCTGTGCCAGGAAGCCCTCGTTTTGGGCACACATGCCATCTAGTGGGAAATCGGCAGATGCTGACGGTTGGTGGCGCTCAAAAGAAGTATTCCTCTTATTGTGATTGGGAGAGTTCAGGGGTGGCTATATACGACATGTACGCGCTATCATGGACGTCGACGTTCCATCACGACGCTAATAGTTATATCGTCCCTGGTAACATTACTGATGCTATTGGTGGAAAGTATGTGTTCATCGGAGTACCAAACTGAATTCTCATTTGCATTTACTGATTGATGAACAGTTCCAGTGGCTTTGCACGGATTACACGACCCTCGAAGGATTTTACGAATGCGGATGTCGCCTCGCTCTTCAATCAAACTTTACTGGGTACGGGTACCGGCACCTCCAGCACTGCCAATACTACGGGTGGTATCACATCCAACCCATCTGCTATAGTGTCGCCACCGACTAATAATGTAAACCATGGCGCAAGCACCGGCGTGATAGCCGGAGCTACCATTGGAGTGGTGGCTGCCGTTCTAATACTTTCCTCTTTGCTATGGGTATGGCGCAGATCATCTATTGCCGCTGGCACCAAAGGTCAAGGAAAAGCAAGAACTGAATCACGCCAGTCTCTAGTTGTTGAGGACGCCAAAGCTGTTGATTGGCTTCGAGCAAATGTAATGAGTGTAGCGTACGACCCTAGCAATCCTTGTCATGTGCCAGGTATAGAAGTACGAGCAGAACAAGCTCAAGGAAAAGTTGAATCTTGATTTCTTCTCAATTGAAAGGATAAGGAAAATATGTATATAAATTTTTTTCTTCATTCGGTGTATATATTCAGCGAGCTCTAATCTTATTGTTACAGCACAATTGTTCTTGTCACTACCCCGTCAATGAGTCACACATCTCGTGAGTGAAGATGGATTTTGTCCAGTATTGTGAAATAGCTGCTCTAGGAGATATTTTCCTCTCATGACCATTTGTCAGCATCTGTTTGGGGACTTGTATCGTCCCAACTCAATTCACAGATTCCCAATAAAACATCCGTATTTGCCAATCAAGAATCAACTAAAGATAATCTTATGTTTGGGAAAGCAGAAGCCGCCAAATGAAACTTATCAAATCAGAAATATTCGGATTCTAAGGTGGCTAGCTAGTCGTCGGATGCGGTGCAGGCGTGATCGTGTCCACACAGAGGGAAAAAGTGTCCGTCGCTCCTTATATCATTCCGTCAAAAGAATTGTGATGCGACTTTTTACTAGTAGCTAAAATTTGCATTTTCACAAAGCTGCGGAATTCGATTCTGGTAGGCGTTACAGGAAAAAGATTGGTAGAAATGTTTTTGGTGTCAACACATTCTTTTGTATCCGCTTCTTGCAGGAGAGATAAGCCTAATCAAAGATCGTAATTAGTTTTAATAGCTGAATTGTATGTAAACTCGTATCTAATAGTGCCGAATTAGCATTTGATAGTAAATTTAAAGAATCTATAGGATTAGAGGCGTGTTTGAAGATGCTAGTTTTGTGAGGCAATTTTTCAGTATGATGATGTTGTTGTTGTTATGGTATGGTATGGTATGGTATGGTATGGTATGGTATGGTATGGTATGGTATATATAATAAGGAGAGTAAGTAGAGTAGAAAATATTAATAAGTTAGTTGGTTATTAAGAGTTGATGGATGATGGATGTAGATTGATTGATTGGTTTTGGGGAGTAGATTGGTTTGGGAATATGGGGATAGGGGGATAGAGGGATAGGGGGATAGAGGGATAGGGGTGAGATGAGATGAGATGAGTTGAGGCTGAGGTTTTGAGTGTTTTTGAGATAAAGAGAGAGGTAAAGAGGGGAGAGAGAGAGAGAGAGAGAGAGTTATTAACTAATAAGAGGTAGGGTAAGTCTAATACTCTACTTTTCGGCCACCTTTAATTTCGGCCACTTTTTTACATCAAACTCATTATTTTCAGCTATTAATAATTCAACAACTAATGAATGAAATCAATTGAAATTTCAATTATTACTTTTTTATATAATTATCAATAGATTTTCAAAATCTCAAATTTTTTACGATTTTATTGATTGAGAAATTGAAAGTTGAAATTACAATTTTTAATTTATATAAGATTTATATATAAATTTAAAAATCATTAAAATTTGAAATAACTTTTCAATATAAATTATTAAAAATAAACCATAAATCTTTTCCTGATACTTATATTATAATTGATTGAATAAAAAAGAATTTTAAATTTTAAATTATAAAAAAAAGTTTCTATCAATGTTTTTAATTTTTACAAAGATTAAAAATTACAATATTTTGATTAATTAAAATTTTGTAAATTATCTTGAAAAAAAATTCAATCTATTTAATAGATTTTGATTTAAAAACTTCCAAAAAAAAAAATTTATATATCCTTATAATAAATACATTCTGCTTTATTAGGGATTTCTGATTTTTATACAGATGACATATAGATGAGTGAGGTGAGGTGAGTATGGATTTGGGGGGAGTGGGATAGGATAGGATATTTTGGATTCGGATTAGAATCCGGATCGATGTGGAGTGAGTGAGAGTATCGATGATTTGGTGTATAGAAAGATTTGATTTGATTGTTTGGTGTGGAAGTCTGTTATATTAAAGGATATGGAGTTAGGGAACGACTGAGGAGAAAAGCTAAACTACTTTCTGTACTCAAGTGTTGGAAATTTGAGGGTTAGTGTATAAATAATACACCGAGTCTTAAGCTATGAATACAAAAGGGCTAGATAATTAGATTAATATTTGGAAGCAGTGATAAAGTACAGTAAGTTTTCAGGTCGTAACAACAACATGAATATATATTACATTAAGTTGGCAGCAACAATGAAGACGTTGAATAGAGAAAAGCAAGTTTTGCTCCAGACTTAGTATAATAAAACTAAGGCAATAAATAGTATTGCTGCCAACATAGATAGCACTTGTTTTTCGAGATGAGAAGCTTCTGCCTTCCACACATTGTTTTTCCTTCCAGCTATTATTTTTTTATTTACTTTCCCCATAATAAGCGAGATTCCTCCTTCGAATTCGTCCCGCTTCTTCCAAGTTCCCTCATAAACACCTCAAAACAACAAATATCTTAAAATCCACATTGCCTTCCTTCCTCATATCTCTCAAAATTACAACTGAACCTTGCAAAACTCAGGCAAAAAGTGAAAAGTAAAAAGTGAAAATAATAGATACCTCGTGCAGGGTTTGAACCTGCGATCTTCTGTGTCCTCTGAAAATGATGGATTTATGTGAGACAGATGGCATGACCACTAGCCCAACGAGATTTTTTAACTCGCTTTTGCTTGGTTTGATGAGCTGATGTTGTAATTTGAGCTCCTAAATCAGGTAGATTGGTGAAGAGGTGAGCTGAGGGGAAAATGAGAGGTTCAGGGGAATAGGAAACTATCCATCCGCAGATTTGGATGATTCATTTGAGATATAGCTACTATTATGGAATTTTTACTCAGTCAAGTATGCACAAGCTTTTGAGAGATAGAGTCTACTTTAGTCAAGTGTGATTAACATGTACAGAGAGTAACGCGGTATGCAACAATCGGGCGTGACCACCTTGCTAACTATTGGTGGAGCTGCGGAAGCGTAGTAAGCTAGATTTCTTTCCGCCAGATATGACGGTGCGTTTGCTGATGATCTAGGCTTTTGTAACTTCTATAGAAATATCACTATCATCACAGTATTCGTGTATAAAATCGTCAGAACTTCCTGGCACATGCATTTCTTGGTATATTCAATTGTTCAACGGTTTCTTCAGGTATTATTATCATATTGTGTTGTAGAAAAGGTAGACCAGTCGACGTCCTCTCGACAACAACTTTTCACCTGGATACCAATTTCCCCAAATAGGTTGTACTGGCGCATTGATTCAACGTATTGATATTCTCAAGAGTAATATATGAATCTCCACTCTCTCCAAAACGCCTGTTTATCTCTGCTATGGCTGCCACTCGTGACAATGCATACCATAGACATGAATGTTGCAAAATCCTAGCACCAGTGTTCTTTCAAAAACTCCTTCCTATAAACACCACGAAGTTTCCGCTCATACAAACTATCAATTTGAACCTCCCATTTACCCTTGCAGCCGCAAAGCTCATATGCCAAAGTCCAATCACAAAGCCTTAGATCATATGCAGCGGCAGCAAGCTTGAGCTGCTCAAAAGAATTGTGGCTATTGAGACATGCAATAACTTCTACTTGTGTCAAGTTGAAAGTGTTCAACTTGCTGATTACTCTAGAGATGTTTTCAGCCCTGCCGTTGTAAGTGGCGGTATTGAAGTGGTATTTGGGTGCCTTGATGAGAATCTTAACGTTGGAGATGAGAGCTGCGTAATCGGTAAGGACTTCTATGAGATCTCTAATACCTGGGGCTGATTCTGATTGGAAGAAATCTAGATCGATGATCATTTGAACATTGTCATTTGTTTTCTTGATGGTCAAGACGGGGTGTTGACGAAGGGTAGAGAAATCGAACTCTAAGGCTCGTTTCTTCATTTCCGTCTCTACATCAATCGATTGTTGGGTATCTTTTTGCTCGTTAAGTTGCTTCTTCTGTTGTGCTGAAGATCTTTTTTGGCGGATAGCTAGTTTATTCTCGATGGATTGAGCTCCTTGAATCATCTGGATGGCTTTGCCACCACGATGGTTGTTCTGACCTTCCATACTTGCTTTGGGAAGAAAGGATAGCTGCTTTGAATTGCAGGACTAAAGTAAACTCTCAAAAGTGTACTAATGATCGAGGATGTCTAAATTTCTTTTCTTTCTTTAGTAGAAAAGCTATAATATTCAAGTGTTTTCCACAGTAAGGCGTTGTTGAAATTTAAAGTTCTATATTCTGGAGCGAAGAGTTGTGCTTAAGTATCTCTTCTGTTACGTATACGGCTGTAGGTCTACTCCAGCCGGTGAGTACGGTCATCTGGGATAAAAGTCACATTCTTCAACCGTATTTAGCTTTGATTCACGCGCAGGTTGGCTGCATATATCGCGCTCTTGGGAGCTTTAGGGTCATTATTAATGCTAAAGTATGGCTACTTAATGTTTTTTTAAATCTAGATCCTGAAATATCGTGGTTACGAGTAGGAAAATTAGAAAAGTGTCTATTGTGAATTCGCTTAAACCCATTATGCTAGGGCCATCTATCATTTTAAGACTTATTAATGTTTCATTGAACGTATTCTAAGAAAGGCAGGTTAGTTTTGTGATAACTAAAGAGGTAAATTCTGTGAAAGCGAGAGAGTTTTGAGAACTTTTTAGATGAGCTCTCAGGATAACAAATTTAGCTATGTAGAAGATGTAAATCACACTATACAGGTTTTAGCAAGTTTCAATGATTGGCAGGATTATAAGGGCACGTATTTACGGGGAGATGGGTTATAATTATTACTATGCATTATTATTTAGAGTCAAAGTTATTCATGGAAACATCAATGTCTTCACCTCGGAAATAAACCTCCTACTTGAAAATTATTAGGGAATTGTTAAATCACAGATACGGCATCATTCGTTACTATTCAATGGCATTCTGTGCTACCAGCAATTCCACCCAAAACACTCCATTCCCTTGCCAATGCGAAACTTAAACAAGGTTTACCATAATGCAAACGCTCCTCCCAAATCCCACACTACCAATCGGGTCTCAGCCTAATGAGCACCAAATTCAGTCCTATACACACCGCGAAGTCGCCTTGAGTAAGAGGTATTTCTTTTAATTGGATAGAAGTCAGAACAACCCAAGACTCGGTAATCCATAGTCCAGTCCTGGAACACTAGACCATTAACGGCAGCAGCCAGCTTTAGCTGCTGAAAGCTGTCGTGATCATCGATGTGAACTAGAATGTTGAGCTCAGTTAATGGGAATGAGTTCAGAATTTCCATTACCTTTTTCATGTTTTCCACACGTTGTTGATAAACTTCCTGTGAGCTGCGCTCAGAGGGTGTCATCATGTTGATTAGAACATTTGTTATTGCTGGTGCATACTCTGGAAGAACCTTCATTAATGCCATCATGTCGATGGGAGGGTCGGTGACGAAGTCTAGTCCAATGATCAGTTGCTTTAAATCGCCATTTTCCTTCAGAACGAGTGCATAGTGCTTTGGGATGCAGTCGAAATCCATTGTTGCGGCTACCTTTTTGGCGTTTTCTTCAGTATTCTTCTTAGCCGCCAACTTCTTCTCTTTAGCCTGTTTCTTTTCGAGAATATTCTTCAACAATGCTGTCTTTTTGTCGATCAATAGCTTATGGTCTGCTTCATTTTTTGCGGGAATTCGCTTCTTTTCAGCAATCCTCTCTTGCTCGAGCTTCACTGACATAGGGACCAATTTAGGCTGGCCGCGACTATTTTTGCAACCCATATTGGTTAATGCGGGGTTTTGTGATGGAAATAGAAGTTTCAATGTGAGTAGAAGTCTAAAGATCGGAAGGATCTATATGTTTTGATTAGACTTAGAAATAGAGAGATATTAAAGCTTCTCCAGTATGGATTCTTACCTTAGTTAATTGAATTTGAGTGCCTTGTGTGAAATGAAGAGAGAATGAATACCTGTTTGCTGAACCTGCTTGTTGTTTAAGTGGAAGGTGTTATTGTAAATTATTGTAAGGAAGATGTTTGTAATGAAGAAGATCAGGATTCTGGGTGCTGAGAGGAGTCCTTAAGTATGCGTGCAGTCATGTTGATACGGCAACTTCTGTGTTCGGCTGATGCTAGCGAGCGATTGATTCTCTTCTATCAGTCAAGTGGCGTAATTAGGCCGTATCAACTATAGTTATTGAATCATTCGCAACTACAACACGACGCTAATTATAATGTAATTCGGTCTCTAAATTGGTAGAAGGGAGGAACATGACACATCCTTATTTGGAAATTAATCTCTATATAGAATCAGCTTTCAGAAGAAGCTGTACATGCCTTTGTAATTAGTCACTGTCATAGAATGCTATTCCTTGGTTGCAAGTATACTGAGTCCCTCAGAATCATTCATTAGTTAATTCTCGCTTGCGAACTCAAGAACTTTCGACTCCACCAACCCCACTAGTGAACTAGTATAAAATAACCTCTGAAGACCTTATAAACAGTCGCAATCTATCACTCAGCTCAAGATTCACAGCAAGGTTTACTTGCTTATCGAATTTCTGCATATCCAATCAGCTTTATTACCAGTCGAGCATTATTTCTAGCGAAATTTCATCTAGCTTGTAGATTCTCAACCACATAAGTGCCTACAGCCTCAATTTAATAGGATAATGTTATGACAGTACTAGCCATCGTTCCCGCAGAATTAGAATTCATCGCTATCTGGTGTAGTCCCTGAGTTACTGAAGGAATAAGAGTGAAATGTGATGACCGAGGACTGGCTTTAAGTTTTGAAATAACTCCGGGTATGTAAATTTTAGCGGAGCTTAGTATCGAGGTAGCTTGGGCAAGTTTTCAGGATAACGTATTTTTTTACCTCTCTGCTGAAATAGTAACAAACCTTAGCATGGCTTTTAGTTTATTTGCTCTAGCCTGCGCAAAAATAACCCGCGGGTTGCAGATATCTATAAGTAATCTGCCCTACAGGTTATCCATTAGATCTACAATCCATTCTGTAGGTTATATATTAGGATTATAAAATAATCTATCTTGTATAGATTATTTATAAATAATTTATAAAGATTGATATAAAAACCAATATAAAAAATACAAGAATAGCTTCAAAAATTCAAACAAATATCATTTACAAATAATCTACAAATTATTTGCAGATAATCTATCTATTTGTAGATTGATAAATTATCTATAAATTTATAAATATTCACAAATAATCTACAAATTATTTATAATTTACCTATTCAGATTCTTCAATTATTTGCCTTGCAAATAGATCATCTACAGATTACCTTCCAAAAGCAATAATCCGCCCCGTGGGGCCCCCTTTGCGCAGCCTAATTTGCTCATAGCATCCGACCTGCATTGATACTTAGCCTGAACGCTTCGTTTATTGCCCTTGAAATCTTTGGTACGAGAAAGTAATACATGGCATCCTTTTTTATAATACACTTTTTGGTTTCCTTTTCTTGTTCATCATAGTATCAGTCTAGAAGATACAAATCATATTGTTGGCCACATAAATTTCACAAGTTAACAGTTATTGATAGGACGTTAGTTTTAAGTATTTAATTTCTTCCAACAGATGATGCTGGCTTTTTCGAACGCGAAATTCGTCGACCATTTCCTCCCACAATATGCCATACCCACAACAATCTCTATCAATACCCAAAGCACTGTCTTCCTAACTCAACTTCCATTTCTACATAACAACTCCTTGTGAACTAGAAACTCTTCCTTGTAGATACATGCTAGTCTATGATCCGATTTACTGCCAATATCGATATTAAATCTACCCCTAACATGAAGAACCTCGGTAACCATTGTCCAATCCTTAAAATTCAAACCAAAAGCTGTTGCTGCTAGCCTCATCTGGGCAAAGTTGTGGGCTTTGTTAAGAGAGACCACGAACAGGAACTCGTCGATATCAAACTTGTTTAGACAATTAATTGTCTTCATCATGTTCATGACTCTTTCTCTGCAGATCTCGGGAGAGCCGTATGTGCAGGTGCAACGAGCCGAAATTCAACCTTGGTGATAAGTTCTGCGTACTTCGGAAGCACGGTGTGAAGGTTGGCATCTTTTGCAGTACTTTTGAAATAAATGAGGTCAAAGTTGATGAACAACTTGACTGTGCTGGTATTAACGTCTTTCATTACCTTAATGGCAGAGTGCTTTGGTAAAGTAACGTAATTGAAATTGAGAAAGCGTGCTGACGCGCCAGAGTCTCCTCTTGTGTTAACTGCTGGGTTTGGCTTGCTCTTTCTGCTGCCCAGCAAGTAGATTCTGGGCCGCCTTCTTATCGGAATACGCTTGAGCTGCACGAATGACTCATGCTTTATCACGAGCGTTCTTACTTCCCATTTTGAAATTTGATGAAGTGTTTGAATAGATTGGAGAGTATGTGTAATAACCACCGCTAGAGAGATCGTGAAAAAAGGATTTATTGAAGATCTTGAGGGTCGAATAATTTTCGATGTTTAGCGTAGATGCTGAGAGTCAATCTAGATGTATCGAAGATATCTTGTATGTATTCTGGGATCTGGGGATAAGATGTTTCTTATATCCTAATTCTGAGGTCATTGAAAAATCCCTTATTTCTCGCTAAGCGTATTCATCCAGTCACGGATATATTAGGTGCAAGTTTTGCTGCCGTACACTAAAATCTCGAATTTGGCTAAAATCACGCTAGCGGCTGTTAGTCCTGTACAAACGACAATGAGGATGTCTTTGATGTTGATTTGGCCGGTGTTGTGCAATGCCGAGTTATCTTTGTTGTGACTAATATTTGGTAAGATATTGTGTACGATTAGATTGGTAAGCTTATTCTTACGATATGTGAATATGGCCTACAACAAACTTTTATATTTCGTTGTGCTAACATCACGAACCCTTTTTAAAGCTCGCTAAAACTACGAACCAGAAAAAACTGTCAGGTATTTTTTGTAGAAACGCGAAATATTATGTGAAACTATTTTGGATCATTTGCTCGGGTATCTAGTTTATTGGGAATGCCCATTATTGCTGGGAGATGTAAAAAGAATTGCCTACAACTTCTTTAATAAGCAAATATCATCATCATCATCATCATCATCCTTATTTTTATTATTATTACTATTATTAAAAGTACTTACTTAATCTTAATACCATACCATATCATATCATATTTTCATCAACTTGATATCTCGAAATTAATACTATTATATATACAGAACAGAATAGAGACTCATAAGTAGCTAGCCTTAGGGCCACTACTATCGCAACCTGCAAGGGATATTTGATAGGTAGATAGGTAGGTAGTAAAGATAGATCTAAATATATATAATACGTACGACCAGGCTACCGGTATCTCCTTTCGATTTGAGAATATAGAGTAGGAGTGAGTAGCAAACACAATTTATATAAGCACCTATTCCATTATGAAAACTGAAACTAGGAACTGAACCGAAAAAGGTATATCTTTTTAATTTCAATTCTCTTTCTTATTTTTTCCTCCTCAAACATCTCCAAATACACCCACGATGCTATCTGTATAATTAACTGCATCTCATAAACCAACCCTAGTATCCCACCAATGGTATCACAAAATCTCCTTTATTCTCCCTTCATATCACTTCTCCGAGCTCCTTTTCCATCATCTCAACCCACAAGCTATACTCTACTCTCTCTACCATTATCCACCTTTCAGAATCAAAAGTATAACATAATCAGACCAACCCCACTATCCCGGTACCCATCTCCATCCACATGCAGATCCAGATCGCTAACGACCTTCACCCATTTTCACCCATTTCCCCCCTCACACCATCACCACCTCATCCCCCTTAAAAACATCAAGAGTTGAAAAACGCACAACAGAAATCATGAATGGTATCTCAAAAAAAGGTAAAAAAGAATCCGCGAATAATGAACAAGAGAAAAACTTCTGAAAAAGGTGCATCGAATAGGACATGATCGGACCGAATTATATGCGCTGCAATAATCAAGACCAAATCTGGAATCTCAAAAAAGGCTGTAGTTGTGTGTGTGGAAAAATTATCGGACAGTAGAATGTAGATGTGATGAACCGTAAGGAAATTGAGGTTATGTTGGTTGAAGACGCTGAGAAGGGCGTCTTGGGTAAACTTCTAGTCGTGGGTGATTATGACAAAGGTACCTGTGTCGGTATTTGACATAGGACTAGAATATCTATAGAGGTTTTCTTCGAATAGGAGGAGCAGATGAGTTATTATTCTCCATATTACCGGTAAGTTCAGCTACACGAGCTTTAATACGTGCGACTCGAGATTCAATTGCTAGATTCATTAGTAAATCTCAACATGAGGAAGCTGTAGAAGGGAAATGCTCACTCTCTTCACCTGAAGTTTCACCATCATCATTATCAGTTGGTTGACTATATCCACCTCTAGATTGTTCCTCACTTTCCCTACTTGATGCTGCTTGTACGGCAGCATTCTTACGGATCTGTGCCCATCTATCTTGAGGCGAGGTTGGTTGCATGAGTGCTTCATCTTGAGATTTTTTGGCTTCTTCAAATCGCCTGCTTGCAATGTTGGGTCGTGATGCAGAATCTTCACTTCCCCTTGGTGTATCTGATTCAGCCGTTGGAACAAATGCTGGGAAATCTTCGAGAGGTCCTTGATCAAATCTGGAGAATTCTTGGGAAGCTTCTCGAGCATCCTCAGTATCAACTCTGGAAATATCGTCTTGATCAATAGAGTGTTCAGAAGAAGGACGACGAGGAGTGACTGGTGTAGCTGGTGTAAGTGGAGTTCGTTCACCAGATGACATTGGAGGAGCTGGTGAAACAAATCCATCCCCTCCCTCACTACTGGGTGACATAAGTGGGCTCTTTCTTCTCGAAAATCGCCTAGTGAGACTGTTCCTTTTACTTTCAGGCTTAAGTCCACCTTTACCATTCATTGCTACTTCAGAAGCATTTGGTGGTGCAGCTCTTGGTTGCTTTCCCTTCCTCCCAAACATACCTCTGAATCCATTACCGGCAGCAGGATCTTTCTTCTTCAATTCTTGATTATTATCCCGAATTTCTGGACTTGAGCCCGAATAATCCAAAGAAGCTCTCGAGATGTCCATACTTGGCTTATTTTGGTTCAAAGGAGACATTGGAACGGGTTTTCTTTGAAGGGGGTGAATATCACTTGGTGAAACGGGAGATTTCGCCTCTCCAGTTTCCTTGTCTGGCAGAGATGGTAAAGGTGATGAAGATTGAATCGGAGTGGTTGGAGTGGGAGGTAAATCTCTGTTCATATTAATGCCTGGTGATAAAGCCGCTTGACGATCATATGAACTTCCATTCGTCCCCATAGCAGCTTCTCCAAGGCCGCGTCCCGTGAAGTCCCTGCCAAGATATGCTTCTCGAACTGCATCTTTATCGTATTTATTGGCCCATTTCATTGCTGGTGAAGCTTCTGATTTGAGCATTGGTTGAAGTGTAAAGACACTGTTTGTCTTCAACGAATCTGCATCCAAATCATTTCTTCCACGTCGAAGCGCTAATCCCTTTTCCTCATCCTGCTTTCTCTGTCTCTGTTGTAACTGAATTGCAGCTGCTTGAATTCGCGCATGTTGATCAGGACCTATGGTAGTCTTACTGGCGCTCGTACTTTGAGTATATCCAGGTTTTAAATTGTTGGGTTTCTCTGATTCTGTTTTGCCAGTAGATCCTCGTCGTTTTGCACTACTTTTATTCTTCCTCGTTCGACCCCAAAAGCTCTTTTTCTCCGCAATATAGGCACCTGCTTCAGGCTCTGGTGCTGCACCTTTTACCATTTCCTCCATTAACAGCCAACGACCACCAGGAATTGTCGTCTCGATCAAAGCACAGCGTCCGAATGAGGCCTTTCTGTCCACTGTCTCCTCACCAGCCAAACTACTTATCCAAACCCACCAGAACGAATCATCCAAGTCAAATCGAGTAATGCTTGCAAGTTCGCCCGGTTCCAAGTCTTTATTTGATTCAAGTCTAGGTTGATGAGATTGCGAGCTTCCGGCCCTGGTATTAATCGGTGGTAAAATCTTATCAGGTGGTAATAACAAAGGTGGGGGGCTAGTTGTTCCATCATCAGTAAAGCCAGAAGAGAGGAAATCTGCCCAGGATGGTGTAGTTGGCCTATCACCAGATTTAACCACGGAATTTGCTGGAGTGTTTCTTAGTCCTTGTACTGGCTTTGGTTTTCCCGGTGCCAAAAAACCATTGTCATCGCCAGCCGTATCATCAAAAGATGCAGAAAATCCAACATCCTCGAATCGTGACCAAGAAGCATCTCGTAAACCGGTGGAGTCTTGAGAATTAGATATTTGGGATTGATTCGTAGAAGAAATTGATCTTAAAACACGACGACATTCATCAGTTAAAGCCCTTACAGGATCCTCGTATTCCGAGAATTGCTGTAAAGCGCGGTCATCGTCTCGATATTGAAAGTGATTCGCTCTTCGTAATAACGCAAATGGTGTAGGTGAAACAGAGTTCACTATCATTACCACTTTCGTAGTTGATTGTTGTAATAGCGAAGGATGTTCTGGTGGGTATTCTGTTTCTTGGACAAGCTTCTGTAGGGACATTGGCAATTTAGATATACCGCTCATTCCTCTAACAGATTCGGGGGAGAGTGATCGAAGGTAGGCGAAAAATAGATGACATGCAGCATCGGCCGCACTATATGTTGTTAGCACATTTGTTTAATTTGTCAAACAATTTCACCCACGTTGACCATCCTTTATATCCACCTTCAAATCCATTACCTGTATCAACTTGATCGAAAGCCCACCATCCCGCATATCTTGATAATTTGCGTCCAGCTAAACCATTCAATTTTCCATGTGCTGCAATTGCTGATAAGAGGTCAAAGAAGTCAAAAATGATATCTCTTCTCGCCTCAGATTCTACACTCAAAGGTATAAAAGTCACAAAAGCGTCTCGGGCATAATTTGAGTCTGCTAGAGTCAGCCACGATTTCTTCTCTTTCGATACCAAATCTCCTACCATGCTCTCCCACTTTAAATAGTTCATATGCGTCCCAAGAAACTACACCACCAACCATTCGACTCCAACACCATTTAAGCACACTGCATAGAACCTAGTTGGCATCAGTTATTTATCCTGCTCTAGAAGTCAATCTAGCAGCTCACCATCGGTTCCGTGAGTCTTAATTCTTGAGCGAACATCTCCCGACTCAATTGTCTCTTATCGAAGAAATTCCTAATGAACGTTCTTGCCGCGCTCGGATCTGAGGTAGGTCGGAATGGGAGTAGAAGGAATGGCATGTCCAAAGCTGCATTGACAAAAAACGAATTAGCATGTGTAACATGGAGAAATCCATAGTAAATCCTTCCTAGGCTTCGTGCATAATCGATAACGGAATGATATCAATATTGAATCATTTCATACCTCTTGATTTTAATTCCACGGTACATCCCCTCACCAGTTCTTGAATCTCTTCTGGTTCTACCGTGGTTCTCGTCCATGCATCTGTCCATGTTGGCTTCGCTGGTGCTTGATCACTAAGGTCATCAAGTCCTCCCTTCTTCTTGGAAGCTTTCGTTGGGCCATCTTTCCCCTTTAACCTTGAGAAGAAACTCGGCATGATTGCGAAAAAGAGTCGAGATAATAATCGATATCGCAGACCATGAAATTCTTATTAGTTATGTAAAAGACATTCGAAACTCGAATACGTTTGTTGAAAATTTAGTGGATGGATCAGATATGATGTCTTGTATCAGGTTCGCGCTCCGTCGGATAAGAATTTAATTAGAGGGAAAGATGCGAGGGAGGTAGTAGGGTGGATAGAAGAAATTGACGAATGGGTCGAGTTTAAAAGACGGGCGTCTTGTGAATCTGAAGACAGAAATGAGCGGATGAAATTATTATTTTAATGAATGAATGAATGTGAGTGAGAGGGAGAGGGAGAGGGAGAGGGTGAGGGTGAGTACAGTATGTATGAGTTTGTCTTTAATTCTCCAACCACGTTTTTCGCGCGGGGAGGAGGAGACAGTCGTTTTATTTTAGTTTTCCAAAGTAAATCCAATAAGATGTATGGACGGATTGAATGGGCTGATATGATGTCCTCTCTCAATCAAATCAATCAATCAATCAATCAATCAAATCAGATTTGAAGATGGGATAAAAATTAAAGGGGATTCCTGCTACAGCTGGAAGCACCACAAGCAGGAAACTTTTCTGGAGCAAATAGACTGACCCAGCTGAGCATAGTAAGGTCAAGTAGAGTCGAAATGCCCCGATAGTTAAATTTCTACCGTATCAATCCCATCAATCAATTTAAATTTCAGGGGTCGTTAATTGGGTTGGATGAAATGATCCGTGCGTTTTATTACCTCTTACCTCGACTAGGGAGGGTAGCTAGTTAGTTAGCCTGTTAGGTCTCAGTGAAAGTCTCGGCCAACGCCTTATAGGAATTTTGTATCGTGTGTTTGGATTTCTGCTCGCATTTTATATTTCATTCGTCCTCATTATCTATGGCAAGATGCTACGCCGTGCGGAGTGGCATCATGCCTCGAATATTGACCCTCGGGCGGGCTGGCTGGCTGTATCCAAAAGGATGGGTATTCTTCGTGTTGATGATTGTATATTGATTAAATGTTATACAAATCCTGGGTGCTATATAGGTCGGTGGGTGGTTCTAGATACAAAACTTACCACATGTAGTATTTGATATTCGTGCATTCTCTAGTGCATGATAGATAAATACCCAGTAGCTCAATCAATGCTGAGGTTACGGATCTTGGTAGGCATATATGGAGGGAAGATCTCAATGATGCTGTTCCATCTGCTGTGATTGATGACATATTGCTTCAAGATCGAAGAACCATAAAGATTTAACAATTACATCGACAGAGTTATAATTATTCTCCATTGTGATCATGCACCGAAGACGACTAGAACCAAAAGCTTGAACGGCAAGTTACTCAAACAACTCTCAACATAGTTAGCAGTTCCCAGCTAGCCATCAACGAACGCATCATCAAAAGAAATCAAGTCTTCATACCTAAACAAACATTTCTATTGAAACCGCTGATCTCCTCCTGTCCAGAATCAGCATAATGATATGCAATTCCAGATCACATTTCGCATCCTCGTGGACGACTACCAAGTATCTTTTCCGCACTTGTGATGTACAAACCCCCATTCTATATATAAAAGTCGTCTCCGCCACAGCCATGAATAACCAACCCCATGAGATCAATCAACCAACAATTTTTCATCCCAACTGTGTGTGACACCCATGTTGAGTCAAGTCCCGCATGAAGTGCCTTTGCCAACGCATGTAAGTGGAAGTTTTTACTTGCCCATGTGCTAAGGTTAACGTTGGGTCATCAAGGGATTCAAGCTTATTCAAAAACTATCTTCTTATTAATTCTAACATCATCATCATCATCATCATCATCTGTTGTGTGTATAACAAATTCGTATGATATATAAATAAATACACCTAGGTATGATGCAATAGGTATATAGAATTGAAAATACCTATATCAGGATTTATAATTCACTCCTATAAAATCATTCGATTACCAGGTAGATAAACAAGCTGTACTTAAGTTACCTTTCACGCATCAAAAGCATACATAACCATCTAATTTCCAGAAATTAATCATTCATTCATCAAATTCATTCATTCATTCATTCATTCATTCATATACTCCGTACAACCCATGCCCACCGCCGCCCACCCCACCAGATCTAAATTCTTACGGACCAAAACACCAAAACTACACCAAATACAGCATCCAAATACAACGCACGAGCCCATCAACGACTTGACTGACTTGCTTGCAATGAATCAATCATAAATCATAACATGGATCTCAAACCTTATATACCTACCGACCTACCTAGTACTCTGTAAGTAGTATTAATATTCATGCAGCAGGGCTTACATTTCATGCCTACATTTCATGCCTACATCTCACACATTTCATGCATCAAAACCAATACCGTATCCATCCATTTAATCTTCAGATGAAAACTTAGACATAACATACTTTGTCTTACTTACCTTACATACATCAAGCTTGCAACTCTCACTCAATATCAAAAGTCCACTCACTGGTCTTCAGATAAAAAATTATAAATACCGAGAATCCGTCTCCCTGCTCTTAAATCATAAAATGCTGATCTTATCTCACCTTACCTAGGTAGGTGTTTATCAATCATATTTGAATCAAAACCACGGAGTATACTCCGTATACCGGTACTCAACTACAAATAAGTACTGGTGTATCCTTTCTTATATTGAGCTATTGAGCTATCGAGCTGAAAACTAAAGTTTTCTTTTTCTTTTCTTTTGACATTACCTCATTCATTACCTATTATTTCTATACTTTTACTTAACTCCGTTCATATCCCTCTCTCTACTTACCTTACTTATTTACCAACTATCTACTATCTATTCCCAACTCCTAGAGCCCTACCTAGTACAGTACAGTACAGTACAGTACCCATCAAAACCCATCAACACCGACCAAGATCTTCATGCGGTGGGTGGGTGGAGTCGAATATAAGATCTTATCCCCTTAAATGTCAAAAACCGCCGGGTTCGCTTAACAGGGATCATATCAACCAATCAAAACATTGTAAATTTGAGAGTATAAGGTTATTTAAGATATTATTTTATAATAGTTATTGAAACATTTATTATTATTATATTAATAAATATTAAGAATTTTAAAATCTATTTACTATATACTTGTTACGAGGGATGCGATCTAGGTCACGTGGAAGTGGCCTGGATCCTCGAATGGTTTATAACTAGACGTCAAGCAGGAGCTTTAAAGTAATATCAATGGTTACAATTCGTAACTAATAATAGAGTATACTAAATGATTGATCTTGAGCACAAAGCTCTACAAAAGGAATCCTTTCCTAGCTATATAGACCTTCGTATCAATTGGATCATAAGGATCTAATAGATCTAGGATACGATTCTCTAGATCCCCTAGATCCTATGATCCATCACATAACTACGATCAGACCATATGTCCGAGCTTGCTGAAGGTGGGGAGACCACATGAAGCGCTTACCATAGAAATTTGTATACAAATTGCTTTGCTTTTCAATGAGGCCTAAGCTCATGTGGACAGGTTGACTGTTACCTTGTAACAATACTATTCAAATTTATAATAAAATCTCTACAAAAATTATATTTTCTTATATAAAATAAAATATCAAATAACTTTTTCAATATTGAATTGAATCAAATGAAATTTTTAAATATTATAATTAATTATAAAAGAATATCAAAAAAATTTATAATTTATTTTTGATTATTTTTATTTTAAAGTTATTATCACGAAATCATTTTATAGAATGTTACAAAATAACAATCAACCTGTCTTTATAAGTTTGGACCTTTCTAAAAAGCAAAGCAATTTATATATAAATTTGTATAGCAATCGCTTTATATAGTCTTCTCATCTTCAACAAACTCGGATATATAATCTGATCTTAATCATATAATGAAGCCTTGAAGAGTCTACATTCCTGAAGGTTCCAAGAAGCTTACAGAAATCTATATTCCTGAAGATTTCCAAAATGAATTAATATATAATTAGGATAAGTTTTATAATTTAAAAGTTTTATATTCAATTTAATTATCAATTAATTTATTTATATTCTAATTGATCTAATAATATATTCATCTTCGAATGAATAATCAATGATTATTAATCTTAATCTATAATTATCAATTATACAAAATCTAAAATAATCATTATCTCAATCAGATTGTTATACTTTAAACATCGTTATAATTAAGTTATATATAATATAATAACTTCCAATTAATAATCTATCGAATCGTTTTCATTCAATCCAATCAAGGCCTTTATTTAAGTTGCTATTATTATAAAATATAAATAAACAATTTAGATATCTATCTTTAATTTATTTTATAAAGATTATAATAAATATCAAATTTTTATTATATAAATTGATCTTTATTATATTTTTAATGAACAATTTTTCTTGATTTTAATATAAAAAATTTTGTAATTAATCTTTTTTTTTCAAGGAATTGTATTCAATTAGATTGAATCATTTTTCAATGATCTAATAATCAAGATTATCGATAATCAATTAAACAAGAATATGAAATCTGAGATTCATTATCTTTTTCTCAATTACGAATCGTTTAAATAGAGATTCGATAAAATATTCGAAGAAATAGATCCTGATTATATAATTGAAAAAGTATTATAATAACTTAAACAGATTAAGTTAATTATAATCTATATTATCAAGTTTCAACAATATACTAAGTATATTATATAAAATGATAATTATCTAAAATCATAATTCTATAAAAGATTAAAAAATATTATCAAGAATAAACTAATAAGAATTCCAAAACTATTTAATCTTTTTGAATTAATCGAAATCTTTATTCTTATTAATAATCAATTTTATAAATGATAAATAAAAAAGAAAAGAATTATTCAGGAAAACAAAAAGTTCCAAAAATCTTATTATTAGAACAAATATTATAATACTAATAATCCAATAAAATTAAATAATATCAAATGATGTTATATAAAATCAAACAATCTAAATATTAACAAAAAGAAAAGATATAAAAAGAATAATTTATATTATATTTATAAGAAAAATAGATATATATTCTAAGATTATTTTCAAAAGAAGAAATTATTTATTATAAAAAACAAAAAACAAATGCAATTTGAAAATAGAAAATAAAGTTCTCAAAAAACAAAGATCTTAAAAGAAAGATTGAGGAAAATAAGATTATCAGAAAAAGATCTATCTCAATCCAATTTCGAATAATTAAAGAAATTAAATATCAATAATCAAAACCTTAGAACTAATATTAAAAACAATATCGATTACAAAAAAGAATCTTCAAAAGATTTCGAATTAAAAGATAAAGAATTTAAGAAGAATCAATAATTAATTTAATTTCATTATTTATTTTGAGAAAATAAATTATAATATCTAATCAGTTATCTAAATGAGAAATGTATTTAATATCATTATAG